TCTAACAAAAGACGATTGAGACATGTCATCTTATTTGCCTTAAAAAAAATGTCCGAATATTGTCACATTTTGACAGCTGTCAAATTAACCGTTTCGGATTTTCGCGCAAAAAACAAAATTCGGCACTTTCGGTTGTTCGCCTACACTTCGAAGACCAATTAACCGATCGTAAATCTGAAGCCAGCTATCGAACGCACTAAGTTTCCTCTAAAACTTTTGCTTTTTTTAACCTTCGCTGTAGGTATAACAGGATCCGAGATCGCTGTATAGAGAAGCGAATCTGGGACACAACGTAGACGTAATCTGACGGAAGGTTGAATAAATCGAAAGTTTCTATACCATCTTGCACTTGGCAACACTGTTAAGCATGTATGTATGTGATAGTGTTGCGGATATGGAAATATTTGCGGCCATAAGTGTGAGATCTGCGACGCAATGACCCGTTCCAGTCTAGGGCGGTTTGGGGTTATCGAGCAAATGGTCTGCACCCCATTGCTTCCGTTTCTTACTGGGTAGACCACACCATCACTATCGCTCAGTTAACTCCGGAAGGTTATGTATGTTTATGTAGATATCCGCTCCGGAATATGAAATGCGGGATCTCACTTGCATATACAGGAAACAATGTCTCAGTTTGATGTTCTACAACAATGGTCGCTAACCTTTGCAGTGCGTTGAGTTACTTTGATCATTTTGTAATAAACTGTGAGCTACCTAGTCGTAAGCGATGTAAGCCAACCTAAATGGAATTATACACAGTTGTATGCGACATATACCTGTATCTGTTTATTTTACTAATACTAATACATACAATATTTAATAAATTTAAATAAACTTATAACTAATACATACTACATAACTACTTTAAATTTACAAAAGAACCAAAAAGTAAATAAAGTGTTTTAGTTAGGTGTATTTTGTTATTATTTTGTTGTTATTGTATTATATCATATAATGTTCTTGTATTTGCTGTTGTAAGATGCTGAATCAATTGAATCAACGTATCAATATTCATTTGTCTGAACCATTCCAACCTTTGGAGTAGTGTCAACTTGTCAAGCACATACGACACGGAACAATGCACAGAACATGAAATGAGAAGCGTGTCCAGCTGCTGATAGCGCCATCTAGCGTGAAGTATATGGCACTTTTGTCTATGTCCATTTCCCTTGTATAAAAGCAAGCAAAACATAAACAGAAGACGTGCTCAATTTACAACACGTAATCCAGGAATGACACAGGCAAACGAGAAAACGGCGAAAAGGTGAAATTCTCAACCTGTTTCCTCGCAAACGCGAAGGGTGCCGTGCAAGAATGATAAATGGTCAGTCGCATACGCATATATAGTGGTATGGGGCGGGGGAGCGGACCCCGTTGATCCCCCGGATCCGGGACAAATCCGGAAAAGGATTTAGAGGTGCGAGGCCGTTTGATGTTTGTAGGTTTGTAGCCGCGGCGATTGCCACCGGCTGAAATCCCCACCGGCGAAAAAGAAAAACACACGCAGCCAGAGGGAAATTTGTGTTGCTTTTTACGCTTCTTCGTTTCCATTGGCGTAGGTATATTGTGGCGCAATTGACCTATTTTGCCTTCCAAGCCTAAAGATGGCGTCAATTAGGTTGACTTTGCACTTTCCACGAAATGTCCAAAGCACAAACTAGACCCTCTAAGAAAAAAGTCAGTCAAACAGGACTATTCAATTAGACCATAGACATTCTTTCCCTGCCCTAGCGGCAGTGCATCTAGAAACGCCGCTTCTTCCCGATACTTAACCCGGTCAGACGTGGCAGCGAGGTCAGAGCATAGGAAACACTATGCTGTTGCGCGGAAGGAATACGTACGATTTCACACCAGAAACAGGATTCACGGTCGGCGCTCGACGTCAGCAGCAGTCGCAGCCGATAGTTACGCGATCCGTCTCCAGAGCTAATGTACAGGGTGTCCTTTTTTCGATGATATTACGGGGTATCTCCCTTACGAGTAGAGTTAGAGAGTTGCTGTTTTCGCAATGCTGTGCTACTTCTTTGTGAAAAGACGGATAAAATTAATACATTTTTTTCATCTCCCTTCGTTTCTGTGGCACAGGACAAAATTGAAAATATTGCCTTTTGGGACACCCCCTCATATCTCCGTTATCTTTCAACATATCGCAGAGCTAAAAACTGGCGTTTACACAGTTTTTTAAGTAGAATTCAGTAGCATGGTCATTTTTGCTGAGAGCTGTCAATTTTCAGCTATAAATCAAACTTAGCTTTTTCCGTTACTAAAAATTATTTTAAATAATCATTATCAGCATTTTCAGTGCGCTATTGAAGTTCTTCCAGAGTATTTACTGCTCCATCATGACACACCAATTTTTTCAAATAGCCCCACAGAAAAAATCGCAAGGCGTTGAATCCGGAAAGCGAGCAGGCCAAGAAATGGGTCCATTGCGGCCTATCCATCTATTCGGAAACTCATTATTTAGATGTTCATGGCAGGGTAATGTCGCAGCCAAATGGCAGTCACTCTTTCTGACACAGTCCGGATCGAAAGATGACGATACTCGTGAAATCTATTGAAACTTCTAAATATAGGATCGTATCGAACATCCCTACTGTCTAGATGGTAGCGACGGAGCTATTTTGCGGCGTCATGGAAATAATTTTAAATTTTCATTTGCATTTTTTCAAGTGTTGTGCAATGATTTTGGGAAAAATGTCACGAATAGACTCATAAAGCATAGTAGAGTATATTTCAACAGTTGGCGGAACTTACTCCACTGGGACCAGGAGGGTGAAACGGGATATTATTGCACAATCTGGCAACCCTGTCGCACCCTCACAAAATGGCCGCTGACAACCAGACAAGTCACCGTGTTGTCATTGAATAGCATGGAATTAAACCGTCTTCAGAGTATATGTTTTGTGACTGCTACCAAGAGTTGACAGATCCCACACATGTGTCACTCCTTGAAATGCAATAATCAGCTGTATTCAAATAATGTCTAATATAAATATAACCTAGAATGTGTATCCATGAAAAAAGAAAAATATGGCAAATTTGTAGTTTTTTTTGCAGGTTTTAGGTTTGCTGGTAGCTTTAAAGCATATATTTGGGAATTTCTTAATCGCTGTGAATATAGTGTGGATGTTTGTTCAGTTCCTGAACAACGAAAAATATTCAACTTTATGGATGTATGGATATCAAAAAACCTGAATGGTTTTGTGGGAATATTAATCTATGTTGAAAATGAGTTCTTTTTACAGCATGGAACTTTCTACTGCCCAAACATGATTATTGTGCACTCCATTTCGTGTAAATGTGACCTCGTCTGTACACAAAATTAATGATCTTCAGGCGGTAACGCTTATACCCGTTGATAATGATAGAGATAATAGGTACTGTTTTTGTCGTATCGTCTTCCACACTTTAATATGAGAAACTTCAGCTTGAGCTGCCATGGTTGCAGTACTCATTGTTGAAACGAAAAAAAAATCGAGATCAAAAATGTCTCCCAAGGACGCGAAACTCGCGCCTAGTCTAACGTACGCCCATGATTGCGTGGATTTGGAAGTTTTAATAAATTCGTCGGGTCGTAGTTTGCTCTGGAAGTGCGACACGATGTCGACGGCGCCGGATTCGTTTAAATTCGTCGCCTCCACGTAATTCGATATCGCGTTTCGTTTGCTTCTATCTCTCGTTTTGCCAACTCCCTCTGATAAAATACCTTTTGGGGGACCAAATGTTCAAAGATAATACAGTGATGAGCATGGCCGGGCAATGACGTTAATGGTAGACAAGCAACCTCGTAGCGTCGATGCTCAACGACAGCGGATGATGAGTCAACAGCGCGGGATAGCATAGTCCAGTCCACGTAGTCATAAATTTCAAATGAATTGATATCAAGTGATGTAATAAATTAGTAACAGGGTAACGAAAGCGTGAATTGATAAGATTATCAGGAATTTCAATAATTAGAAAGCTCCGACGGGTTATACATGCGCACCGCCTGGATGCTGATTGCCGGAATGAAGGGATCGATAACACAAATTAAACAGTAAATAGTAAAAACGGCGTTTTCGTCACAATATGATAGAATTTAAGGTTATACAGCAAACAATGTATGAGAATTACTTCAAATCGAACTAGCTTCTTCCCAAGTACAAAAGACAGTTCAGTAACGTCTATACATTCCAGTAGAAAGTATCCACCATATATACATTCCTAAACGACTTTCGAAAGAAGTATAATATCTGTTCTCATCTAACAGGGTGTTATCAAGTTTTTTTGGGGTGCGGTCAGTGGCCAGCTAATTCGTTTTCAGGTCATGCCAAACTGTCCACGCCCGGGAGACAAAACAAGATATTAACAAAGTTTCGTTGTTCAATGGAAAGTGAACTTGGTCTTCAGGGTGTTAGTTGGTCATTAATATGGGATTTACCAGCTGTGGTGTGAGGAGGCTGTTTACGGGGCACATCACACAAAATAATAATTTGAAGTTCTTGGATAGAATGTGACGCCTACTGTTTTAGATTGTACAAAGCAGTTTATCTTGTTCACGTAATAGCCAAGCACCTACCAAAGTGTTTTTTTTATTTCAAAGGACTAATTTTAAATTTCTTTGTTTGTTCAATAAATGTTTGTGTGCCTTGTGAATTTGCGTTCCCTTTAGCTTCAGAGACCCAACATTCGGCATTTCTGTTTCCTAGTTCTTGGAACTGGATGACGGCCTAACCTCAACCATTTGTATTAAAGACCAAAGTTCAAAGAACCACACTCAGAGGTCACTTTACCTACCCACTGCAGCTTACGCGGGGTAACAATACGAAATAATCAAAATTTTGATATTGACGAAGTTCCTGAATATTCTTCAAACATCCATTAAAAAAATCCCGAAACATCTCAGGGGTATTGTTATTGAGGAACTATTATTTTTAAGCTAATGATAATAAAAACATGAAATCTAGTAATGCTACGGCTCCTTCTTGTTTCTTTTCATATCTTTTATTACTATAATTACGCTTATATTAATTTTTGTTTTTCTGTTCCAGATTTCTGTAAAAAGACCAGAGACCCGTCGAGCTGTCCAGTATGCGGCATGACCATAGCACTCGGCGATCTAGAAACCCATTTCATGCACGAATTGGAAAGACTGTACAAACTGAGCGGTACTGGGATCAGTGCGACCAGAAAGCGGCCCAGATCTGAACCTAATCGACCCCCGGCCTTGCCTGGGGATAGTGGCCCGGAAGGAAGGTGGGAGGTAAGGTTTTTCAAAACTATTTTCAAATCGTCTGAAATCTAGATGTGACATAATGTCTACATCACGAGAAATAATACGATGTCATCCACTGGTGACTTTTTTTTTGATTCACTTCTCCATTTGACAGACAATATCTTAAATAATATGGATAAACATATTAATACAGTTTTAGTTGTGGTCGACTTCTCTAAGGCGTTCGACACTGTTAACCATAAAATTTTGGTGAGTAAGTTAAAGTATACTGGACGTGTCTCATCTTCTGTTGCCGTTTCTTCAGGTGTCCCTCAGGGCTCTGTCTTAGCTCCTTTACTGTATTTGATATATATACTTTTGATTTACATTCATTGTATTGAGCATTATGCTATACAAACTTACGCGGATGATACGCAGCTTTCTTTGCATTTTGACTTGTCTCATCTGGATGAAGGGTGACTTTGAAGTTGAGTCATTAATTTTCAGATAATGATTGTAGAAGGAAGATAAACCAAAATATGTGTGTAAAAATGAAAAAAAAATTAAAAAAAAATGTTACCTTGTTTTATAAAGTATCCTCCCGACAAGTATTTCAGTGCGGACCTGTATTTGATCGTGCGGTCTTGGAGCACCGGCATGCCCTCCCCTGTGAGGTCTTAAGTCACCTGATTCACGAGCCCTTTGTACTACATTAACAAAGGCACGAGGGGTTGGTTGCACTCGATTGGGAAATCGATCCGCATAAATCCGTGATGCCGCGTAAATAAGAATCATGTTCACAAGTTCAGCATTTTCGTAAACATGTGCCATTTTTGATTTCGTTTGAGCCACGCAACAGACACCACTATTCACTCACGCGTTACCGACTGACACTGACTGAATACAACTGAATAAAATCATTGTAAAAACATCGTTCCAAATTCTTTCGCTTTTTTGTTTCCGATGCGATGAACCGATGAGGCGGATTATATCCGTTGTTACCAAACACGAGCACATAATATTATTATTGAGACAGGGCGGTACTCAAACTTCCAAAGGGCTATAACTTTGTTACTTTAATTTTACCAGAAAAATGGTAAAGGAAAAAACATTTCTTTTGATCAGATCTACTCACTGTTAAAATAAATGACTCAACTTCGAAGTTCCCTGTATAAGATAAATTGTGATCTTGCCAACATCACTGATTTTTGTAAAAGGCATATGTTGAAGATTAATCCGGATAATAGTACTTGCATATTTTTTTATCCTAAACATTTGCATAATAGAGTAAGGGACAGAATTGCTTTGAGCATCAACAACGAGCTCATTACTATTGTGGAACAAGCAAAAAATCTTGGTGTCGTCTTCGACTCTAGTTTAAGATTTGACAGACATGTGTGTCATCTATCGAAGTCCACCTACATCAAATTAAGACTGATATATACTAATAGATTCATTTTGAACTTTAAAACGCGTAAGAAGCTAGTTGCAAATTTGATAATGTCCAGCCTCTCAACTACGCTTTAACCTTATACTATCGTTGTCTTGACTCGATGAATCGGTGTAGGATCCAAAGAATGCAAAGCCACAGCTCTAGGTTTGTGTATGGTTTTCGAAAATATAGCCATGTCTCCTTTCAGATCAAGGAGTTGAAATGGCTGAAAATGGATCAACAATTTGAATATAGTCTTAAGGTGTTTGTGTATAAAGTATTGGGTACTAAAAAGCTCATCTACCTCCATAGTAAATTGATAACTAGAGGAATCATTAATCTTAGATATATGAGGCATAATAATAATCTGACAATGCCTTTGCACTACACCGCATTGTTTCAAAGAGAGAAGCAAAAGTGTAAACTACAACTATTTAAAACTGTAATGACTCATACGCGTGATCAACACGTGATCAGAGCTCGATCCCGGCTTCCTTCCAGTATAGCCGTATAGCGTACGACATATGTCGTTTCTGTGGCTTTGCGGTGGTCAACAGCACAGACAGAGATGGAAATAATGGCTGATTGTTCTCCGCCGGTAGAACCAATGAAATCAAAGACGCGCCTCGACCGGCAGACTCATAGGCGTCGGCAACGCATTGGAACGGGTTTCGTTGAGCGATCGCATATTGTGTGTTTTTATAAGAATTGTTGTGTGATTGTTATTGTTGTGGTTTCTGTGGTTACTGTTTTGGTTATACTTAACCATGGAGAGTACAAATGGCACGAGTGGAAGTACTGAAAGCCAGGGAACAAGTAGACGGCTTCGTAAAGCACTGAAGAGGGACGCGAAAGAAATCGTGCTCAACGTGTTCAATTATCTGAACAGAACTATGTCGCAGGGAGATGCATTCGCGCGTTGTGAAAGTATGACAGGCGTTCCAGAGCGGACCATTCGCAGGGTGGTGCATGAAAAGAAGAAAACTGGAGCTACTACTGATCCAAAGTTTAATTTGAAGGGACGAAAGGCCGTTCAATTGGATGACGATAGCAAAATGGCGTTAAGGCGAACCGTACATTCATTCTTCTTTAGGAATGAGATACCAACCCTCAAGGCTGTACATGCAGCGATCAAGGAAAATGAAATTATACCCCAAATGAGCGTCGAGGTAATGAGGAAATCCCAGCACGAAATTAATTTTCGTTACGAAACGCGTAATCGGAAGTCAGTATTGATAGAGAGACCTGAAATAGTCGCCTGGCGTCGAAAATACCTACGCGAAATGATTGAATATAGGCGACAAAGCAGAAAAATCTATTATTTGGACGAGACATGGATAAATGCAGGTCACACAGTTAAAAAAACCTGGATAGACAAAAACGTAGTGAGTAACCGACAAGCAAGCATTGAAGGTTTGTCGACAGGTCTTCGTGGACCGCCAGGGAAAGGTCAAAGATTGATCGTAACTCATATTGGTAGCGATAGTGGCTTTTTAGAAGAGTGTGACTTGATTTTCGTCTCTAAGAAAGGAGGTGATTACCATGACGAAATGAATGCCAGCTGCTTCGAGAGCTGGTTTCAAGGGGTGCTTCAGCGAGTTGAGCCCAACTCTGTGATCGTCATGGATAATGCTTCCTACCATAGTCGTCGAGCCGAACGTGTACCGACTATGGGATCTCGAAAAAGTGACATGCAGCAATGGTTGCGCGAAAAAGGACGATTCATGTGTGAAAGCGGAATTGTATGAAAAAATTAAACAGCACAAACCTGCGAACATTAGTTACGTGACTGATGAGATGGCCCGTCAATGTGGTGTCACTGTGCTGCGGTTACCGCCCTACCACTGTGAACCGAACCCAATAGAGCTCATCTGGGCTCAAGTGAAGGGTTATATTGCGCGCCATAACACAACCTTCAAATTACCAGACGTTAAGGTTTTACTTGAGACTTCCATACAGTTAGTAACGCCCGAAGCTTGGCAGAATGCTATCCGTCATGTTGTGCAGGACGAAACAAAAATATGGCAGCTTGACCACCACATCGACACCATCATAGAGCCAGTTATAGTCAATTTCAATCTAGTTCACCCATGTTAAACATTCATACCCCGCCTATGAACAGCCGACTACTGGTAGTTAAGTGATGTTCACGTGAACATCGATGAGTCATTACAGTTTTAGATAGTTATAGTATAGTAACATTCAGGAAGCTGGTTAAAAATTAACTGTTAGATGTATCATAATTAGCTGTTATTATCTTTATGTTTTTTTTGTGTTGGTTTTTGGTCAAGCAATATAGCGCGGATTTATCAATTGATTGTATTTTTTCCCTTTATTATTAGCTCACTTAGTTGAAAGCCAGATCGATTTATTTATTTTTAGGTTGCATGTAATGTGACTTTATATATATATATTTGAGTGTCGGAGTAGCCAACTGGCTAAACTTCGCCCTATTGTTTTGTTGCTCATAAAAACATTTATTATTATTATTATAATCTAATTGAGGACAGAATGGCGTGGAAATAACAGCGAATGTTTTGATGTCATTTATTTCTTCCAGACATTCCAAAGGATAAGAACAAATCGACAGGGTAGGCTCAGGATAAAAATTCGAAAACGGAGGAGTGACGAGATGTGTCCGATTTGCTCTGGACATCCTCACAGGACTCAAGAAGAAATCAATATGCATGTCGAGAGGTGTGTTAGGAAAGTGAGTATCATCCGTTGATTCTAGTTCGACAGTCGAAGGTGAAATTTATTTTTGCTCTATTCAGACACCGATAGACTTATATATGTAAATAAAATACGTCCATTTTTTTCATCTTAATATTTTAAGGTCTAATGACACTTCCATACCAAACAGTCAGTTATATATAGCCGCCCAAAATAAGAATAAAGTCCCATCCACTACAAATCATACATTCAGTTTGCGTTTACGCTCGTATTTCTTTCAAGAATTCGACAATGACGGACGAAGACGAGACGGTAGACGTGGAAGGCGATAGCGAACTGGAAGAATGGCACGAAAATCAAAGACGAAGAATGAACAGTCTGATAGAAGGCATGACGAACGCCGTCGCCCAGGCGCCAAGCAGTACCAGATTGACGACCACTGAAGGCGCGGAAGACGTGGAGAACGATGGAGATGACGTCATTGTCGACGGGGACGAACCTGAGGTAAATAACTACGAAATGGCATGACTACATACTAAACGTGAAATTGAAATGTGTACCAACTGTTTCCCTCCGTCCAGGTGGCGACTGTGAACTCGAGCATGGACGTCGAAGTGAAAGTAGAAAGTGGAGACAGCAAAAAGACGTCTTCGAGCGCCAACAGCAATCAGCAACAGCAGTGCGACAGCAACGTCAGCACCTCGGATGCTGAACCGAGCACGAGAGCTCAGATGATCGAAGAGTTGAAGAATAGGATCAAACAGCTCGAAGCTGAAGGAGGAGGGGCGACTGATACTACAACGACCACAACTACGACCAGTGACTCCAGTGAGGACTACAAGTGTTTGATTTGTCTGGTGAGTACGCTTTCTTTGCTTGTATGGGTATTTTCCAAAAGTTTTGTTTCAAAAAAGTACTCGTATAAGAGATTTTTTGTTCATAAGTACACATTCCTACTATACCCCATTCGTAGTCTATTTACGACAATACACAACATGCCGAAAAGCGAGATTGTACAGGTCTGTATTTTCCTCAATGGTCTAACAAAATAAATGATTATTTCTATAGACAAGAAATGCGTATACCTTTAACACTTTATTCGCCGTCCGAATCGTTAATATTAATTATTACCGGTTCAATTTGAATATCGATCATATTGTCCAGATCTCACAACTTTGGTTCTATTGTCTCTTAAACGTAACGGTTACAATCTTCCCAATGGTTCGCCGTCACTCTGTTGACAGCTGCATAAAACGTCAGAAAATTTGAATGTTCTATCGTTTGACGCCACATAATTCTTTATACAGGGTGACTTTGAAGTTGAGTCATTAATTTTCAGATAATGATTGTAGAAGGAAGATAAACCAAAATATGTGTGTAACAATTAAAAAAAAATGTTACCTTGTTTTATAAAGTATCTTCCCGACAAGTATTTCAGTGCGGACCTGTATTTGATCGTGCGGTATTGGAGCACGGGCATGTGCTCCCCTGTGAGGTCTTAAGTTGCACTCGATTGGGAAACCGATCCGCATAAATCCGTGATGCCGCGGCAGCATTTTGTAAAGACTCCCCCCCCCCCGTAAATAAGAATCATGTCCGCAAGTTCGGCATTTTCGTAAACATGTGCCATTTTTTATTTCGTTTGAGCCACGCAACAAACACCACTATTCACTCACGCGTTACCGACTGACACATTGACTGAATACAACTGAATAAAATTGTAGTAAAAACATCGTGATAAGCGTTTCAAATTCTTTCGCTTTTTTGTTTCCGATGGGATGAACCGATAAGGCGGATTATATCCGTTGTTGCCAAACACGAGCACATAATATTATTATTGAGACAGGGCGGTACTCAAACTTCTAAAGGGCTATAACTTTGTTACTTTAATTTTACCAGAAAAATGTTAAAGGACAAAAACATTTCTTTTGATCAGATCTACTCACCGTTAAAATAAATGACTCAAGTATATGGCCAAATCATTTCAATGGGATTTAATTTGAAGTGAGTAGCCTTAAACCGGTCTTATTTTGGTTTTTAGCGATTTCTTCAGTAACGTTAAGATTGGCACTTTGTTGGAATCCTCCGTTTGTTAGTATTATATCCACTAGTTCATTGTTTTCGTAAATATGTATCATTTTTTCGCACAAAATGATCAGACAAATTAAAGTATACGCACTATTAAAAGACTGATACAACTGATCGAACCAAAGACTCGCATTGAAAACCATACAATAATACAAAAAGTTAGCCAAATTCAGATAAACGATAAGAGTAGAAAAAAACGCTAAGATTTTTCACGGTAGTGGTCGAACATATCAAAAAATCTGTGTAATGACTTTCTTATGTTTTTAATTTTCTACTATTTCTGTTATTATGCAACTTATAAGTATATAAATAGGAAATTTTTGGTATATCAATTCTTTTTGACGAGGCCTACAAGCAGTTAAAATGTATGACTCAACTTTGAAAACACCCTGCAGTCTGGAATAGTGCATAATAATATTGTTATTTTCAGGAACACTATAAAAAACCAGTGATATCTACAGTCTGCTGGCATGTTCACTGCGAGGAATGCTGGCTTCACACTCTGGTAAGCAGTTTTCTTTTTTTTAGTAACAATAGCCATTTAGTTTTTTCAGTGTTCATTTAGGTTGCAATGCAGGTGTTCCTCAGTGAGCGGTTTTGCCTCCAACGATCTTTCAACTCATCACGAATGAAGTATATTTTTTTATTTTGCTCGCCAGAGAACGTTGTAAAAAGTAGATTACGACCAAATTATTTGTCTACTTACGAATTCATCAGTTTGATACTTTTTCCTGACTCAAATTGGTACTATAAAAGCTTTGCAATATGACTTAACAAACGGACGCATGAAGCTGCATGTTACTGCATGTCGAGACATGTCCATGGGTGCATAGTCCAGCACTTCTGTTGATTTAGTTGTTCATTCGTATTGACGGTGTGAAGTGCGGACTATGGCATCGTGGTCACGTAGTGAGATAAGGGCAGTTTTACGGTATAACTTTACGCGTGGTTTAAGCATACACCAGTGCTTAGAAGAAATGACGCTGGGTACAGAGAATTCCAAAGGGACAGTTTCACTATGGAGGACGCTGAGATGGAGGGAACGTGAGTAACAGAGGAAAACGTTTCTGCGGTGAGGAAAATGCTTGACGAAGATCGGAGGATGCGCCTTTTTACTAAAATGAAACAGATATTGAACAAACTTCTTCAGCACATACATTAATGGACGTGTTCCGATGGTATATGAAAAAGAACTTAACGTTGAAGTTTAAAATCCCATTAGAAAATGGACGGGGTAGCACCCAAACCAACACAACTAAACGCAAGGTGTAAAATAAAAGCTTACTACTCCAGAAACAGGTGTTTGGGGTGTAGCCCAAAATCTGGAAGTTAACGAAACAACGCCCACACATAACCAAAACCTCAGCAGAAATTAAACAAAATGGCGCTGGACGCGTCTGTACGCGAAATTAAAAGAAGGTATCTTGTTAGTAAATCAAATATTAAAAGAAGGTATCTTGATAGGAAAGCAAATAATCGTATACGGCTAGTGCGTGTAGAAACAACAAGGTGGCACTAGTTGCCAATAGGCAGAACCAACTCGACGGGGGACTGACGATATCTTATGAGGAAATTTCGTTAATAATACTGTAACATTAATGTCCAAAAGATTTTAACACAATACTGAGTCGCTGAGAAAGAAACATAATACGTGTGAAATTATACAATCAATAAACTATGAAATTTACCAAAAGAAAAGGGTTTGGCCCACGAATCAGCACTCTATAATCGATAAAGAGAAATTAAAATTACTGGTAAGTGATCAAAATAGTAAAAAAAGGTTACGTGATTTTGGCGGCGCATTCCAAAGGGACAGTTTCACTATGGAGGACGTTGAGATGGAGGGAAGGCCGCGAACGTCAGTAACAGAGGAAAACATTACTGCGGTGCGGAAAATGCTTAACGAAAATCGGAGGATGTGCCTTTTTACTAAAATGAAAGAGATATTGAACAAACTTCTTCAGCACATACATTAGTGGACGTGGTCCGATGGTATACGAAAAAGAACTTAACGTTGAAGGTTAAAATGCCATTAGAAAATGGACGGGTAGTACCCAAACCAACACCACTAAACGTAAGGTGTAAAATAAAAGGGTACTACTCCATAACCTGATGTTTGGAGCGTTAATATCCCAAAATCTGGAAGTTAACGAAACAACGCCCACACATAACCAAAACCTCAGCAGAAATTAAACAAAATGGCGCTGGACGCGTCTGTACGCGATATTAAAAGAAGGTATCTTGATAGTAAATCAAATTTTAAAAGAAGGTATCTTGATAGGAAAGCAAATAATCGTATACGGCTAGTGCGTGTAGAAACCACAAGGTGGCGCTAGTTGCCAATGGGCAGAACCAACTCGACGGGGGACTGACGATATCTTATGAGGAAATTTCGTTAATAATACTGTAACATTAGTGTCCAAAATATTTTAACACAATACTGAGTCGCTGAGAAAGAAACATATAATACGTGTGAAATTATACAATCAATAAACTATGAAATTTACCAAAAGGAAAGGGTTTGGCCCACGAATCAGCACTCTATAATCGATAAAGAGAAATTAAAATTGCTGGTAAGTGCTCAAAATAGTAAAAAAAGGTTACGTGATTTTGGCGGCGCATTCCAAAGGGACAGTTTCACTATGGAGGACGCTGAGATGGAGGGAAGGCCGCGAACGTCAGTAACAGAGGAAAACATTACTGCGGTGATGAAAATGCTTGACGAAGATCGGAGGATGGTCTTTTTTACTAAAATGAAAGAGATATTGAACAAACTTTTTCAGCACATACATTAATGGACGTGTTCCGATGGTATATGAAAAAGAACTTAACGTTGAAGGTTAAAATCCCATTAGAAAATGGACGGGGTAGCACCCAAACCAACACCACTAAACGTAAGGTGTAAAATAAAAGGGTACTACTCCATAACCTGATGTTTGGAGCGTTAATATCCCAAAATCTGGAAGTTAACGAAACAACGCCCACACATAACCAAAACCTCATCAGAAATTAAACAAAATGGCGCTGGACGCGTCTGTACGCGAAATTAAAAGAAGGTATCTTGATAGTAGATCAAATTTTAACATCATTTTAAATGTGGTGGAAATTACTTTGAACAAAGTTGTATTGCAAAACTTTTATAGTACCCTGTGTATTACACGGCCTATCCGTATTAATGGCATTTTTTGTTACAGGGTAGCAAAAAAATGTGTCCTCAATGCAGTATGATCATATCGCCTTCAGATCTGCGACGTATATTTATGTAAAAAGTGATTCACCGTTTTCCTTGTTGTTATTATGTTACTAATATACTATATCGTAAACTCTAATCGTATGGTAAGCGGAAAAAGTATGTAAAAAATCATTTCGCACAAGCATACATCTCATAAAATGCACCAGGAACATAGATGTCCGTAATAAGTCATTCAGAAATGATGTCTATAGAATCTTATAGTTGCAATGTAAGATTTGCCATTTTTCGTTAATGTAACATGTGAAACTTATCCTTTGCGTAACGATATTTCTCTAGCCAATCAGAACCATATGTCAAAGTCATTGTCATTTTTTCAACACATGTGAATCGATTGGTCAGAGAAATATGGCGGATCATCATTTTTGTTTGCCGAAATATTCTCGCTTAATCTATCCCGGGTTGTCCGGGGCATTGTATATCAAAAATCTTCAAATATACAAGGTGATTCACAAGTCGTGACCAAAAGTAAAACATCATAATCAGGACCGCATTTTAAGGGGGGACTTCTATGTAACATTTTTTCCTCGAGAAAAATAAAAAATAATTTTTTTTAGTATCTTCAAAACCCTCAACTGGAATGAACCAAAATTTGGTAAATTCCACGGTTTTTGACATCGACCCCCACTATACTAAAAACATTATCGACTTGTTTCTATTCGGACAAAATGTCAATATTCATGATCAGTTATCGAGCATGGCCAACTTTCAGTTGAATGTTGAAAAAAGATCGAAATCACAGATAATTAAGCTACAGACAAGGCTTTATCCAATTTTTGTTACAAAATTATCGTATTGCACTTCATGTGACCCTATAAACGGCGTGTCCTTTTTAGTAGTTCATTCTCTGTGGTTTAGATTTTTAAGTCAGTGTCAGTGATAATATCAGGACGATCGGCGACGCCACTTTTCCATTTGTCGATATGGCACGATAGATACGAGGACTGTTTCAAAAATAAGGTTTCCACATTTTTTTCAGGCGCAAGGAATTTTATATTTGAAATAACAGATTCACCATTCGAAACGGTGACCTTTAAGCTATTTTTTCCATATTCGCCAATTTTTCCACGTAGTTCAGAGATATACTAACCTAAAGGTGCAATAATAGCGATCTTTGCGTATATTTAAGGTTATGCAGCATGGCGAATTATCTTTTTTAAATCATAGACATCTCAAAATACAAAGCTTGTCCTTTCAAATGCTATTGAGTTTACTTAAATACCTCGTTCAATCGCTGGAGATGTCACTTTAAAATTTTTAGTTTTTGAAAACTTTAAAGTATGATATCTCAGCGAAAGATAAAGATATTTAATCAAACTCAATGACATTTGAAAGGGTAAGGCTTTTCCTTTAAGATGATGTGTATGGTTTATATGAACAAAAAATCACCATGCTACATAACCCCAATTATGGCTCGTCAGAAAAATGAAAACTTTAAAGTGTGATATCTCAGCGAAAGATAAAGATATTTAGTCAAACTCAATGACATTTGAAAGGAAAATGCATTTGCTTTAAGACGATGTGTATGGTTTATATGAACAAAAAATCACCATGCTACATAACCCCAAATATGGCTCGTCAAAATAAAAAGGCGAAATTCAGAAAAATGAAAACTTTAAAGTGTGATATCTCAGCGAAAAATAAAGATATTTAATCTACTTCAATGACATTTGAAAGGGAAAGGCTTTTGCTTTAAGATGATGGTATGGTTTATATGAACAAAAAATCACCATGCTACATAACCCCAAATATAGCTCGTCAAAATAATAACGTGAAATTCAGAAAAATGAAAACTATGATATCTCAGCGAAAAATAAAGATATTTAATCAAACTCAATGACATTTGAAAGGGAAAGGCTTTTGCTTTAAGATGATGTGTATGGTTTATACGAACAAAAAATCACCATGCTACATAACCCCAAATATGGCTCGTCAAAATAAAAAGGCGAAATTCAGAAAAATGAAAACTTTAAAGTGTGATATCTCAGCGAAAAATAAAGATATTTAATCAACTTCAATGACATTTGAAAGGGAAAGGCTTTTGCTTTAAGATGATGGTATGGTTTATATGAACAAAAAATCACCATGCTACATAACCCCAAATATAGCTCGTCAAAATAATAACGTGAAATTCAGAAAAATGAAAACTTTAAAGTATGATATCTCAGCGAAAAATAAAGATATTTAATCAAACTCAATGACATTTGAAAGGGAAAGGCTTTTGCTTTGAGATGATGGGTATGGTTTATATGAACAAAAAATCACCATGCTACATAACCCCAAATATGGCTCGTCAAAATAAAAAGGCGAAATTCAGAAAAATGAAAACTTTAAAGTGTGATATCTCAGCGAAAAATAAAGATATTTAATCTACTTCAATGACATTTGAAAGGGAAAGGCTTTTGCTTTAAGATGATGGTATGGTTTATATGAACAAAAAATCACCATGCTACATAACCCCAAATATGGCTCGTCAAAATAAAAAGGCGAAATTCAGAAAAATGAAAACTTTAAAGTGTGATATCTCAGCGAAAAATAAAGATATTTAATCTACTTCAATGACATTTGAAAGGGAAAGGCTTTTGCTTTAAGATGATGGTATGGTTTATATGAACAAAAAATCACCATGCTACATAACCCCAAATATAGCTCGTCAAAATAATAACGTGAAATTCAGAAAAATGAAAACTTTAAAGTATGATATCTCAGCGAAAAATAAAGATATTTAATCAAACTCAATGACATTTGAAAGGGAAAGGCTTTTGCTTTGAGATGATGGGTATGGTTTATATGAACAAAAAATCACCATGCTACATAACCCCAAATATGGCTCGTCAAAATAAAAAGGCGAAATTCAGAAAAATGAAAACTTTAAAGTGTGATATCTCAGCGAAAGATAAAGATATTTAGTCAAACTCAATGACATTTGAAAGGAAATGCATTTGCTTTAAGACGATGTGTATGGTTTATATAAACAAAAAATCACCATGCTACATAACCCCAAATATGGCTCGTCAAAATAAAAAGGCGAAATTCAGAAAAATGAAAACTTTAAAGTGTGATATCTCAGCGAAAGATAAAGATATTTAGTCAAACTCAATGACATTTGAAAGGAAATGCATTTGCTTTAAGACGATGTGTATGGTTTATATAAACAAAAAATCACCATGCTACATAACCCCAAATATGGCTCGTCAAAATAAAAAGGCGAAATTCAGAAAAATGAAAACTTTAAAGTGTGATATCTCAGCGAAAAATAAAGATATTTAATCAAACTCAATGACATTTGAAAGAGAAAGGCTTTTGCTTTAAGATGATGTGTATGGTTTATATGAACAAAAAATCACCATGCTACATAACCCTAAATATGGCTCGTCGAAATAAAAAGGCGAAATTCAGAAACATGAAAACTTTAAAGTGTGATATCTCAGCGAAAGATAAAGATATTTAGTCAAACTCAATGACATTTGAAAGGAAATGCATTTGCTTTAAGACGATGTGTATGGTTTATATAAACAAAAAATCACCATGCTACATAACCCCAAACATGGCTCGTCAAAATAAAAAGGCGAAATTCAGAAAAATGAAAACTTTAAAGTGTGATATCTCAGCGAAAAATAAAGATATTTAATCAAACTCAATGACATTTGAAAGAGAAAGGCTTTTGCTTTAAGATGATGTGTATGGTTTATATGAACAAAAAATCACCATGCTACATAACCCTAAATATGGCTCGTCGAAATAAAAAGGCGAAATTCAGAAACATGAAAACTTTAAAGTGTGATATCTCAGCGAAAGATAAAGATATTTAGTCAAACTCAATGACATTTGAAAGGAAATGCATTTGCTTTAAGACGATGTGTATGGTTTATATAAACAAAAAATCACCATGCTACATAACCCCAAATATGGCTCGTCAAAATAAAAAGGCGAAATTCAGAAAAATGAAAACTTTAAAGTGTGATATCTCAGCGAAAGATAAAGATATTTAGTCAAACTCAATGGCATTTGAAAGGTTAAGGCTTTTGCATTAAGATGATGTATATGGTTTATATAAACAAAGAATCACCATGCTACATAACCCCAAATATGGCTCGTCAAAATAAAAAGGCGAAATTCAGAAAAATGAAAACTTTAAAGTGTGATATCTCAGCGAAAAATAAAGATATTTAATCAAACTCAATGACATTTGAAAGGGAAAGGCTTTTGCTTTAAGATGATGGGTATGGTTTATATGAACAAAAAATCACCATGCTACATAACCCCAAATATAGCTCGTCAAAATAATAAAGTCAAATTCAGAAAAATGAAAACTTTAACCTATGATATCTCAGCTAAACGGAAAGATATTTGTGCAAAATTAACAGCATTTGAAAAGGCAAGGATTATTTTTTGAGATCATGTCTATGTTTTCATTGATTCGCCATGCTACATAACCTCAAATTTAGGTCAGGATATCTCGAAAACTAGAGCCAATTGAGAGATTTGGAACGATTCAAAAGCGTTCGGAAAAGTACAGTCCGTTTTATTTTGTAAAACTCTTGCCGGCTTGTGATATTAAAAACGGAATAGATTCTGGCTGCTTATCGCGTTGTGTTGACCAATGGAAAAAGCGCTTGATATTATTACGTAATTTCTGTTAAAAATTAGATATGAGTTGTTTGTATTATAGCAAATTAATTTATTTCGTATGTATGTAAAATGTATACACATGTTTATAGGAAAAGAGAAATAAATTTTATGTTACGTTATCTCTTGTTTTATTGCACGTTTCCAGAACTCGTCATTCGATGCTTTTTTGCGTAGTCAATAAATTTTTTTTTGGAGGGGAGGAAATCAAATGAAGTACTAGGTACGTTCTTACACTTTATGAAAACATTCAACACTCAAATATAATACAATTACACACAAAATACACATAAGCATCATAAAATCTCCTTCCAAATTACAACTTGATGTCGATCTTCCCATTGGAAGTAAGATTCCTGATAGAAGATATTCCCGCGAAAATATCGTGCTTGTTGTCGACCCATTTTCCGCTCTCGTTGTATTGCCAATCCAATATTCCTCCGTATCCCCCTTCGTAGATGTGCCTGTAGTTCACCTCAGGACTGTGACTTTCGCTGTTCGTCGTAGAGAATTCCTCGACGACGATCGGCTTCTTCTTGTTGTAGAAGTTGAACTGGTTCTTAAAAGGACTTGAGGGCGTATAACGGCCTTCCCAGGTGTAGCTGTGTAGAGCATAGAAATCTGGAAGAATAAAATTATAGATGCACCTATAAAGTTCAAAGTTTTCTTTGATCAACACTTGGATTTTAAACGAACAATAACGCGCTGTTGGGAGACCTCAAGTGGAGATTTAACGTCTGTATCTGAGAGGTGCTATTTTTGGTACATCGTGAGATCGATAGTTATAGATTGCTAGATCGTTAGCTCGATAATGCGATAGTTCGATAGTTCGATATTTAGATAGTTCGATAGTTCGATAGTTTTGATAGTTCGATAGATCGATAGTTCGATAGATTGATAGGTTCGATAGATCGATAGTTCGATCGATCGTTAGATCGATAGATTGATAGGTCGACGGTTCGATAGTTCGATAATTTGATAATAGTTCGATAGATTGATAGATTGATAGATTGATAGAGTGATAGATTGATAGATTGATAGATTGATAGATTGATAGATTGATAGATTGATAGATTGATAGATTGATAGATTGATAGATTGATAGATTGATAGATTGATAGATTGATAGATTGATAGATTGATAGATTGATAGATTGATAGATTGATAGATTGATAGATTGATAGATTGATAGATTGATAGATTGCTATATTGATAGATTGATCGATTGATAGATTGATAGATTGATAGATTGATAGATTGATAGATTGATAGATTGATAGATTGATTGAGATTGATAGATTGATAGATTGATAGATGATAGATTGATAGAATGATAGATTGATAGATTGATAGATTGATAGATTGATATATTGATAGATTGATAGATTGATAGATTGATAGATTGATAGATTGATAAATTGATAGATTGATAGATTGATAGATTGATAGATTGATAGATTGATAGATTGATAGATTGATAGATTGATAGATTGATAGATTGATAGATTGATAGATTGATAGATTGATAGATTGATAGATTGATATTGATAGATTGATAGATTGATAGATTGATAGTGATAGTTGATAGATTGATAGATTGATAATGATAGATTGATAGATTGATAGATTGATAGATTGATAGATTGATAGATTGATAGATTGATAGATTGATAGATTGATAGATTGATAGATTGATAGATTGATAGATTGATAGATTGATAGATTGATAGATTGATAGATTGATAGATTGACAGATTGATAGATTGATAGATTGATAGATTGATAGATTGATAGATTGATAGATTGATAGATTGATAGATTGATAGATTGATAGATTGATAGATTGATAGATTGATAGATTGATAGATTGATAGATTGATAGATTGATAGATTGATAGATTGATAGATTGATAGATTGATAGATTGATAGATTGATAGATTGATAGATTGATAGATTGATAGATTGATAGATTGATAGATTGATAGATTGATAGATTGATAGATTGATAGATTGATAGATTGATAGATTGATAGATTGATAGATTGATAGATTGATAGATTGATCGCTTGATAGGCTTGCTGCTTGCTCGTGTCTTGTTAGATTGCTCGCTTGATACGGATTGATCGATTGCTTGCCTGCTGCTGATTGCTAGCTGGATAGATTGTAGATGCTAGGTTGCTAGATTGCTAGATTGGCTGTTGATCGATTGATCGGTTGCTCGCTTGCATCGCTGATGGTTGCTCGGCCTTGATGCTTGCCTGATGCTAGCTGCTGCTGTGCTGATGCTCGCCTGTTGATCGCTGATGATAGACTTGATGCTAACTGATGATAGCTTGATGATATTACTGATGCTCGACTGATGATAGACTGATAATAGACTGATGATAGACTGATGATAGGCTGGATGAGTAGACTGACTGCTCGACCGTCGCCTGCTCGACTGATAGTCGATAGATCGATAGATCGATGGATTGAAAGATTGATAGATCGATAGTTTGATAGATTGACACATTTATTTAATTGGTTGGCTGATTCTTACCAATGGTTCCATTTGGCTTGCCGCCGGCTCCTATGAGACACTCATCAGTGTAGTGATCCCTACATTTTTCGCAAACGTTCGTGGTGGTGAATTCTCCCGCTTCGCCAGTTGTGACCAGGGCTTTAGGGTCCACTGATTTGATAGCGTCTGCGTGCCAGTTGATCAATTTCAGAATGTTCTAAAATGATAAGGGACGTCAAGTAGAATATCTCAGCACTTAAAATATATTAAGGTCTCTATCTACTAGGATCGAACCTTTAATACACCAAAAACTAATAATCTAGGAAGCGTTGAGGTTAAAGATAGTTACGAAAAATGTGATCCACCAAAAAAATGTTTGCCAACCTGGTAGTAAACAGTGGTACCAGCCCACCCGGCACCTGTGCCCTGGAGATGGGTGGTATCATAACATGGATTCGGATCTTCTTGCCATTGACTCAAACTGCCCATGGGTTCGTTCACCAGGTCCCAGGCTGCCAAAGCTCTCTTATGCTTCAGACCTGAATGGAAACTTTTCTTAACCGTAATGCCAATATAAAAAATATGTGATTTGTTTTTATGCTTTCATTTCTAACGATTTTATGTAGAATAGTTAACTAGTTGTTTTATACGAAAACCTACCTGCAACCAACGGCTTCAAAACCCTGTCGAGATAACTCTGCAATCTATCCTCTTGAGTGTAGAGATGCAACATAGGCTGTGGGGTCACGTCCAAGTTCCACAAAACGAATATGACCAGGACGTTCTTGGTGGCAGCATAGTCCAGCAGCTGCCCCAACTCTTGGATGAGAGATTCGGTGTCTTCGCCCGTAGCGAACCCGTTTTGATCCCACTTTGGCGACCATTGGCCGTCTGTGTGGACCCACACCCTGATCACGTTTCCACCAGCGTTGCTAATTTCATCTATGGCGTATTCGAAACGGGGCCTGACTTGGTTGTAGGCGCCGCTGCCGAAATCTCTGCAAAAAATAATGTCGTCAAGTAGGTGACTCCCAAGCAATTTGGTGATCAATTAAATTATTCTTGGTTTGTACATGTAAGTCGATCGTTCAGGTAGTCGGAGATTTTGAAAATCGGTTCAGAAGCGGTGGAAAATCAGGCGGCTTGTAACATATGTGTATACAGGGTGTCCCGAAAAAGTGTGCAATATTCTACCGGCGGTTTCTAGAGCTTAAAATAGGAAGAAAAGTTTATATAAACATAGGTCGACAAACGTCCCCTAAGGGCGCTACGGTCTTTTAAAGGGGCTCCCCTGGAGATGGTTTTTCCTTAATAATTCAGAAACGTGTTGTGATAAGGACATAAAATTTGGTATTCTAGCCTAGTTTTTTATGCTGGATTTAAAAATATTTACAGGGACGGACTCAGGTTATTTGAGCTCCAAAAATTTTTAAAATTCAATTTTAGAATTTTAAAATTTTGGGTTTTCTGCATAAAAAAGGTACTTGTATTGAATATCGATAAATTGTACCATTTTTGAATAAAATCAAACTAAAAGAATTGTCACATGATAGGAAATGTACTGCGAATTTAAATGAATTGTTGATTATACTTCGAAGTTGAGTCATTTATTTTAACAGTGACTAGATCTGATCAAAAGAAATGTTTTTTCCTTTACCATTTTTCTGGTAAAATTAAAGTAACAAAGTTATAGCCCTTTGGAAGTTTGAGTACCGCCCTGTCTCAATAATAATATTATGTGCTCGTGTTTGGCGACAACGGATATAATACGTCGTATCGGTTCATCGCATCGGAAACAAAAAAGCGAAAGAATTTGGAACGATGTTTTTACAATTGTTTTATTCATTTGTATACAGTCAGTGTCAGTGAATAGTGGTGTCTGTTGCGTGGCTCAAACGAAATGAAAAATGGCACATGTTTATGCGGATCGGTTTCCCAATCGAGTGCAACCAACCCCTCGTGCCTTTGTTAATGTAGTACAAGCTAATTTTTCTCGAAATGCCATTCAGAATTTCCACAATAATCATTTGTGGGCAGAAGAAAATCCCTATGCCGTAACCGAAACCCATTTCCAACATCAATTTTCGGTTAAAGACTCCTCTACACGTTGGTCAACACGCTGGACAATGTAGAGGATACTGTTGGTCGTATTGGCGCAATTGGCAGAGCTGGTACAAGCGTTGGCGACCGATCCGTCGTGGTGTCAGTTCAAAGGCGTTACCCCTTAGAACTGGCGGACGCTGGTATTCTCGTCCACACGTTGGGGATTCACTGGCCTAGTATGTGATCAACTATTGTAGGGCACTGGTGTTTTTAAGTGCTTTTGTTCTGTGGTGCTTAGAGATTTTGTGACTGTTCATTGTGTATTTGATAGTACATAATGGTGATGATGAGTAACGAAGAAGTTTTTCAATTCATAGAACGTTAGCAGACCGAAAACTGTATTTGGAATCCTGATCTCCATGTTGGCCAGCGGATTGGCCAACGTGTAGAGGAGCCTTAACGTATGGCAGGAATTATTGGCAACCACTTTATTCGTCTTGCCGGGACGCCTTGACGGACAGACTTACCTCAATTTTCTTCAACAACAGTTGCCTTTGCTACATGATGATGTTAGTAATAAGAAACAATATGTGGTACATGCATGATGGTGTACCAGCGCATTTCAGTGTAGCGATTCGTAATTATTTACAAACTGTTTATCCAAATCGTTGGATTGACCGCGGTGGGCCCCAAGAATGGCCACCAAGGTCCCCAAACCTCAACAGCTTAGGTTTCTTTTTGTGGGGCTATCTTAAGACACTAGTGTAGACAAGTCTCATTAACACTGTAGAGTAGAGGAATCAAGAGAAAGAATAGTTACAGCTTCTGATAGAATAAAAAACACTCAAGTGATATTTCAACGAGTGCGCAATTCCATGAGGAGGAGGGCGGAAGAATCCATACTAAGCGAAGGGGGCCATTTTTAACAATTTTTGTAATCATTTCGTTGGTTTTAATGTTATGTTTATGTTGTCATCCCGAGTTTTTGTAAGGAAACATTTTCACACCGTTAAATATTCGCATACCGTTAAGGAACACCCTGTAGATGTGTGATAACTTAGGGAAACGTTTCACATGAAAAGGTGTGAAAGTACCTAAGCCACATTGATCTTATTTCGAGAAAGCTACGTAAGTCCTGAAATCAGGTTTCGATTGAAATGCTACGATCGATTTACATTTCGAGCAACAACTTTTTGATGATAACACAATCGAACAAATATGACGCATTTTGGTAAAATGAATTCATTTTTGAAAAAAATATTCCAAAGGTAATTTAAAAATGGCTTTTCTACGTTAAAGTTCTTTCTCTTGACATATATGGGGCCAAATGCGTCTTTCAATTAGGGCTGAAGATTGAAGAAGGCCACATAGAAAAACGCTTCTGGTCAAAAAGCGCCCAAAACTTACCTAGCAAAGTCGAACCAAGCGATGTTGGCACCGGATAGAAACACTTTCTCGTCATTATAATAGAACGAGGTATTTCTAACACTCAAAAATCCATCTATCGATTGCACGCCTAGTATAACAAAACACGCTAGGACCACCTTCATCTTGACTGCCTTAATCAATCTCGAGATTTTTTTCCGCTCTTTATATTTTGACGGTTTATCACTAGCAACCACTTGAGGATCAAGCGTCGTCAAGTGGAGATATCAAAGTTGTTGACTTATTAACAATTAGCTTATACAAATATAATAGTGTATTTTGAGCGTATGATGATATTCTTCGGAAAAGAAACAACAATCGCATATACAATAAGCCTTATGGAAATTACGCATACCAGAGAAATTTAAGGTTTTACAATAGATTTGTATTTTCAGGTACAGTGATTTGGTGACGTAATGCATTTTCGTAAAATGTATTTATTTTACTTTCTACGCCACTGGGCGAGGAAGCGTCGCATTTGCGACACAATTTTTAGCTAAGCACAATGAACAAAAGCATAGCAACTAACCTCTATCTGAGGTATAAGATATAGTGTAAAAGATGGGGTTCTAGAACTTCGTGGATATAACGCTACGCGTTCATGTTACCTCTGATGAAGATTAAAGGTGACCTGGAACCATAAACTATAGCACCCCAAACCATAACTCCAACAATGTGATGAACATGTCTTTCAACAAAAAACTGTGGATTCCTCCTTTCACCACGCCGTCTTCTAACCCTGACACGACCATCGTGCTTGCCTAAACAAAATCGAGACTCGTCACTAAAGACAATACTGTTCCATTCCTGATCCCAGAGTGACCGCTGTCTGCACCACTCAAGGCGATTACGTCGGTGTTCTCGAGTTAAAGGGAGGACCCAGTGTGGCCGGTGTGAAAACAAGCCAAAACTTCTCATTCGTCAGTAAACACTTCGCATGCCAATAGGTCTTCCGTGTTCTGCAAGCCATTCATTTGCAATGGACCTGGTAGTGGAGAAACGGTCCCTTAAGGCCAATAATCTTAGGCGGCGATCTTCACGGTCTGTTGTTCTACGGCGGCGTCCAGTGCTCCTTGCTCTTTGCGTACGGCCTTCTCGAAGCCATGCCTGACAACACCTAACCACAGTGTCTACACTTCTTTGCACTCTAACTGCAATTGCCCGAAAAGAAAGTCCAGCTTCCCGAAGTCCCACTATACGGCCCCTATCAAACTCACTAAGTTGACGAAATCGTACAGGTCTCCGTACTCTAGGCATCGTAACCGATCGTAAAGGATGTCAAGAACCAAAATCCGCCAACGTTGATTCTTTACTGCGGCTGAAATATTCATTTTTAGAGCGTTAGTGAATTAAAAAAAGCAGTATAAAAACCGGAATGTCGAACTGATAAGGCTGAAAATTTTTTCACTTGTTATTTACAGTAAGATAAATACATTCATCAACTTTTATTAAAATAAAACCAGTTAAACTGGGTGTTCGGATTTATATGTCACTTAGTATATTATTGAAAGTTCTATTAATTGTCGATAGCAACTTCTTTAATCAATTCACGTCGATAAAATTCTAGCAGCTTGCCAGTTTCTGAAATATTCAGGCCTGATAGCTTTTCAGTATAAATCTGTATGTTCTCAAAAATGTTTCTTAAAACGATCAAGAGCCTATGAAACGTAAATTTTGAGCAACTTTTATTTTTTCAAAAACTATAAAGCTTTTTCATGCTTGACATAGAGTAACCTCACAATCAAAATCAAAAGTGTTATTTGAGAGCAAAATAGATACCGGTGTTCAGTGGAATATTTCATATTTTATCATCACCTTGTATGAAAGCACTTCTAATCTTGCATATCTCCACGGCAGACTCCGTACGTGATAACTTCATAAAATCATTAATTCTAATAGATTACGCATAACTGCGGATTTTCCAGAATTTATCTCTATTCAAATAAAAAAAATGTGTCAACTCTTTCAACACTGTCATCAATTGGTAGGGGATTAGGGCACAATTCGGGTTTCGCGAATCAAAATACCGTACAGGTCATTTAAACCGCATTTAAAGCATTTTAATTTTCAGTTACCATGTATTATACAGGGTGATTCACAAGTCGTAACCAAAAATGAAACATCGTACACAGGATCGCACTTCAAGGGGCGTCTTCTATGTAACATTTTTTTCTATTTTTTCACGTTGTGTTTAAAAATAAAAATTTTCAAACTTCAACGCTGTATCTTTTTAATGAAGTCGTCGAGAAAAAAATGTTATATGGGGTTGTAGAAAACGGACGCAGGAAAGTAAACGCATATTAAAACAAGAAAGATTGATATTCAAATCAAGTTGGGTAGTTTATTTTGAAGGTTCATTTATTCCATTTATGTATGAAAAATAATATCGCTCAAATGTTCACCACGACTGGATTTACAGACGTCCACGCGATGGTCGAAATTTTCAATGACATTTTGAGACATGGTCGGTTCTATGGCATTTATCTCGGCAATGATGTTGTTTTTGAGTTCTTGAAGGGTGGCTAGTTTGTTGACGTAGACTTTGCTTTTCCAATATTCCCATAAAAAGAAGTCCAAGGGAGTCAAATCGCACGATCTTGGTGGCCATGGCACATTTCCTCTGCGCGAAATCACGCGATCACCGAAGAAGGACTGCAATCGATGGATATTGACGTTTGTTGTGTGACATGTTGCACCGTTTTGTCGGAAATAAACATCGTCCACATCCATTCCTTCAAGTTGCGGCAAAAAATAGTCCTCTATCATCACGTGATATCGCTCAGAATTGACGGTAACGGCGTCTCCGGCCGCATTTTCGAGAAAGTAAGGTCCTAAGATGCCTTTTGACCACAATGCACACCACACAGTCACTTTTTGAGGATGCATCGGCTGCTCTTGATACTCACGGGGATTTTCGTTCGCCCAGATGCGGCAGTTTTGCTTGTTCACCGTCCCATTCAAAGTGAAATGCGCTTCGTCGCTGAACATGATTTTTGATGAAAATTTGGCATCAATTTGGCGGTGTTCAAAGAGCCAATCTGAGAACGTTCGGCGCGAAAAATGGTCGGCCCGACGCAGCTCTTGCGTCAATTGGATCTTGTAGGCGTGTACATTCAAATCCTTGTGGAGAATGCGGAGCAAACTGGTTCTCGAAATGCCCAATTCTTGGGATCGACGCGTTGTTGATTGTTTCGGATCGTCTCTCACACTCTCCTTCACAACAGCAATACGAACGCTCCTTGGCCGGCCAGAGCCTGGCAGATTTGCCACAGAACCTGTTGCCTCGAATTTACGCACCAGACGACCGATGGTTGTTTCGTTTGGGCGGTTGTTGCGACCGAAATGTTCACGAAGCGCGCGAAACGTGTTTTTTATTTTTGCACCATTTTTGTAGTGCTCTTGAATAACTTTAATGCGGTCTTCAATCGAATACGACTCCATAGCGATCAATGGTAAACATTCAACTAACAAAATGACATGTCGGTGACAGAAAACAAAGATGGCGTCTATGTCAAATTGACGTTTACTTTCCTGCGTCCCTATTGGACAACTCTGTATTATAGAAGACCTCGCTTAAAATGCGGTCCTCTGTATGATGTTCCATTTTTGGTCACGGCTTGTGAATCACCCTGTATAGCATAAAAGTCGGAATAGATTTCTATGGAAGCATTTTCACCAGCGGCACTGTACTAAAGGCAGAAAATAGATTTTCTTACGTAAGCCCTGCTTAAACCGTCCACCTATTTTTAGACCAAATTTTCGCTTACCTATTTCCTACCCAACAGTGACAAAATGTACTCGAAATTGTTCCAATAGGATTCCAAATAACGACTAAGCTAACATGAAGTAAAACTTTGTCGATTCACGAAAAATTTGGGCAATGTGACGCTTTCGGTAACGTTCGGTTACCGCGCTATTTTTGGTTTTGATTTTCCGCCTGTCATTATACGCGTTATAAATACATTCTGGTGAGAAAATACAACAAAAAACTCGGAAAAAGCAGCCGTTTATAGTGTGTCGCATTTTCCGATGTGAAAAGTGATCGTGGAAAATGTCGACGGATGCGGCTCAAGCGAGGAAGCGGAAGGATAAGAAGAAAAGAAAAGGTAAGGAAAATGTTGTGTAACATAAATTTGTGATTGCTGAAGTTACATCCCGAGTTTGAACTCGTACGTTTTCTTATAGTTGTGAGCTTTCTTTGTGTAAGAAACAAAGGATTTTCTTAGTGCTATAACTTGGAAAATACCGATCCGATTTTGTTCAATTTGCACACAAGGTTGCGAAGGACACAAAAATTTAATAAGATTTTAAAAATTGCGGCGGCGGTGCTTGGGGCAAAAGAAGGTAGAAAATAAAAAAATCACACTTCGTTTTTTGAAGTTTCAGAGAATCCTGATCATTTTTGGAAAAAATCTAAGGAGTTAAAAATTGGGGGGGGGGAGTATATCTCAATTTTTTGACAGTGGTATACTTATATGCATCCAGCCGTGGAAATTCTACGCACACTTTTAGACATATACTAAGTGACATATAAATCCGAACACCCAGTTTAAATGGTTTTATTTTAATAAAAGTTTGTGAATGTATTTATCTTACTGTAAATAACAAGTGAAAAAATTTTCAGCCTTATCAGTTGGACATTCCGGTTTTTATACTGCTTTTTTTTAATTCACTAACGCTCTAAAAATGAATATTTCAGTCGCACTAAAGAATCAACGTTGGCGGATTTTGGTTCTTGACATCCTTACGATGCCTAGAATACGGAGACCTGTACGATTTCGTCAACTTAGTGAGTTTGATAGGGGCCGTATAGTGGGACTTCGGGAAGCTGGACTTTCTTTTCGGGCAATTGCAGTTAGAGTGCAAAGAAGTGTAGACACTGTGGTTAGGTGTTGTCAGGAATGGCTTCGAGAAGGCCGTACGCATAGAGCAAGGGGCACTGGACGCCGCCGTAGAACAACAGACCGTGAAGATCGCCGCCTAAGATTATTGGCCTTAAGGGACCGTTTCTCCACTACCAGGTCCATTGCAAATGAATGGTTTGCAGAACACGGAAGACCTATTGGCATGCGAAGTGTTTACCGACGAATGAGAAGTTTTGGCTTGTTTTCATACCGGCCACACTGGGTCCTACCTTTAACTCGAGAACACCGACGTAATCGCCTTGAGTGGTGCAGACAACGGTCACTCTGGGATCAGGAATGGAACAGTATTGTCTTTAGTGACGAGTCTCGATTTTGTTTAGGCATGCACGATGGTCGTGCCAGGGTTAGAAGGCGACGTGGTGAAAGGAGGAATCCACAGTTTTTTGTTGAAAGACATGTTCATCACACTGTTGGAGTTATGGTATATCCACGAAGTTCTAGAACCCCATCTTTTACCCTATCTTGACACCCTGGCAGATCCAACTTTCCAACAAGTAAATGCCCGACCACATGTTTCAAGAGTCACAATAGACTTCTTTCAACATAACATAATGATGTCATAATGATGGGTAGGAGATTGCTCAATTTGCAACGTCCTCCTCAGACTCTAGAAGCACTTCGAGAGGAGTTGGTGGTTGCCTGGAATGAGATACCACAGAAGGACATTACCACCTGATCAGAAGCATGCCTAGGCGCGTTGGAGAATGCGTAGCACATCAGGGTGGATCCACACATTATTAAAGGTCAAATGCTTCATTAAGTACTTATACAAAATTTTATTAAAATAAAACCATTTAAACTGGGTGTTCGGATTTATATGTCACTTAGTATACATTACACCTGATAGTGCTCCTTGGAAATAGTGTGGCCCAATAATTTTTACGCCAATGATGCCAATCCACACATTTAGTCACCATACATTTTGATTGTACACTTGTCGTTTTCAATGTTCTCAATCAAATGAGTCATCAAAATTGCATAACGAACGACTGTCTTCGGTTAAGATAAGTCTTGTTGAGCGAGAAAAAATCGTTGTTTTGGGAAGCGATTCTAAAACAAACTCGAATCAACTTTCTGATTTCCAGAAGATGAAGATCCTATTCCAAAACTGGTTCACCCGCACCCGGTCTTCACCAACAACAATACCGTGGTTACCGAAGACGTGAACGTTCACGTTCACAAAGAGGGAGGCGTTGGAGGCGGAATTTGCGCTAAGTTGGTCTTCTTTTTGCTCTTCTCGGCTTTGGCAGTGCTTATCGGACTTATCATCACCGAACATAGAGGACTTACTGATCGTGAGTATTATTATACCGAAAACAGAAACTCTCAATCCAGTACTTCTCTCGGCTCATATGAAAAATGGACTGGTGAGCGCTTAAGATTATTTTTCTTAACCAACAAATGATATTTCAGTGGAGGCGGTCGAAACAGAATCTCGTTTCGCTGATATTTTTGACGGATGGATCGACAACAAGCAAGATGCACATGACGATCATGATGAAGCTGTTGACGCCATTAGTGGAGAAGAAGAAGATCACGATGATGAACACGACGATGACGATTTAGGTAAAATACTTCTCAATCACAAAAATCATTTTGCGAGATTCGAGCAGGTGAATATTGACGACCAATATATTTTGTTAGATGAAGGCTACGATGACCATGATGATGAAGATGAGGATCGTGAAGAAGAAGCTGAGGAAGGCTCAGAAGAAGACGAAGAGGATAACGCTTCAGAAGTAGACGAAGATGAAGAACAAGAAGCTGTTTCTGCTGAAGCTGAAGACGACGATGAGGATGATGGTGAACAGGAAGACGAAGATGAAGGGGATCAAGCTGAAGATGACGAAGTACCAGCTAGTGAAGAAGAAGATGAGACCGCTGAGGGATCAGAGGAAAGGGTGGTAGACGAAGATCAAGACGATGATGACAACGACGAAGATGATAATAAGGAAGAAGACGGTGATGAGGAAGATGAGAATGATGGAGGGTCAGAAGGTGAATATGAAATAGGAAATAATATACGAGATTTTTCCTAAAGAAATTCAGAGGATTATTCCTCGAGGATGTTTTAGATGTTGCTTCATTTTGATTGTACAAGGCGAAAAACAGATATTTCATTTTCCTCGTTAATTGTCGTCCCTATCGCAAAAATTCCAAAAATGAGAATTTATTATTACTATTATTGTGCTTGTTATTAGGTGAGGAAGATGAAGTCGTTTCCGAAGAAAAATCCTACTACGCGCATAGTGACGTTGACAATGACGATGACGATGATGATACGTCAAAACCGGATCAAGATGATGAAGAAGACGAAGGTTTCGATGAAAAAGATGGAGATGATCTAGATGAAGAAGCTGATGAACGTTACAAAGATGAGGAAGATGATGAGAAAGTTAGTTGGTTGCCGTCTGCTGAAACTACGTCGAAAGAAAAAGTTGAAAAGAAGAAAGCAAGTGATAAGGTGAGCAAATTCGGAACATCATTTTGTCAACAGTATGCCTAAATTAAAATGCTTAGACCTTGTTCACGGTTGTAGAGTGGAATAAGATGATCTAAAATAAATCTTTAATACGAAGAAATTTTGTTGTTGATAGCATCAAAATACTATTAGTTTGGACAAGTGAAATCTTGCTATAATTTTAGGAGAAACCTGTAAAACGAGAAGCCACTTCTAAGGAGGAAGAAATTCCAGACGATACGAATGGAGCTTCAAACAGTAAGTATACGTTGTCTTTGTCTGTCTAGTAACATGAACCATCCATTTTTGAGCTCTGGTTAATGTAAACTGATAGAAGAAGGAATGTTAATACGAAAAATTCATGATTAGGGTCTTTGAAACAATTTGGTCTTCTTGGGGTTATTTTGTTATTTTATATATATATAAATATATATATCTTGAAAACCACATCACCTGAAATGATTTGGCAACGTAGCACACGCCTTAAGAATTTTCGTTCCATCATTCTACACGGACACTGCTAACCTTCGGCCATCTGTCAAAAGGTTTATCTTACTCATGATTCTATGCCCGCCATTTTGTGCAATCATCAAGTGGCTTCACGATGTAATGCTTAACTTTCATTTTAAATATTTTTAATCTGTTTTTAGTTTGTTCTTGTCATACAGCTATGTGTAGTTTGTATAATTTTGACCATTGTACCATGTATCCAGCTTTCACCATGTTACTGGGTGTTTCCCTCATCCTTAACGTAAATAACATTTAGCAACATCCTCATATACTACTGTAAGTTAATTTAAATTCATTTTACACGATTGTTGCTACTTTTATCAATGTAATTGCAGCTCCTGATGATGATGGCAAAGACCATTGAAAGCTAGAGAGATTAAAAAAGTATAAAGAGTCCTCCTTGCTTAAATTTTTTCGAAGTACCCAACAAAAGGCGGAAGCTTTAATTTTCACCTAACTGGTCTATATATATATACAGGGAGACTTCGAAGTTGAGTCATTTATTTTAACAGTGAGTAGATCTGATCAAAAGAAATGTTTTTTTCCTTTACCATTTTTCTGGTAAAATTAAAGTAACAAAGTTATAGCCCTTTGGAAGTTTGAGTACCGCCCTATCTCAATAATAATATCATGTGCTCGTGTTTGGCAACAACGGATATAATCCGCCTTATCGGTTCATCGCATCGGAAACAAAAAAGCGAAAGAATTTGGAACGATGTTTTTACAATTATTTTATTCAGTTGTATACATACAGTCAGTGTCAGTCGGTAACGCGTGTGAATAGTGGTGTCTGTTGCGTGGCTCAAACGAAATAAAAAATGGCACATGTTTATGCGGATCGGTTTCCCAATCGAGTGCAACCAACCCCTCGTGCCTTTGTTAATGTAGTACAACGGGCTCGTGAATCAGGTGACTTAAGACCTCACAGGGGACCTCACGATCAAATACAGGTCCGCACTGAAATACTTGTCGGGAGGATACTTTATAAAACAAGGTAAACATTTTTTTTAATTTTTTTTTTATTTTTACACACATATTTTGGTTTATCTTCCTTCTACAATCATTATCTGAAAATTAATGACTCAACTTCAAAGTCACCCTGTATATATATATAACTTGAGACGTGGTCATTGTCGTCTAGACCAGTTAGGTGAAAAATTAAAGCTTCCGCCTTTTGTCAACATTGATACAAACTATACACAGCTGTCAAGAACAAATTAAAACGGATCAAAATTATTCAAAACCAAAGTTAAAAATTACATCGTGCAGTCCTCTGCTAAAATTTTTGTACAAAAGGAGGAAGCTTTAATTTAAGCTTCCGCCTGTTGTTGGGTACTTCGACAAAATTTAAGCAAAGAGGACTCTTAATACTTTTTTAATTCTCTCTAGCTTTCAATGGACTTTGCCATCATCATCAGGAGCTGCAATTACAATGATAACAGTAGCAACAATAGTGTAAAATGAATTTAAGTTGATGATGATGGCAAAGTCCATTGAAAGCTAGAGAGAATTAAAAAAGTATAGAGTCCTCTTTGCTTAAATTTTGTCGAAGTACCCAACAAAAGGCGGAAGCTTTAATTTTTCACCTAACTGGTCTAGACGACAATGACCACGTCTCAAGTTATATATATATACCGGGTGGTCCATCTATCGTTTTTTTTTTTTTGAGTTACTGGTTTTTTGGGATATGTCAAGACTTATTTTGCATCTGATTTGACAGAACATCAGTCATATCATTCCGATTAACGAAAATGGTTGTGTATTCGCTTGAACAACGCTGGGAAATATTAAAACAATATTTCGAAAGTGGTGGTAATGTTGCAGATTGTGTCCGAAAATTACGTGCAAAAATGGGAAGAAATGAAGCACCGTCAGCACCGTATGTGAGGTATTTTGTGCAAAAAGTTCGTGAAACTGGTCTTCTTATTGACAATCGAACACGTGTAAGACCGAAAACGGTGCGTACACCCGAGAATATCGATGCTGTAGCTGAGAGTGTGGCAGAGTCTCCAAGCACATCAACGCGCCAACGTTCTCAACAATTGAACATTTCACGCACATCATTAGGTCGAATTTTGCATAAAGACCTTGGTATGAAGGCGTACAAAGTTCAATTGGTTCAGCAATTGAAGCCAACTGACCATCCAATGCGTTTTCGCTTCGCTTCATGGGCCTGCAATCAGCTTGATGAAGATGTTGATTTTGGTCGAAAAATCATCTTTTCAGATGAAGCGCATTTTTATCTTGGCGGCTATGTTAATAAGCAAAACTGCCGCATTTGGGGTTCAGAGAACCCACACGCAATCGAAGAAAAGCCAATGGATCCAGAACGAGTGACTGTTTGGTGCGGATTTTGGGCTGGTGGCATCATTGGCCCATTTTTCTTTGAAAATGAAGCCAAAAATTGGACTGACCGTATGGGCTACTGCAAAGCCAGCCGCGGTAGTCATTTAAATGATGTTGTATTCCATACTTAATCGGAAGGATTGTACTTTCAAATAAAAAAAAAATTGGAAAAATATTTAGTAGTTTTCTTTTTATAGCATTTTTAAAAAAAAAATTTTAAATGGACCACCCTTTATATATATTTGTAACACAGTGAGTGAGTGTATTCTTTCTTCAAGTGACGCCTTTGTTGTACTGTAGAAATTGCAGTTCCTAAAAGTGGAAAAGTAGATGATATTTTGTAGTTTGTAAAAGTTTTAATAAATTAAGAAACGGAATTTGTAAATCAGGAAATGCAAACGCAATTATTTGTTTGCAGTGGCAGTGAGAGTGACCGTCGGGGCAGCCATACTGTTGGTCGCGTACTTTGTACTGGTTAAAAAGTGGAGACATGGTCAGTAATGTTGCATGTGTGATATATGTTATTGATTACTATTGGCATCGTATTGTTCATAACAAATTCGCATTTGTAGCTCTGCAAGCAAGCTTCCTGTAATATTCTAAGAACACCCGCTAATAACTTTTTTGTATATATGTCTCTTATGGTTAGGTTAGTGGTTGATCAAAATTTCAGAAAAATCCAACCGATGAAAAAATGTAAATAATTAGTAACTTGTGCATACTCCGAATCAGATGATCGATTTTCTGGTGAGATGTCTCATCTCAGGCTACTTACGAGCCATTTTCATCCTGGGTTTTAGCAATATTGATTATGTAATCAATATAACTGCGGCCTCAAAATACGTTTAAAAGTATACGTATCTGCTTCCTAATCTATGGCATCTAACACCTTTGCATTTCCTGGTAGCCTTAAGCATTCCTACATTACTTCTGTAAAAGCTTAGTTTCACTGTTTAAAATCATAGCATTTTATTTTTAAGCTGTCACTATTATTCTCGTACTCGTTGCATAACATTTTTCATTCATTGTATCTAACAATTTTGTTTCAGATGCACTAACATTAAAAATGTTGATAGGTAAATTAAGATTCCGAATGTTTTGTGTACAGATTAATATTTGTTCAATATCAAATGATCCTTCGGAAGAATGTCTAAAATCAATTTACTGCGCTCAAAAAGGCTACTATAAAAGTTTTGGAAATGGACGCAGGAGGCTGCATGTTACTACATGTTGAGACATGTCCATGAGTGCATAGTATCCGCCAGCAGCATGTGTGTTGATTTAGCTGTTCATTCGTATTGACAGTGTAAAGGGCGGTTCAACAAGTACCCCTGTTAGACGACATAATTTTTTGGAAAAAATGGTGTCTTCATTTCTAAAACGGGTACTTATCGATCCGCCCTCGTATATCAGATCTTGATCCCAGTGGCATTTCTTTTAATCCAGCCCTGACAGTTTTGCATAATGCATTTTTATTTATATTTGTTAAAATTGTAAAGCATCAGACACTAATGCAACAGACGATAAGCGTGACGATGCTTCAGAACCGGCACCCCGTCCTGACAGAAGAAACACCATTGTCGTACCTCCAACCTTCCAAGAGGTCGAACCAGACATTGACCAGGATGAAGGTAACACAAGTCATTTTTAATATACGTTGAGAACCAAATTTGTCTGAGGCTTTAGTTCAGTGTGTATAGACGCATATGTTAGAAAGAGATAGAATACGGATGGATAGCGAAGCACAACATCGCGTTGGCTAGCAACGCTGACGCGACAGTCTACACGACCTGCTGGGACACTGTCGCTAGGCGATGTGGTGTCAGACAAATTTGGTTTTGCCTGTACGATCTCAAAAGCACCATATTTTTCTAGCTCCAGTTACGTATAATACTTATATTAACATCAAAAACATGTTCTTATGGTTCCAATGCATCAAAAGTAACTAGAATCCTTGACATTTTTATATCTACTAGCGCTGTGTACGACTGCGATATTTGCTATGTAATAATTGTAATATAATTTTATGAAAATGCTAGTGTATTCCGACGAAGAAGATGAAGACAGCGACGCAGAAGAACCCGCCGTACCAGAACCACGTTCAGTAAAGTCAAAATACCAGGAGCTCCGTTCTACGTACACCAAAAGGCTGACTCCTGATCACGAGTTAGACTATGAAGCACATCCAGCGGATGACGAAGAAGAAGAAGACGAGGAAACGTTGGAAGAAGAAGATAATGAGGATGACGGAGGAGAAGAGGAAGAGTTGGAAGGCGATGAGGAAGAATACGACGAGGATGAAGGTGATGAGCTGTTGAAGAGGTTGGAGTCCAAATATGGGAAGCTACCTGTAGATGAGAGTAGCGGTGAGAAGAAAGAACAGCAAAAGCAGAAGTTGCAGGGTGAAAGGTTTCAAACAAGTAAATTGTTATTAGCTTTTGCTGATTGTTTGAAATCCACAATTTGGAATGCGTCATTTATTGAGCAATTTTTGTTGTTTGACAATCTTCCAAACACCACTCGTTTCCGAAATATATGTCGTGCAAGAATTACGAAAATTACTATTAGATAAAAAGATCACAGGTGAAATTCGTGAATCAATAAAAAGACCAAACCTGTAGGTACCTACCTCTGAGCCAGACTAAATTAAGACCAAATAAGCAAGTTTTGAGACAATTGTATTTGAAATATTTCATTTGTATTTTGTTGTATGCGATTTAGGTGATTCATAAGGTCGTAACTTCCTTATTATTACGGGTTGGATGGACGCACAATAGTATCATGAACTTGACATATATGTAAGACTCATTTCAGGCAAAAATGGAGTTAGTAGTCTGGCTCGGTACAGAAACGTTGTTCGTACTGATGATAAACCAAATTGTGGAATTTCGATCGCTAACAAAGCCTTACACCATTTCTAAGCATAAGCAATACTTATTATCAGTTAAAAATGTCCAAAGTTTACATTAACCAGACAGACATAATAATCTTGTGCAAAATCAGTAGCCCAGCCGTCAAAAAGTACCAAAATATTGCAATTATCAATTATTTGAAGCATTAAATACAGTCATTAGACTTGGATTAGTTACATAGTTTTGAATATTCAAACTAACATTGAACTAACGGAATCTTTTAGCCAAAAGCACTGATGCGCCTTCAATTCCTCTACAACAACAATCATCTACAGCATCTACATCAACAGCTGATAAATCGGAAGATAAAAATCCTAGCCAACAAAAAGACAATGTCACTGTTGACGACAAAAAGAACACAGCTGACGAGACTCAAAAACAAGTAAGTAAAGTTGAAAGTATAAAGTTATTGAAAAATACTTGGTGAAGCGTAGGCAACCAGTTTTGCGAAGTGCTGCTGACTGTGTTGTCAATATTTCCAGAACACGTGTAGTGATGGACATATCATACAAATTGATTCTGTTTCTCTAACAACTCATAAAAAAGATTTGGTTCAAGATGTACCTGACATTCCTTATTTAAGCGATTGTAATAATGTCTAACATTTTCTTTTTTCAACAGGAATGAAGAAAACGCCACACTTTTCTGTTCGTTGCTGAACGGTCTGATCAACTTTATTCTACTTGCTGATCTAAATACGACGCTTAAATTAGTTTAGGAATTTGTTAGGGATTGTTGAATGTGTTTGTGTATATATTTATTTTTTATAAAACATTTTGGTACAATATACTCCTTTAATTGTACGTCTTATACGTCAATATTTACTGTTAACTTCACTCCGCACACATAAAGAATCTCAATAAATATTGACATGTTGGACATATTTAATCGTATTTTTTTCATACTAACAACACTCGTTTTGTTTGTTTAGATTTACAATAAAATGTGTTTGTTTCAGTCCAAATGTATGATAGTTATTTTTTATTAGTTAGGTTTTAAGTAATACATTGACAGGTTATTTTTGGAATGGAAGTACAAAATTTGCATTGATGTATAAAAACAACGAAATTTCAAAAACGTCCAGTTACGCAAATGGCTATGTGATTCCAATATCTCATTCAATAGAAAAAGTAACTGTAAGTTGATTTTTAATCGAAACTGTCAACTGCTCCATGAATATAATCAACCAGTTGTACAAGATATTGTCGCAGGAGATACTATTCGCCAAAATCGCTATTAATCTAGTTTTTAATTAGCTTTCCCATCCTTGAAAAAATCTGGAAATTTTAGGAATAATCACAAGAGATTTTGAGAGATCATATCATGAAAATAGATTGTGTTGCTGGGATGGTGAAAATTGAATGTGAATCTAATCAATAATACAGGGCGACTTCGAAGTTGAGTCATTTATTTTAACAGTGAGTAGATCTGATCAAAAGAAATGTTTTTTCCTTTAACATTTTTGTGGTAAAATTAAAGTAACAAAGTTATAGCCCTTTAGAAGTTTGAGTACCGCCCTGTCTCAATAATAATATGTGCTCGTGTTTGGCAACAACGGATATAATCCGCCTTATCGGTTCATCGCATCGGAAACAAAAAAGCGAAAGAATTTGAAACGCTGATCACGATGTTTTTATTTAGTCAATGTGTCAGTCGGTAACGCGTGAGTGAATAGTGGTGTTTGCTGCGTGGCTCAAACGAAATAAATGCGGATCGGTTTCCCAATCGAGTGCAACCAACCCTTCGTGCCTTTGTTAATGTAGTACAACGGGCTCGTGAATCAGGTGACTTAAGACCTCACAGGGGAGGGCATGCCGGTGCTCCAAGACCTCACGATCAAATACAGGTCTGCACTGAAATACTTGTCGGGAGGATACTTTATAAAACAAGGTAAAATTTTTTTTTTATTTTTTTTTATTTTTACACACATATTTTGGTTTATTTTCCTCCTACAATCATTATCTGAAAATTAATGACTCAACTTCAAAATCACCCTGTATAAGCCACAAATGCAAACTACACACTCAATTATTTTGATTCGGTTAAAGAAGATTTTTTTTGCTCATCTCTACATTTTCAAGAACGTCACTTTGACATAAGGCGTATGGAAACTGACACGCAATTGACGTGCGTCGCTGACAGCTGACATTTATCATTATCAGCGAAGTTATTTATGGAATTTTGTATAATAAAATCTGTTGATTCTTTGTTTTAACAAGTTGACCCTTTTATCAGTCCTTGATCTTTTTCTTCCAACGATAATAGCATCTGATGGTACAAAACAGTCGGCGCGGGCAGCCGCCAGGCGTGTGTTGAGAGTGAAAAATCAACAAAAAGAAAATGTATACAATCCAGCAGGTCCAGCGTCCTGAAAGGCCCGAGAGGGAAACGATCCACTCGGGTCACTTCATGGTCTCACACTTCGAGGCCGAAGAACAGGACGACGAGGACAACGTGGCCGTTCCGATACCGGAAACAGCGGATACGAAAAGTTTAGTGCCACTTGTTGTGCCTTCAACACCGAAAAATGTACAGATCAGGACTACCAGTCAGCAGCTGGCCATCGATACGAGTCTTGCCAAACTCTTCCAATGCATGTCTCTGGCGTACAGGTATGTAGAATATTACTAGTATTTGTAACATAATTTTCTGCTTTGTAATGTTTCATAGTCAGATAACAATGTCTATATCCTCCAACCAATAGACCCATGGAGCTTGCTGAGAGGTCCCAAAATGATACATGATTTAAATAGTCTGAGTAAACCCTCTTTAATGGCAAAGTAGGATCCCAGATTTCATTATTTCTTGGGGACCTTTCAGCCACAAGCCCTGAGCTTCCTGTATGTTCAGGGGCCCCTACATAGCTAAGACCAGCCTAAGTAAAAGACAAGGTTAACCCAGGAGTTAACTTGAGGCTTAGGGTCTATTAATAGAGTAAACTGTGTCATATTATCATTATCCGTAATTGTAACATATTCCTAATATTACAAATGAGAAATTGTGGATGTTTGTTACCCTATCATGCCAAAATATTGAACGGATCTTTATGAAATTTGGAACAGAGAGATAAATAACTTTGATATACATATTATGTCAACTACAAAGGCATGGAAGCACTCACTCACAGATCCGATCAAATTTAGTAAGACAATATAAACAGTTACATGATGATTACACAAAATTTGAATGAATCATGAAGTATATGTTGAGAATAATTACAAAGTAAGAAATTACAAAGTATCAACTTGTACATGTTGCTTTCCTTCCACTAAGTAAATCCAAAATGTTCAAACTTCCTAGTTGTATTATAAGCAATTTAAGCGTTCTACCAATGATAACCGGTCGTGTTTGATTTTAACGTTTTCATTTTAAGTGTCGGGGTTTATAACAGCTGTCAAATGACCTAATGAACTGGCCCTTCATGTTGTTACAGTTACTGACCAATAACAACCTTGACTGTCTAGGGTTATGCGTCTTGTGCAAAAAAAATCATTATTTTCATGGAAATATAAATGAGGAACATACTACTTAATTAATCCACTCCTTCGAGTGAGAAATTGAAAAGCGATTAATTATTATTCAAACGTATAACTTTTTTCGGGTTTTCGATAAGATTTTAGTTGGCGCTCTTGCATTTTCGCGTAACATTAGCTAATTTTATATCTCACGGCACATGGTTCTTATCAAATTAATGAATTTGTTTACTCCATATTTTACTAACAACCAATAGGATATGCAGCATTTCACAAATAGTTATTCTGATATTATTCGAGAGAGATCACAGGGTGATATGACAGAAATATTGAATCGAACCAAGTATACAGCCTTGAGTAGTAGGATCACTGATTGATTATACCGGGTGGTTCTCCAAGGTGGTTCACCTCTATAACTTTCTTATTATCGAAGATAGAAAAAAGAAATTTGGGGGTTGAGTATTATAGATGAATGTATATTTTTTGACTTGCTATGGTACTGCCGGAAACGAATCCAACTTTCGATTTTTAAACATGACACCCTATTTCTGTACCCTAGAGCCAGGCTTTGTTGTTATCAAAAATGAGTTACTACTTGCAGCGTCCACCTATCTGTAATAATAAGGAAGTTACAATTTTTTAACTCATGTCAAGTCGCATACAATACAATACAAGAACAATATTTCAAATTCAGTTATCTCAAAACTACTTATTTGGACTTAACCTAGTCAGGCTATGGGCTACAGATATGTTTCTAGTTATTTCGATCGAGAACGCAATTCTGAACTCAACAACGCCCCACTTGTCAATATTTGATAAATAAAGCCCTTTTTATTTCAATTTGTATTTTTCGATCTAGAATGCGATGGATCCTGTAAATCGCTTAATTTTTTATCAAGAAACACCTGAAAAATACGATTTTGAGGCGAATGAGCTTACAGTCGTTTTAAAGATTTTGTAAAAGTTACAAACACTAATCTTTTCAGCTTACTTGTTTTTTCTTTCAAATAGAAAGGGGGTGGCTGATCGGCTATTTCCAAGAAACCATTTCCTTGAATAATTTATCACTACACACATTTTTCCGAATAATTATTGTAAGAAACGAGCAACAAATAATAAGTCCTAGTTTATTCTAGTTATCCCTGACAAACAATTGAAGGTGTTGTTATGGTTACTTTAACAAATACCTAATCTATAATCAAATTCAAGCGGATAACAAATGGAAATGGTATTTACCATTTTGGGTTGGTATTTACCAATCCGTTCAAGCGAGTGTAGTTATCAGTTTGGTTATAAGATCCGTGACGTCACGAATCAGCTGTTATATATGTCATAGTTATCACCGCAAAATTGTGGTATTTACCCAACTCAATAGTAGTTTTATATTTCTGGTTATTATTTAAAATGTGACAAGTTTTGCCGGGTATTGGATATTGTTATTGTACTTCAGCTTCATTTTTGAGAAAAATGATACAGGCTGACTTCAGTTTTACCATAAGTGGAGCACCTTATTAGTTGTACTCATTACGGTTGTTGGGAACACTTTAAATGTAGTTCCTATGCTTAACAAAGTATCCTGTGTAGCCATATACCACAAGAATATTAAAATATGGCCATATAAACTCACTAGATGATTTCTGCTAAATCAATAAATGTTTTCTTTGACATGCGGAAAAATTTAGAGAATTGAAAGTTATCATAGCTACAAAGCCATGGTTCCATCATTAAAAAAAAATCTGAAAAAAACATTTCTCCCATGAATATTATGAAAGGTTTGTTATTTAAACTTTCCATATACAGTTGTAGACGAAAAAGCACCGATTATTAAGTGATAATAAAAATAATTAGAGATTATCTACGCGCTTTCCTAAAATAAACAACTTGCAACAAAACCGCGGTTAAAACCAACGCGTTCAAGCGATTCGTGTAACTGACGTCATCAACCCGTGTGTCATCTTGAACCATATTATAACCGCGGCACATAACACCGAAATTTTGGTTATTCGCTTGGATTTGATTTATGTTATTAAAAATACTCTTAGCTGTCAAATATTCCTATTACTTTTCATAGATGGCGCTGCGTGTCCAAAAGCCGGCACTGATTTTTTCTCTCTACCGATTTTGTTTCTTGAATCACTGATTCTACTAGCAGTAAATCTGTATACTTTGGCACAAACGAACAAAATCGTTGTATACACATACTCAATGGTATTAGATCTGCAAATATTTGTAGATTAGTTAACACACAAATTGCAGTTGAAACTGAAAACAACGTATGATAACAAGTCTGTTTGTATCAACTCATCACCATTATTTGGCATCCAAAGATATCAATTTTGGTTATATTATATCACGGAGACAAGATAGGAACGTTATAGCATATTCTGCCTGAACTGTATTTCGGCGTCCAAAGTGGAATCATCACCTATGAAACAGTAGAAGACTTATACAGGGTGGCGCATCGAAAACGAAACAGACGCATTTACTGGCAGCTCAGTTTTTTTTTTTTTGAAAAACGCTCAGGCCCGTCTTATTTTGTTTTCGTGGGGGACACAAGTTTGGCCAAAAATCACGTTAACACGTGCAGCCGCCTAAAGAGTGAGGTTAAGATTCAGTACTGACGTTCGATCCGCGCGGCCTACTATGTTTCTATATGCAAAACTTAAAAGACATCCCTCGTACAAATACCAGTCAACCTTTTGCTTCTCCTTGGAGGATATCCTCGCGAGTATAAGGTAATCATTACGAATATGAAAACAAGGATATGCTTATGCTTCTACCTTTTTCTCCTTATACTTTTACCTTACGCTTCCGAGGATATGCTTCTCTTTTATGAATACGGCTCAATGCCTGAAGATACCCACGCCATCTATGATATAGTAGCAGAACCAGACACTCTCTGTTCATAGTAGATTTTAAAATGTGTTTTTGTGTTGTGGTAATGTCTCGTAGGTGGCGCATCCAGATCCCTTTCCGAGTTTCAGAATGCTGTATAGGCTCTGCTATCTTTATGAAAAGTAATTGATGATATTACTTAGAATGTATTATAACAATAACACATACAGTTGTTCAACAAAATTTCAATTATAAAAGACAATATCACTTATCCTTCTTCAGCGAGTCCAACAGGGTAATCGTACAGTTTATACTGTAGAACATCGTCTTCTTTAGACTTGAAAATGTTGAATTTATCCAATATTCTGTTGGAAACGTCTATGCTTTTTTCAATCTCTTTCTTGGCAAAGTCACTTATTAGGGGAAATCTGCTGTATGGCGACCATTTACCTGAAAAATGAATTGTATTTAAGTTTTTTCGGCATTCTATCAACCGAGGCACGTAGGCTCGTGACGTCAAGTGGGTTAACTCCCTGAGAGATTATGTTATCCACAAACGCAAACAAGGAAATTGAAGCAGATGGACAGGTGAATAATTCGGGAACTTCTGAAATACCTCGAACATCACGGCAATTTATTTTTTTCGGGTATAAACCTACCTTTCTGGTTCAACATAACAGGCTGCGAAAAAACCACTCCTGCCGGTATATGGAAAGAGTGATCAGAGCAAACGCCAAGACTTATGATCTCATCAGGACGATGTGGTGCAAACCATAATTTGAGCAGGCTGACCAAAGCTCTGTTTCTTCCAAGCATCGGCGGTCTTTCCAGCCGTTTTTCAATCGTCGTTTTCCGATTTTCCACTTCTTTGTTTAATCCGTTTTCGTCTTCGGTTAGCATGTACGAGATTTTGCGTAGTTCCGATTGTATCGTGCCTAAGGCTAGCGTCGAGCCTGGTGGGGCTTTTAGGGCTCGCTCGTAAGGCCTGGCGATCATTAAAAATAGTACATTACACACCTAGGCATTTTTATAACCGATTAATGGCGCTCTCAAACTGCCCTTATCTCTCTATGTGACCACGATGCCATACTCCGCACTTTGCACAGTCAATACGAATGAACTGCTAAATCAACAGACGTGCTGTCGGCGGCTACTACACAGCCTCCTGCGTCCGTTTATTAAGTCATATTGCAAAAATTTCATAGTACCCTTTGTACATAAATAAGCGATCGAAGTTGCACATACCTTCTTCATCTTCTGCCCTCCAAATATACCGAATTGCAACGTCGCATTAGCGAAAATTATCAGCGTTTGAAAAGCTTCATTCCAGCCAGGGTCTTAGATTTCTTACCTTTCGTCTTTCACCCATAAGCAATTGGTCTATCAAATGCTCAAGTTGATGATTCCTTTATTACCAACGGCAGATTTGAAAGTGGAAAAATTTGCGGCGATTTTTAATATAATATATCAACTTTCCTATTATTAAATCGTCAGAACACAAGAGTTGAAAATATGAAATATACACACTCCTTAAAGTATTTTCAAGGGTACACTATGTTAAATTTCTCTAAGAATTGTAGTTGCTACGCTCAAAACTCTTATTGTTATTATAACCTGTTTATCGCGGTAAACATTACCGTGTATGTTTATAATGCTTTTTAGACGCTAATACAACGTTGCAATTCAGTATTTTGGGAGGCCAGAAGATGAAAGAGGTATGCGCACCTTCGATCGCTTATCTTTGTACCTCAACATATCCGCCTTGAAAACAATGTTCCTGCTATCCACAAAACTATGAATCCCGACGAAGCCCCATACAGCCGGGGCGCTCATTTTGCATATCGGCACTCCGGTTTTCTCCGACACGAGCCTGACGAAAGGCAGGCCCTCGTGCGCGGTCACCGCCACGATGTTTGACAGCTTGATCTTCGTGCAAGTGTCTACCAAACAGCTCGCCATAAAACAGCTGGGGCCCGGGTTGTTCATGATTATGAGAAGAGTCCGTTTGGCGTAACGGTTGATCGTATCGGACAGTTGCAACATGTTTCTGTAACACCTGGAAGATGAGAAAAGGCGTCAAGTAGATTTACTCTATACTTCCAAGGACTTCGTGTGAATTCGTGAGGCAAAACTTGATTTTTTCAATTTTAATCGTGATGTCAATCAAATTACAAGTCGCCGAAGCAAGTAACTGAAAGGAAATTCAAAAAATGGCGTCAAGTAGATTGACTCTCTACTTCCAAGGCCTTCGTGTAAATTCGTAAGGCGAAAGTTGATTTTTTCAATTTTAATCGTGATTTAAATCAAGTTAAAAATTGTTGCAAAAAGAAGTCGCCGAAGCAAACAATTAAAAAGAAATTTTAAAAAATGGCGTCAAGTAGATTGACTCTATACTTCCAAGGCCTTCGTGTACATTCGTAAGGCAAAAGTTGACTTTTTCAATTTTAATCGTGATTTAAATCAAATTAAAAATTGTTGTAAAAAGAAGTCGCCGAAGCAAACAATTGAAAAGAAATTTTAAAAAATGGCATCAAGTAGATTGACTCTATGCTTCCAAGGCCTTCGTGTTAATTCGTAAGGCGAAAGTTGATTTTTTCAATTTTAATCGTGATGTAAATCAAATTAAAATTTGTTGTAAAAAGAAATCGCCGAAGCAAACAATTGAAATGAAATTAAAAAAATGGCTTCAAGTAGATTGACTCTCTACTTCCAAGGCCTTCGTGTAAATAAGTAAGGCGAAAGTTGATTTTTTCAATTTTAATCGTGATTTAAATCAAATTAAAATTTGTTGTAAAAAAAAGTCGCCGAAGCAAACAATTGAAATGAAATTAAAAAAATGGCGTCAAGTAGATTGACTCTCTACTTCCAAGGCCTTCGTGTAAATAAGTAAGGCGAAAGTTGATTTTTTCAATTTTAATCGTGATTTAAATCAAATTAAAATTTGTTGTAAAAAAAAGTCGCCGAAGCAAACAATTGAAATGAAATTAAAAAAATGGCGTCAAGTAGATTGACTCTCTACTTCCAAGGCCTTCGTGTAAATAAGTAAGGCGAAAGTTGATTTTTTCAATTTTAATCGTGATGTAAATCAAATTAAAATTTGTTGAAAAAAGAAGTCGCCGAAGCAAACAATTGAAAAGAAATTTTAAAAAATGGCATCAAGTAGATTGACTATATGCTTCCAAGGCCTTCGTGTAAATAAGTAAGGCGAAAGATGATTTTTTCAATTTTAATCGTGATATAAATCAAATTAAAATTTGTTGATAAAAGAAGTCGCCGAAGCAAACAGTTGAAAAAAAATTAAAAAAAGGCGTCAAGTAGACTGACTCTCTACTTCCAAGGCCTTCGTATAAATTCGTATGGCAAAACTTGATTTTTCAATTTTAATTGTGATTTAAGCAAATTAAAAATTGCTGTAAAAACAAGCTTTCGAAGCAAATAACTGAAAGGAAATTCAAAAAATGGCGTCAAGTAGATTGACTCTCTATTTCCAAGGCCTTCGGGTACATTCGTAAGGCGAAATTTTATTTTTCAATTTTTTTTCGTGGTGTAAATCAAATTAAAGATTTTTGTAAAAAGAAGTTGCCGAAGCAAACAATTGAAATGAAATTAAAAAAATGGCTTCAAGTAGATTGACTCTACTTCCAAGGCATTCGTGTAAATAAGTAAGGCGAAAGTTGATTTTTTCAATTTCAATCGTGAGTTAAATCAAATTAAAATTTGTTGTAAAAAGAAGTCGCCGAAGCAAACAATTGAAAATAAATTTTAAAAAATGGCATCAAGTAGATTGACTCTATGCTTCCAAGGCCTTCGTGTAAATTCGTAAGGCGAAAGATGATTTTTTCAATTTTAATCGTGATGTAAATCAAATTTAAAATTGTTGTAAAAAGAAGTCGCCGAAGCAAACAATTGAAAAGAAATTAAAAAAATGGCGTCAAGTAGATTGACTCTCTACTTCCAAGGCCTTCGGGTACATTCGTAAGGCGAAAGTTGATTTTTCAATTTTAATCGTGATGTAAATCAAATTACAAATTGTTGTAAAAAGAAGTCGCCGAAGCAAACAATTGAAAAGAAATTTTAAAAAATGGCGTCAAGTAGATTGACTCTCTACTTCCAAGGCCTTCGTTTAAATTCGTAAGGCAAAAGTTGATTTTTTCAATTTTAATCGTGATGTAAATCAAATTTAAAATTGTTGTAAAAAGAAGTCGCCGAAGCAAACAATTGAAAAGAAATTAAAAAAATGGCGTCAAGTAGATTGACTCTCTACTTCCAAGGCCTTCGTGTACATTCGTAAGGCAAAAGTTGATTTTTTCAATTTTAATCGTGATTTAAATCAAATTAAAAATTGTTGTAAAAAGAAGTCGCCGACGCAAACAATTGAAAAGAAATGTTAAAAAATGGCGTCAAGTAGATTGACTCTCTACTTCCAAGGCCTTCGTGTACATTCGTAAGGCAAAAGTTGACTTTTTCAATTTTAATCGTGATTTAAATCAAATTAAAAATTGTTGTAAAAAGAAGTCGCCGAAGCAAACAATTGAAAAGAAATTTTAAAAAATAGCATCAAGTAGATTGACTCTATGCTTCCAAGGCCTTCGTGTTAATTCGTAAGGCGAAAGTTGATTTTTTCAATTTTAATCGTGATGTAAATCAAATTAAAATTTGTTGTAAAAAGAAATCGCCGAAGCAAGCAATTGAAATGAAATTAAAAAATGGCGTCAAGTAGATTGACTCTCTACTTCCAAGGCATTCGTGTAAATAAGTAAGGCGAAAGTTTTTTTTTCAATTTTAATCGTGATGTAAATCAAATTAAAATTTGTTGAAAAAAGAAGTCGCCGAAGCAAACAGTTGAAAAAAAATTAAAAAAGGCGTCAAGTAGACTGACTCTCTACTTCCAAGGCCTTCGTATAAATTCGTATGGTAAAACTTGATTTTTCAATTTTAATTGTGATTTAAGCAAATTAAAAATTGCTGTAAAAACAAGTTTTCGAAGCAAATAACTGAATGGAAATTCAAAAAATGGCGTCAAGTAGATTGACTCTCTATTTCCAAGGCCTTCGGGTACATTCGTAAGGCGAAATTTTATTTTTCAATTTTTTTCGTGATGTAAATCAAATTAAAAATTTTTGTAAAAAGAAGTCGCCGAAGCAACCAATTGAAATGAAATTAAAAAAATGGCGTCAAGTAGATTGACTCTCTACTTCCAAGGCCTTCGTGTAAATTCGTAAGGCGAAAGTTGATTTTTTAAATTTTATTCGTGATGTAAAACACATTGACCTACCTCTTTATAGCAAATTAATTTTTACTTTAGCTTTAAAATACGGGATTGTATCAAATTTTAGCGAAACACCTTCCTTTGCCTCTAAATTTAGACTCAATTCTCTGTTCTGAGAACCAGCAAGTTTACGAACTGTTATATAAGCATTGACAGAAAATAGGCGTAACATTATAAGATGTAAATTACAGTAAGTTTGTTTGAAAAAATGAAGATACCAAGAAAATATTAAAAAACGGATCAGTATAAAGTAAAAAATATACTGAAAAAAAACAATCAAAAGAAAATAAAAAAATTTGAAAACAAAATTGAAAAAAAGGAAAAAATTATAAATTAAAAAATATTGGTTGTTAAAAAAAAACCTGTTACAAAAACAGCGATATAATTGTGCCAATAACAGAACAAAACAAAAACTTTAATGCAAACTGAAAGTTTTTTGCTTTTTTAATACTCGGAGTCTTGTTTTTAATTTTAAAGTCTTGTTACTATGGGAACTATATTAATAATTATTTTTAATTTAAACCCTTATTATCACAATTTCTAGAATTTCATTATAAACTCAGCAAGCTTCACAACGATTGGGGATAGGTATAAACTTATTATTATATATCTTATTTTTTGATCACGTGTGTTGTACGGCTTTAGATGAAAAGGCGTCGTCCTTGATATCAAAATTGACGTGTTCGAACGTATTTCCCAAAATATACCAGGCGAGACACAAATAGGGGTGCGACCTTTTCGTTGGACCACCCTGTAGGATGGACTAAATAAATATCTACTACTACTACAAAAGCATCGCAGAACGCTAAAGTACCACGTACTCGTGATATCTAAACATTGCTAAACTATATAAATATTTCTACTGCGGCGGTGTGTCTGTGACGCACCACCGCACACCAGTTCGAGTTTGATATGGTTTTTCGCGATGTACATGTCATATAACAATCAACAAACATTTTCGCAATTACAATATTTCCCCGCCGGTACGCGTGGGAAGTAAAAAATGATCAATGATATTACGAATAGCTGATCGTATTCGCATCCATATAACGAAGCAAATACGGATCTGTATACGAATTGTTCCGATAGATAAGTATGCTCCGTTGTTCAGGATTTCGAGATTCTGCAAAGCAAACACACTTCAGATGATATATCTTGCTTATCAATTTAGTATTTGCACATTTAAATATGTTAGCGTATAGTATTATCTATGAACTAAGTACTACTAAACGTGTGCAAACTGCTTTAGACTTACTTGATAAGATCGACAAAGTTAGGGGATCCAGCATTTATTAATATTACGGAAGATTATACAGTTCTATCATGAAACGTCGTTTTGAGTAAAAAAAGTTTTGGTCCATATGGAGAATGTCCTCGTTTTTTTTAATGACCCTAGGACTATGTCCCATTAACCAGATCCTTTTTATACAATGGTCTTCAGCACGGTTCGCAAAACAAGCCTTGAGGTGACTGACAAAAATCACTTCTCTAACAGGGTTCGTAAAGCAGAGAATTCCTTTCATTCTAACGTCCAGCTCTTAAATAAGATTTGTTTGGATGAAATACTGTAGCGTTTTTCTGGGTTCTCCGCTCTGCTACTTTACCGTATTCAGTACTCTGCTTCCATCTCCCGGCCGCCGAATTATATATAGTCCCCATTGCTGCTTCGAGAAAGGTCTGGTGAACCACAAAGCGACATCTAGAATATTGGAGGTCACTTCGCGTCGATCGAGAAGGCGATCCAATGTCACCGTCCTCACAGATGCCGGCAGGCGGCTTGTGCGGTCGTGGTTCGCGTAAAAGCAGAGATCGACCATTAAGCTATGCCGAGTAGGAGACTCGCCCAACAGATGGCGCCAACATAACTATTTGTCACAATATAATCTTTTTTGGAAATTTGTCCAGTGTAGACGCTTGTTTTTGCGAGTTGGTATACGATTCCGCAGTGTGCCTTGACCACACAAATGCAACCTCTCTTCCGCTTTCTTTCAAGTGCCAGATCATATGTTTTATTTGATTCATGTGACAATTAGTAGTCCTTTTTTTTTTATATCGAAACAGCCGCGCAGGCAGAAGCCTAAATGCCGGAACACCGCGGCTGCTATGATGATCCCAAAGAAATTTTGTTAATACGATTTTTGAACTGCCTAAGGTTAGTAGAACTGGGAAAAGCTTCCTCCCGTAGTTTGTTCCACAATCTAGACACCCTCGGGACAAAGGAGCGGTCGTATCGGCCAGTTCTGGATGTACGAAGTTTGACACGGTTAGGATGGGACGCCGAAGTCAGGCGGGTCTGTCTGGCAGGCACATCGCGCGGCGGCATCATGGAAGAGAGCTCTGAGGAGCAAAGCCCGTTGGTGTAGCGGTAGAAAAGAGCTAGATCGCCGACGGCCCGCCGGTGCGAAAGAGTCCCGAGACTGTCTGTTAGAGAAGAGTAGTAGTCCAGAAGCTCGCGATTTATGCACCTCTCCATCACTTTACTGATAACAGAAAGCAGAGCTATAGGCCTGTAGTTGTAAGGGTCGGTTTTAGATCCTTTTTTTGGGATGGGGGCTGTACATGAGCAAATTTTCAGTTTTCTGGGAAGGTGCCGGATTCATAAGATATCTGGAAGAGACGCGAAAGAACTGGAGCAAGCTCAGCTGCACATCTCTTCAGTACAATGGCAGGAATCAAGTCCGGACCAGAAGCTTTGTTGATGTCGAGCGACAAGAGCACTCGTCTTACGGTCTTATGCCTGAATGTTACCTCCCGCATAGTGTGGGGAACTCTTTGAATTGACGGCACTTGGGCGTTGGTGGGGACGTCCATGGTGGAGTTGGCAGCAAAGATCTTGACTAGCACTTCCGCCTTGGCCTTTGAGTCGAATACAATAGTTCCATCCTGACACGTAAGTGGTGGAAGGCTACTGTGTGAGAAGTTCTTTTCAATCTGCTTGGCCAGCGTCCAGAAAGACCGACTGCCATTGCGCTGCGACATTACCCTGTGCCTAACTTTTATATCATGCTTGGTTTTGGCATTGCGAACCGCTTCGTTATATTTGTTTCTGGACTCGACGTGGGCTTGTCTGTTCTCTACAGTGGGGTTTTGTAAGTAGGTTCTGTGGGCCTTGATCTTCTGCTGGCGAGCAGTGTCACACGATTTGTTGAACCAGCCGTTGGACCCTGGTTTAGGAACTTTCACTGTGTGAGGGATGTATTCCTCCATTCCGACGTGGATAATTTCGGTTATTGAAGAACAGACAGTCGACGCATCCGCGTCAGTGAAACAGACATCTCTCCAAGGAAAGCTAGAGAAGAAGTCTCTGAGCCCCTCCCAGTCGGCATGTCCATAATGCCAAGTTTTGCGGCCTGTGCGAGTTTCTGCGGCCACAGCGGCTTCTGACCGAAACCTAACCTCCACAACACCGTGATCTGAATTACCCAGGAGGGACAGGACGGCAGTGCTGTAAGGGGCAGGATGCGTGGTCAGAAAGAGATCCAGAAGGCTACTGGCGTGTGACGAGACGCGGGGGAAAAAAGTAGGGCTCGTCACCAGCTGGGTCAGCCCTTGAGTAAGAGCGAACGCTTCGACTGCACGACCTGCTGCATCGGTCTTATTTGAGCCCAACCAAAGCTCATTATGGGCATTGAAATCACCGAGAAGAACTACCTCTGAAGCGGGGTGATTGATGTTCAGGAAGTCGATCTGGACGGCGAGGTATTCGAGTAGGTCATCCCAGTTATGGTTCGAGGGATTGCGATAAAGGCAGCAAATAAATTTGGGTGATGTTTTGGAGCTGAGGCGAAGCCACAGAATGTCCTTCCGGTCTGATTCCAAAGTAAGATCCCTGGATCAGGAAAGACTGCTGCGGACAAAAGCCACAACTCCCCCGTTCTTTCTCAGATTGGAGTGCACCTCGTAGTTTGGGAAGTTGAGATGGTTAATCGGTGCAGCCTCTGATGTTTTTGTCTCCGTCAAGAAAAGCACGGCGGGACGATTGGATTGCAGGTAGTGATGAACAGCATCAATGTTGCTGTTGATCCCGCAGATGTTCGAAAAACAAATTTTATCTTCGATGTTGTTCCCTCGAGCGCACCCTCCACCCGGACATTGTGCAATCATAATTTTTTAAAGATTAAAAAAGCTTGGATAATAGCCACTGCTTCGACTGATGAAATAGATAGTTTGAAGGTGGCATCTGTGGGGTTCTCTTCATCTCACAACGTCAACGCGGGTGTTTGCCAGGGATCGGTCTTGCCTCCGACACTGTTCCTCTTACATATCAACGACGTTCTTTCGTGCACGATCAACCCAATCCACAGCTTCGCTGATGACAGCACTCTACATGCCGGAATACAGAGTGACAAGCCGATCCCTGCCGCTGAGCTGGAAAAAAAACGACGACTTCCTCTCCCACGAGGGACCCGGAGGTTATCAGTGCTTGGGGACGCAACAATCTTGTACAGTACTGTACCTTGACGAACAAAAAAGCGCTCATCCGGTTTCGAGTTCTGCCATAGAGCCGTTTATTTGGGCTGGTCGGAGTCCAGATCACCGAGGACTTGATCTGACACGAACGCATCTCGTCAATAGCGGCAGCTGCAGGGAAAAAACTAGGCTATTTGTTTACGGCCAAGTACTTTTCTCCTCTAGACCTCCTCACTATACAACGCCCAGTTAAGACATAGCCTCGGGGGTTTTTCCCAGGTCTGCTAACCTTAGACAGTTCAAGAATCGGATTAAAAAGCTTTCTTTCGTATCCTCATAGCCTCGGTGCAAAAAATACTACGCGGAAATATTATCGTCCCATATTTCGCACTGAATATATCGTCAGCAGCGTCACCATGACAAAGGATGAAATGGACTGATAACGGGCGATGATTATGACGTGTTTATCTATAAAGAAAATTACGCTAAAAGAGAAAGATAAAAGATTTTTGGGTGGATATACGTTGTACGTTTTATAAACAAACACACTTTATCAAAGTTCGTATAAAGTAGTGCAAAAATATACGAGGTGACCCAGTGTTCCGTGGACACAGAAGTATTTTTAGACTCAAAAGAATGGAATGTTTGAATTTTAACTTATACACTTGGTATTTCGTGAAATTTCGAAAAAAAAACTGGATAATCAACTTTCAATCGCAATTACAACTAAATCGTCAGGCTTAGGGCTGTGTTTTTTTCTGAGATGAGCCAAATGGTTAGTTTTAGCAGTGGTTATGTCACTTTTTAACAGAGCTTATTAGAAATCAACGCAAAAAATCTTAAATTCGTTTTTTTGGAGGGCGGTAAAGAAATTGAAGTTGTATTCCATCATTCATTTTATCGTAAAAACTATTTCAATCCACGTAGAATAAACCCTGAAAATTTCAGCTTGCTATCATGTCACATTCGTTGTTGGACAAATGTGGAACATAATTTAATTCAATTAACTTTTAAATAACATGTTCGAAATTGCCTCCATTATTTTCTATAAACTAGCGACACCTTCTAATAAAATTGTCCTTTAGTCTCATCAATTTTCTGGCGCAGTTAGTTGACATTTTTTATATTCAGATGTATATAAAAAAATCTAGAGGATTTAAATCGGGTGACCTTGAAGGCCATCATATGTGTACACGTCTACCTATCCAACGCCCAGGAAAGGCACTGTCTAAGTAATGCCGTACATCCCGTGCAAAGCGGCATGAGGCACCATCGCATTGAAAATACATGCGACTTGTTCAGTATTCCAGCCCATAAATTAACGCCGAACTGACGTTGAAACCTGTGTCGGCGAATAGCGTGTGGAATTCCGTGAAATTACTTCTTCTGGAGGTAACACTTCTAATGATACTAAGTATATGTTTCTCGCGATATTACCTGTTCAACCATGTATCCTCATCTTCTTCATGCTGCTTAGAGCAGTTCTCGATGTAGATCAAAACGTCGCAATCCTCGATGGCTTCTCTTTCATCTTTAGCAACGTGCGCGATATCACGGGCGCCAAACACACGTTGATCGTTGATAAACTCGGCATCATCGCGCAATAACTGTTTGCATTTCTCAGAATGGCCCCAGCTTCTGTCGAATAGCTTGAAGTCTATACCTAAATTCAGGATACAGTGCTGGTCAAAGTGGTTTTACCTTATAGATATAAACGAGTACGAAGCGTATATCCGTTTTATACTCGGCAGTCGTAGGCGATGGGTCAGCGACAGCGCGGTAGTCCAGTCGACATGGTTATAAATTTGGAATAAATTAGTTGCAAGTGTTGTTATAAATTACTGGCAGTGAAATAAATTAGACTGCAAGCAGTAAAACGGTTTTTCATATGTTTACGTGCTGGATATGCTTTTCATTTTTCCTTACGACATCCTGTAACGTCTTGTGTAGTGAAATACCTCGTGTTTTGCTCAAATCGGGTATTTCGATCAGGTTCATCATGATGAAAGGATTATCAAATGCACATGCTCCGTATATCGTTATGTTCCTGACATTTTTTTCTTTTTGTTTGTGCATTGCTTGTTGGTGGTGTTCTTCGTAGAATTTCAAATTGTCATTGGCCAGTTTGAGTAGGTCGCTTTTTGGTATGATCGATTCCAAACCTAGAAATACACTTTGCAAATATGACGTCCATAACAAAAAGGAAAGGTGATGCTGGAGGACAACGGACGAAACGTCATATTAAAATTATAATTATGTCTCATTTTAAAAGAGAAAAAGTAGTAACGTTAACGTTGTTTATAATTACATTTGCACCCCGATTATCCGAAATAATGTGGACCCAAGTGCTTTCGGATAATCGAAATTTTTGATAAAACGGAAATAAATATTTAGACTCATAATGCTTTTATTGAAAAAAGTAAATGCATGTGTTAAGTGAGTATACAGGGTGTTTCAGTTTATTGTTGCATAACTTTAAGATTCGATAGAACTTTTAAAATTAATGCATAAAGTCTATATAAACATGGGTCGAAAAATGCGTGGATTCCGAAATACAGGGTGTTTAAATTTACTTTTAAAAATAGTTTTTTTTAAATACTTCGAACAATATTTGATGTATAACAGTGAAAATTGGTATACAAGGGTTTTTTGGTACGACAAAACGAACCATGGGCATAGTTTTACTGTAGGCGCTAGAGGGCGCTTTCTACTGTACCTGTAGTGTATTAACATGACCGAAAAATTTTTCTTAGTGCAATTTTTTGCTTTTTGAATAAAGAAACTCATTCTTCGCACTTTTCTGCATAAAAAAGCTTTCCTGTGAGTTTTCGTTATAGTTAGCCGTTTTTCAGATATTTCAATTTTTAAGGTTTGATGCATTTTTAATTATTTATGGGAAAATCATATTTTTTTTACATTTTCGATTTGGGCATTACAAATAATTAAGATGATCGTTTAGATTGTGTTTTTAAACACAGCAGTAATTCCTAACTCCAAATAAACAATATTAATTTGTTTAATTTTCCAATATTATTTTTAAAAAATTAAATGAATTATTTACAACTAAAATGCTATTGGATAGTTAGGACAAAACATACAAAATCTAAAGTAGTTGCTCGAAATGTAAACCCAATTGTTCAATACACAATTCACATCTACGAATGATCGAACGTGGTATAGCATTATTCAAATAAGGCCTTATTTCATCACATGCATTCCTGATTCTGTCTATTAGCATATCTCTTGTGGTTACAAAAAAAAACAGGTAAATGAAACTAAATTTCGTGCATTCACAATTGCAAAAAAAACGTTTCAGGTTTCAACAGACAACAAAACTAACTGTCAACTAATTGACGTTTAACCTTATTCTGCTTTCAATTTCAAAAATATTTGCAGGCACAGCCTACTTCTAAAAATTATCGAGATACTGACTTGTTAACGTTATTTTATCATAAATAATTAAAAATGCATCGATCCTTAAAAATCGAAATATCTCAAAAACGGCTAGCTATAACGAAAACTCACAAGAGAGTTTTTTTATGTTGAAAAGTACGAAGAATCAGTTTTTTTATTCAAAAAGCAAAAAATTGCGCTAAGAAAAATTTTTCGGTCATTTCAATACACTACAGGTACAGTAGATGAGCGCCCTCTAGCGGCTACAGTAAAACTATGCCCAAGGTTTGTTTTGTCGTACCAAAAAACCCTTGTATACCAATTTTCACTGTTATACATCAAATATTGTTCGAAATATTTAAAAAAAAACTATTTTAGAAAGTAAATTTAAACACTCTGTATTTCGGAAGCCACGCATTTTTCGACCCATGTTTATATAGACTTTATGCATTAATTTTAAAAGTTCTATCGAATCTTAAAGTTATGCAACAATAAACTGAATCACCCTGTATACCTATATAAAGTTACGAGTATTTAGTAATGAAGGAATTAATTTTTAACTGTACACGTTTTGCGTTGTTCGTACTTTTGGCTGCAATATCCCTCCAACGTTTGATAAGTAGCACTGTCGCATTTTCTTGTTGTCTATGCAGCATACATACCAACATACTAACAGGTCAAAGTGGAAGCTTGTAAAAATTAAAGAAACTAACCGTAGTAGCAATAAACGTACTCCCAAAACTCGCCGAGGCCTCCGATAAGGTATCTTTTTCCACCCCACATGTTGATCTCTTTCCATACGACGGGTCCTTTTGCGATATACCATTTGTTCTGCTTGTTCAGCTTGTCCACGTATTCAGCCCAATCGAGACCGTCCATCTCGATCTTTTTGTAAATGAAGTTAGGGAGTTTTTCAGACAGGTAGTGGGCGACGACCAACGCATGGGCATAGTTGGGACAGCGGGGCTCTCCGCTTATCACGAAGTACGGCATGCTTCAGATAATTGACAGACTGGTCCTGCCTGACATATGGCCAAACCAGCTCCTAAGCAACTGGTAGCTGCGTTTAGAGGTTGTGGAAAGTATAACCGGTATTGTTCAAAACTGCCAAGATGTTTGCTGCCAATTCCACCATGGACGTCCCCTCAACGCCCGAGTACCGTAGATTCAAAGGGTTCCCTACATTAAGCGGGAAATAACCGTAAGAAGGATGCTCTTGTCGCTCGACATGAAGTTACGATCGGAACGTTAGCTGAAGCATGGCCACCTCGATCGAGAGATTTAGCCCCCATTGACTTTTTCTGTGCGGTATCCCACTTAGTTAACAGACAGCATTTTCGATATTGACGTATTTTTCTATCGTTAAGCAATTCCTGTTATTTTTTCAGGCAAAAGCTGACTTCCCCAAAATGGAACCGATTTCGTGGTATCAGACTCCGATGGAAGGACAAGATCCGATTGAACAACGTTATATGGCGATGCTGGCATCTCCAATGTAAGTAATTTACGCCTTCCGAACTTTGTCGTCAAACATCTTTACCGAGTTTTCGTGACGAGTCTGGATGGGGCTATAAACCAAAGGACCTCACGCGAAACATGGAAAATAAAAACTATACAATTGAAGGATTCCTTTATGGCCTGCTTGATTTTCATAGTTTTCCACTGTTCCGTATCAGCGCTCTATTTTGAGGTTATGTTACAAGTATCTATACGAAGTCACATATAAATCCGAACACCCAGTTTAAATGGTTTTATTTTAATAAAAGTTGGTGAATGTATTTATCTTACTGTAAATATATATACTGCTAGAGTGCAAAGAAGTGTAGACACTGTGGTTAGGTGTTGTCAGGCATGGCTTCGAGAAGGCCGTACGCAAAGAGCAAGGGGCACTGGACGCCGCCGTAGAACAACAGACCGTGAAGATCGCCGCCTAAGATTATTGGCCTTGAGGGACCGTTTCTCCACTACCAGGTCCATTGCAAATGAATGGTTTGCAGAACACGGAAGACCTATTGGCATGCGAAGTGTTTACCGACGAATGAGAAGTTTTGGCTTGTTTTCATACCGGCCACACTGGGTCCTCCCTTTAACTCGAGAACACCGACGTAATCGCCTTGAGTGGTGCAGACAACGGTCACTCTGGGATCAGGAATGGAACAGTATTGTCTTTAGTGACGAGTCTCGATTTTGTTTAGGCATGCACGATGGTCGTGCCAGGGTTAGAAGGCGACGTGGTGAAAGGAGGAATCCACAGTTTTTTGTTGAAAGACATGTTCATCACACTGTTGGAGTTGTGGTTTGGGGTGCTATAGCTTATGGTTCCAGGTCACCTTTAATCTTCATCAGAGGTAACATGAACGCGCAGCGTTATATCCACGAAGTTCTAGAACCCCATCTTTTACCCTATCTTGACACCCTGGCAGATCCAACTTTCCAACAAGATAATGCCCGACCACATGTTGCAAGAGTCACAATAGACTTCTTTCAACGTAATGATGTCACATTGTTACCATGGCCACCAAGATCTCCCGACTTATCCCCAATTGAGCACGTGTGGGATATGATGGGTAGGAGATTGCTCATTTTGCAACGTCCTCCTCAGACTCTAAAAGCACTTCGAGAGGAGTTGGTGGTTGCCTGGAATGAGATACCACAGGAGGAGATTGACCACCTGATCAGAAGCATGCCTAGGCGCGTTGCAGAATGCGTAGCACATCAGGTTGCATCCACACATTATTAAAGGTCAAAGGGCTTTAAAGCAGTGCAATCATTTTGAATTTTTTATCATTTACTTATTATGCTTCATTAAGTACTTATACAAAATTTTATTAAAATAAAACCATTTAAACTGGGTGTTCGGATTTATGTCACTTAGTATATTATCATCATATTGTTCATGCTTTTGATTTATATCATGTATTATATCGGCCTGAAATGTCTCAAAATTCAAAAAGAAAACAGCTTCACAATAGAAGAGCGCTGACGCTGACACGGAACAGGTGAAGTCTAGAAATACCCCAACCTTTCTGAAGGAGAGAGAATGCTATGAGAATCAAGGAGACCATAAAGCTGACCTGCAATTGTAGGAAGGACTGACGATGCAGTCCTTAGATAAATCGATCCATTTTTTGCAGAGTCCTTTGTTTAAACTATTTTTTTGAACTTTAGTTACTTTTTTGTCCATTTACAATGCTTAAAAACTCGATCAAAAATTAATATTTCTGCGGTTTACAATGAGTCACGGATGACGCATTACACGAACGTTGCCAGGTCAACAGTTGCAGGTTGATTACTCAACATTTAAAAAATCAACAACTAATACTTAAATTACAAGTCGTACTTACCAAGCTTAGATAAGTAATTATTTACCTTGTACTATTCTGTTTTTTTTTTCAGTTATAAAGAAAGAAAGGACACTCGTCTGTCAATTCGCATCACCGCTAGAGGTAGACACTCACAACAAACCAGAGGTAAACAGAAATTATTGTTATTGTATATATTTTCGCACACGTGGTACTGAGATATCACGATTCGATTAATAAATATCGAAAAAAATGTCGATAACCTATTTAACTTTATTCAACGTTTCGCTAGCATATCACTGTTTTGCCCCAAATATTATTCATCGGGAATTCTCAAAAAGACTGCTACGTAGTTGCAAGTTCAGGTTGCTAATATCATTAATAGGTTCTAAAAGACGATATCAAAATTCAAAGACAGAATTTTCTCACAATTTGTTTTTCTACTATCAGATGTTTGTTATGTTATTAGGTAATGCCAAAATATGTGCGTAAATTATCCCAGAATTTCGTCTAATTTGTTTGTTGCAACTTACAAAAAACAATGACGAAATATGATGCACGATTGATACATTTTAGCTTATCGTCAGAAATATCTGCTAAACGATTCCTCGTAGCAACTTTGTAACCTGACTTCTAATAACACTGGTCAACAAAATTTTAACTTTGTCGTGCCACACGGACTTTTTTGATATTTTTTACTTTAATTGGTGATTGTAAGAAAAAATAAACAGTTAAACAAAATTTGCTAGACAAGGATTTTATTCTATTGAGTAATTTAAAATATTAAGAAAAAACACAGATCTCGTAAATCAAAAGTTATTTTTTTTTTATAAATGACTTAATAATCTAAGATTTTCTTGAATATTTAGCTTCTGGTTGGTCCCTTTTAATTGTCCAGCAGTAATCTGCTAACATATTTGGGCTCCATTTGCCCTGGTACCGTTTTTCCATATTAGAAATGTCATGATGGTTCCTCTCACCGTGCTCGTCGCTGACAGCCCCTAAATTGTCAGGAAAAAAATCCAGGTGCGAGTATAAAAAATGGATCTTAAGTGACATGTTGCAACCCAATGCTTGATATGACAATAATAGCTCGCTAACCAACTCTCTGTAGCTGTCACTCTTGTGGTTACCCAAAAAATTTGAAACAACATTTTTAAAAGCCTTCCATGCAGATGTTTCTAAATCGCTTAATTTATCTTCAAATCTTGAATCTTTTATTAACTCCCTAATTTGAGGGCCAACAAAAATACCCTCTTTTATCTTTGCGTCACTTATTTTAGGGAATTTTTCTTTTAGATACAAAAATCCACTCCCATTGCGATCCATTGCCTTCACAAAATTTTTTATTAAGCCTAATTTGATATGCAATGGTGGCAGAAGCACATTATTTGGCTGTACAAGGGGTAAATACTTTACGTTTTTTTGCCCAGGAACTAACGATGCACGCGTAGGCCATGTTTTTTTTATATAGTGATTAGTTCTGTCTCGGCTATCTCATTCACATAAAAAGCAGCAAAACTTTGTATAACCCAGCTGAAGTCCAAGTAATAGTGCAACAACTTTAAGATCACCGCAGATTTTGAAGGAATATGTACTGTAATTTATTTTTTCAAGTAAAAGTTTCATATTTTCATAGGTTTCTTTCATATTTGCAGCATGGGCCAGAGGTACAGACGGAAGCTTATTTCCATTATGCAATAACACTGCTTTTAGACTTGCTTTCGAAGAATCAATGAATAAACGTCACTGAGAGAGATCAAAATCTATGTCCAACATTTTCATAATCTCATTTATGTTATTGCAAAACACGAAATCTCCATCCTGAGAAAAATACGTTCTGAAGTGTTGATCACGGTTTCGAAAATAGCTAACTTTTGTATTATGATGTAGCAAAATCCATTCTTTTAGACGTGATCCTAATAGTTCTGACTGCTTTGTTGACAAATTTAAATCCCGAACCAAATCATTTCGGTCTCCTTGAGTTATCAAATGTGGCTCGTTTACAATTCCTTTTAACTCAAAGTCATCGTCCTCGTCAACACATTCACCTGAGGTGGACGGTTGTGAATTGTTCTCAACAGACGTAGTTGCAACTGGTATTAGTTCTGGCAATTTTTTACAATGAGAGACTGGTCTTATAGCCAAAGATAAGTTAGGGTAAATAACTGTGGTTTTTTTCTTGTATTTTATACCTTTTATGTCTGTGAGACAAAAATAGCAATCTGAAACGTGATCTCGCTGTTCAGTCCATATCATGGGTACAGCAAACGGCATAGGTCGTGCACCTTTCTTCCAGTCAGTTAAATTTTTCACACACGTTATGCAACAGACATGAGGTGCCCAGGATTTGTCTTGATGGGCGACAGAAAAACCAAAACATTGGTGATAACGCTCCAACACAAGATTCGTAAAATTTCGTCGTTGTTTTTTGAATGTTAGTTCTCCGCAGACATAACAAAAAGAGTTAGGATCATTATTACACTTCCTCGACATATTCACAGGGTTAATAAATCCCAAAATTGTTCAAATTCAACAACAAATATTTTTATAAGGATTTACTTGTAAGCGTTTCTGTTAATTTACTGCCGTAGTACTAGTTATGAGTATTACCGTATCACAACAAATATGAGGCTAATAGACATATGACAGCTGTCATGTAATAATGAGGGTAGACTGATAAAACAAGCTGTCAAAGTTCGTGTGGCAAAACCAGTGTTGACCAGTGTAATTCTTTAAAAGCGAAAATGATCACTCAATTCTTCGACGAATGAATTGAATTACTGACGTTTCGGTTGTCACAGGGTTGTGACTAGGTATACTAGGTGTAAATAAGCTAGAATATGCAATGGTAATCTGGAACGCATTCTATGCAACCTCGTGTGAGTCATTGGAAAAAATTCGGAGGAAATTCTTTAAGTGCTTATCACTCCAAACCGATGGGAGGATACATAAAATATCTTAATTCAAAAACATGAATTTCTCTGTCTTGCCGATAGAAGGAAGACTCAGCCTACTAAAGTACAGCTGTGAAAATGATGGGTAATAATGTTTTATATACGTAGTCGTGCCATAAGTTCTGTCCCATGATAATCTCATGATAAAAATGAAACAAGATAAGATATATTTATATGAAAGATATTATTTATTCGACAACATTTTTAGAATTCATAATCAAACAGTTTTATTCAAAATGTCCCCCCTTGGCCTTCACACACTGCTTCAATCTCGCGGGCCACTCATCTATCACTGCACGCACAGCTTCCAAAGGAATAGCTGCCGCTGATCGGATCAAATCCGCTTTCAGGGACTCGATATTACGGTGGGCTTTGGAGCAGGCCAACTGCTCTAGCAGGTCCCACAACTTGTAGTCTAAAGGATTGAGGTCCAGACTCCCTGAGGGCCAATCTTCCGCAGCAATGAACTCTGGCACATTGCTTTCCAGCCAGCGCTGCGTACTCTTAGCCTTGTGAGCGGGGGCGGAATCCTGCTGGTAGACCCAGTGTTGGTTGGCAAACAATGTACCACTTAAAGGCTTGACGATAGGATCCAGTATGTCGCTCTGATAGTTTGCCGCTTTTGTTTTCACGCCCTGTTTACAGAAATGGAGCTGAGTGACCCCTTCGTAGGACACACCCCACTAAACCATGACTGACGCAGGGTGGTGGCCTCTCTCAACTCTCGGAATGATCTCCGAAGCTTCCTGTGAACTCCTTGCATACACTTTGTCATTTTGTCGGTTGAATTTTTCTTCTATGGTGAAGATTTTCTCATCCGTGAACAAAATCTTTCGGAATCCCCCAGCTGCGTACCTCTCCAAGAGCTAATTGGATCTTGTCGCCCTGATGTGTCGCAAGGTGGCCGTAAGTCGCTGGCCCGTACGTCTCCGGTAAGCCCCTAGCCCTAGGTCTTGTTTAATGATGCGCGACATCGTCCGGACAGGAATCTTCATTTCCCTGGATAGGATCTTCTGCTTCCGGAGTGGATTCCTTTGAATCCTGGCTTTTACGGCTTTGATGGCTGCTGGAGTCCTTACTTGACGAGGTCTTCCGCTTCTTGGCCTGTCATCAACAGAGGACGTCTCATTGTACCGCTGAATGGTCCTAGACACAAATTTACGCGATATTTGAAGGCCGCGTAAGAGTTCAAAAATCTGACTAGCACTGTGATTACACTTATGTAAAGCTATCACTGCAATACGGTTCTCTGCCTTGCCCCACTCCATCGTTATGCTTCGAGAGATCAATACAAACTGAGGTATATGTAATTACCCGAAAAGCGCTTAATCAACTGACACCACAATGTAAACAATCGGACAAGTATTAACAGGTCTACACTTGTTTGAAAACGAGGGACAGAACTTATGGCATGACTACGTACATAACTTTATACTATAGAGAAACTACGAGGGTTATTCCGAAAATAAGGTTCCCGCATTTTTTTCAGGAACAGAAAATGCTTCGAAAAATTTGGAATACTCATTAAGAATATGGTGCTGTGTAAAGAAAACATTTTTTGAACTTTAAATATAGTGTTAGGTTAATCAATGGTTATGCGTAGATCTTTTCAATCAAATGTTCTCTTGTAGGCAGTAGTTTTGGAGGGAAAATATTGGAAAAGGAAACTTGCAGCCGTTACCGCTGAATACAAAAGATGGCGGATGTTTCACAGGAACAGAATCCTCGGGCATATGCCCAGGGACATCTCGGATATGGTAAGTGTATGCACTGTTGCCGGATTGTGCAAATGTGGCAGAATCTAAATTTTTGGTATTTAGGGGTGTTTTTTTTCCAGTTCTCAGAAAGTCTGCTGTCGTGGAGCTCGAAAAGCACCGAGAACATGGACATGATGGTGGATGAAGACTACATGGGGCTGATGAGCGATACTTTGTTCTCAAGCATCGCAAATCAACCGTTTGTCTTCCCTGACCCAAGAGAAATAGGTACTTGAATTATATATTTAGAAGCCGATCATTACTAGTAGTAGTAGTAGAAAGATTTATTTAGCACATTTGGCTACATAAACAGAATAATTGTAAACAACTTAGAACTAGTAAATTCAAGCCATATGGTATATGATGTAAATGCTGGGCAACCTATAATTGTAGATTTAACAAGTGATTTCTCAATTTTACTTTAAATTTTGTCAAAGTTTTCTGGTCTTTTATCTCGGAGTATAATTTATTATATTCAATCAACCCTTGATGGAATACAGATTTGTAGCATATGTTATACTTTTTGGTCATTAAATGGAAGTCATCTTTATTTGTGGTGTTATGTAAATGATGGTCGACATTTGATGATGTTAAATTAGTTAGACTTGATGGAAATATATTATTTTTTACTTTATAAATGAATATCATTACAAGATATTTGATAAAAAATTTTACATTGAGCCATTTTAATTTGCTAAGCATTTGCCTAATTGGAGTATATTTAACTTTATTTAGTATTATTCTCATGCACTTATTTTGTAAAATTTGCAGTCTTTCAAAAATGGAATTATTTGCTAAATATAGAAACTCTCGATAAATATCCCACTTTACTACTAATCTTATTTATAACTTTTTCATAATGAATATCAAAAATTAATCGAGAGTCAACAAAAACCCCCGGATATTTAAAATTTTCTACGAATTCTTCACCATCAATATTCAGTTGAACATTTGTACATTGTTTTTTTCCGATTAACAAGGCTTTCGTTTTACTTGTATTTAATTTTAGTCCGTTAGATGCTAACCATTTTGAGACAAGTTTCAAGTCTTCATTTATATAAGAGATACCAGTCTGAATATTTTTAGTACTTATATAAATCATAGTGTCATCGGCGAAAATCTGAATTTTGCATTTTTTGACTATGTCAGGTAAATCATTTATGTATAAAATAAAAAGAAGTGGTCCCAGGATACTGCCCTTTGGAACACCCAACGTATTTTCAATTTTTGATGAAATAGCGTCATTAACTTTTGTAACTTGCATCCTTTTAGACAAATAATTTCTAAACCAATCTAAAACACTTCCTGATATACCATATGCCTTCAATTTACCTAACAAAATATCTCTATCAATCGTTTCAAATGCCCCCTTCAAATCCAAAAATACTGCTATGACAACTTCTTCTGAGTCTGTGGCTCTTCTCCAATTCTCAGTTACCAACTGGAAAGCCGTTTCTGTGGAATATTTTTTTCGAAAGCCTGCTTGCGCCTCCACTAAAATTTTGTTTTCTTCTTAAAACTGCATTAATTGGTGATGCACTATGGACTCTAATAATTTTTCAATGTCTGGTAACATATTTGCTGTTCTCATATCGCTGCATCTTTCAGAATTTTTCGTTTTGGGAACTGGTGTTATTGTAGAGCATTTCAAATTTTCAGGAAAAGAACTGCTTCTCAGTGAACGATTGATCCAATTTAATACAGGATATCCCAAAATTTCGAAACAGTATTTCAGCACGTTTTTAGTAGTGATTTCGGCACAATTGTTATTTGATTTTAAACGGTTTACTTTTTTTCTTAGATAATTCAATGATACGTTGTGAAATTTTGAAAGTGTATGCAACATTTCCCCCTGGAAACTGATTTTCATATAGTCAGGTGCAGCATTGGCAGTACCCATAATATCAACAATACTCTCCACAAAATATTCATTTAGTTTGTTTGCAATCACCAAATAATTTGTTTCGGTACCGTTTTCGAATTGAACTTGATTTACACAATCATGCGGCTTCGAATTGATCAGTCTTTTTAAAGTCTTCCACATCTTTACACTGTCGCACTTGTTATTATCGATTTGTTTATCGTAGAATTTTCTTTTTTCTTCTCTAATTACATACACAAATTTATTCCTAAAAGTTTTGTATACCTCCCAATCATCATTTGATTTTGTGAATATACATTTATTGTATTGTTTGTCTCTCAAATTTTGAGCTGCCTTAATATTCTTGTTATACCAGGGTGTATTTTTTGTCGAGCAAATCACTTTTTTATCAGTTGCAAGATCTAAACAAGTTTTTATATTTCCTATTATGTTGTCATATAGTTTTTCCATATTCTCACCGAAAATTCCAATAGCAGCCAGCAAGTTCTCGTTCAAGTTTTTCGTACTCAATAGTATTTACGATTTTCTTGATTTTTGTATCAGAAAAATGCCCTACCAAGGGCAGCATTGTCCAACTGTGATCACTAACTTTAGGTGTATGTACAGCTTTAATCCCTGCACATTCGAACTTTACAATAACAAGATCCGACAAAATCTGTGATAATGATGTTATTCTTGTACTCTCTTCAATTTTTTGCTTGAACCCATAGTTATTTACGGTTTCTCTCAATTTTCTTGTTTTCATGCTTTTACCATAATAATTTAAATTAAAATCACCTAAAAGTATTATATTGTTTCTAAAATACTGATACTATTTTTTATTTTTGCAGCCAGAGCGGGTCTCGCCGATTTCATACAGCCTAGCTTAGGCCCGCTCCAACCGAATTTGGATGATTATATGGACACTTTCGATCCCTTACAAGGTACTAGCTAATACTTATTTTCAATTTATTTTTTTAGAATTGTTGATTTGAAATTTTCTTTTAGATTTCGTTAGCAATAGGTTACCGACGGTGCCGGAAGAAAATCAGGGTGCTCAGCCAAGTTTGGAATGGGGGTATATAGACAGTTCTCTAGCGAATAGTAATTTGGATGTAAGTTTAACTTTTTCGTACATCTAGCTTATTGTTTAACCTAAACGTCTGTGTTTTCGTTAGGTCCAACCACTAGGCGCGACAGAAATATCACAGTACCCGATTTCCGAAATGCAGCAGATACCTTTGGAAAAAACAGTTCCTGTTCAAGATACGCGGCAACAACAAATTCTGTCACAACCATCTTATGGCAGCAATATGATGCTTGCAAATGTAAGTGGATTAATTTTATAATATTGCTTTGTTCAATTACTGGTTTCTGAATGTTAACGTGCTCATCATTATTTTCAGTATGTGACAGAAGGACCTCCTCCACCTTACCCTTCAGTGATGTCGAAAAGCAGTTCTTCCAAGCCTATGAAATCAACGACTAAAGAAAAAATTGTGCCATACAGTAAATCTGTAGATATTTACGTCAACTACCAACGATCGCAATGTGTTACAGATAGATTGCAGTGTAAGTATCTAAAGTACGAAGTTTGTCGAATGAAGAAGCCCCATCTATTAGCTGAGACCAGTATTGGATAGGTACATTTTTCGTTGATGCCCTGTCAAAATTTCATGACACTCGAACCACCTATCGAGTTAACGAGCTAAGGGTGGATTTCACCAGGATTGTCAAATCAACAGTCCGTTATTTTCCACCTTTAGGGTAACAGTCCAATACAGCGAATGAGCTTCAAGTTCCAATCAACAAATTTCAGCAACGAATAGCTATGAAATGTTGAAAACAAAATACTGTCAAAGTATGGGATGACAGCTTGTCATTGAAACATCACCAGCTTATTGAGAAATTACATATGATTTAGTCAAAATTTAAAAAAGTGTTCGATTTTTGAATAAAATTCATGTTTTTATTTAATATTGTCGACTGTTTATTCATGTTTATATTACACATCTGGTGTGGATTTCTAGATCATAAATTGGCAAAAATTATTTTTGATATAACTAAAGATGATGAACCAGTTGGAATACGTTTTATACTGTTGGATTGAATCATGAAGACTTTTCATTTTTTTTTTACCAAATTTCGCAGCCGAATTAGAAGTTTTTTTAGTTTCGTTTGCGCCAAATTAAAGGTTTTCGAAGCGCGGATAAATTTTTTACATATTATTCTGGCGGGAAATGCAATTTTTTTAGCTTTAAAAACCTATTAACCCCAGCTATGATAAAAAATGTATGTGCTGTGTCTTTATGAGGTTCCAAATGACTCCGTCGATATCCCGGGATAGACATCCATTTTGACAGATGACCTTGTCATTCTTGCCATCTGGGTTGCGGCGTTGCCAGCTCATCGGACGATATTGCTACCTCTGCTATTTTGATAAAATGTTTTAAAAACTTAAAATATTGAGGAATACCAATGGAGATATAAAATTTGAGGCGTAGCAATGTTAAAATACTTCTTCCAACAATTGGAAAAAAACAATGTCTTATTATATAAATATATTTGTTAACTATTTGATCTAAAATTACATGATCTTAATAGGACGAATTACGATTTTCATTTCACTCTGATATTTATTAGTATCCGTCTTATACGCAGAGATATTAGGCATTCATTTTGAGGAAGCTAAAAATGGACAGTTTGATAACTTGAATCCAACTTATAACTCCAAGGTAAGTCATTGTAGTTTCCTACACACGGGGCTGAGATTCCAGGAAAACGCCAAAGAATCAATGCTTGATTTTTTGCACCATATTTAGTAAACATAGTGCCAAGAGCTTAGTGTTAAAGCACGATACTGTCCATTATAGACTATCACCAATTCCTTGGGCTGAAAATAGTATTTTGTTCGAGGATTCGCTAATAGTTTTGAGATTTTTCAGAAATGAATGTAAGTACATAAGAATAATTTCAAGAACGTTAGATTAGTGCACGTTTCTGTGAATATCTTTTTATAATAATGTATTACAGGGTGGCGAAGGTAAGGATCAGTCTAGGTTAAATTCAGTAATCACACAATCTTACATCAAGCATTTGTTTGCAACTCCTACTTGGCCAAATTTTAGTTTTTCCCCCCAAATACCTCACTATATGACTAATCTCTCAGTGGATGCAATGTGCGCAATTTATTTAAAAAAAACATGGGATTTCAACCCTAATACACAAGTAGATGAGTATGCAAAGCTCACCCAGTTTGCTGCACATGTATCCTGTTGTCCTCAGAAGAGTTTGAAGTAGACTTAATTTCCACTTTGGAGACACTTGACACCTACCTCACAACACTAAAGCACCACTGAGACACAATCGAGAACCCTATAGTGAACACCACTATTAAAAAAAGAATAGCTTAACTGAAGAGAGCTCTGGACAGAGCTGTGAACGCGTCGACGGCTGCCGAGAGACTGAAGAGTGTGAATGCTGTTCCTCGCTGCGGCCGGGTAGTACAGCCACGCCCCTTTCCAGCTCGCACTCCGCGCGATCGCTCCCGTCAACGTAAACATCGAGTCGCTTCGTGAAAACGCAGACGCGCGGAGTGGGAGCTGTACTACCCGGCCGCAGCGACGTGCAGCACACACACCCTTCAGTCTCTCGACAACCGTCGACGCGGCGGAATGTCCACGCGTTCACAGCTCCGATGCAGAGCTCTATTCGGTTAAGCTATTTTTTTCAAAGTGGTGTTTACTATAGGGTTCTCGATTGTCTCTCAGTGGTACTTTGGTGTTTTAGTGTTGTGAGGTGGGTGTCAAGTGTCTCCAAAGTGGAAATTAGGTCTACTTCAAACTCTTCTGAGAGAAACAGGATACATGTGCAGCAAACTGGGTGAGCTTTGCGTACTCATCTACTTGTGTGTTCGGGTTGACATCCTATGTTTTTTAAATAAGTTATGCACATTGCATACACTGAGAGATTAGTCATCTACTGAGGTATTTGGGTAAAACTAAAATTTGGTCAAATCGTTTTTATTTTTGTCTGACTTTATTTTATTTTTTTTTAAGTAATTTATTTAAACACAATAATACAAAATGTATAACCAGTTTTAACAATAATTCCCCAATCAGTGTTTGCAAGCACTGACCCCGAGAATAACAAAACAATAATCAATATCTATGAACTATAGGTACGCTGCAATGTTGCTCATAATTTCAACGAATAAATTCATTAACATTTTTAAAATCTTTCAATTCTCTAACAAAACTTCTGTAGTTATTTGAATCTTTTATACAATGAGGTCAATTATTAAATTTTTTAATTGCGTCTGTGATTGGATTTTTTAAACCTATATTAGTTCTTGTGGAAATTTGATAAACATTATTTAGTGATCTTGTCTGGTGATCATGCACGTTATGGTAGAACCTAATATTTATGTTACTTTTTTGTAGATTATTTATAATTTTATAAATAAGTTTACATTGTTCCAGCTCCAATAACACTCTTAATTAGTTTAAATTTAAATATTAAGAAAAGTTAAAAAATTAATGCCACAACTTGGGCACTACATAATGGTTTTTTAAATGTTGTGCACGTCGACACTGTATCTAATAGCATCTTTTTATACGACTTCATCGATGTATCACGTTACTTTTTTTTTAGTTATAAACAAACGTGTTTTTTCTATTTTTTCATTTTATTTAAGTAGGAGTTGCAAACAAATGGTTGATGTATTATTACTAAATTTAACCTAGTCTGATCCTTATCTTGGCCACCTTGTAATACATTATTTTAAAAATAAATTTACAGAAACGTGCACTAATCTAACGTTCTTGTAAGTATTCTTTTGTACTAAAACTAGTAGCAAAGCCTCGCACAATAGACTATTTTTAGTCCAAGGAATTGGTGATAGTCAATATTTGACAGTATTTTACATCGGGCTTTGGCACTAAGCACTTGGCACTATGTTTACTAAATATGGTGCAAAAAATCAAGCATTGATTCTTTGGCGTTTTCAAACCTGGAATTTCAGCCCCGTGTTTAAGAAACTACAATGTCTTACCTCGATTGTTGGAGGATACGTAGGCACCAAATGTCCAACCAGAGTATGGATATATGATGCGTCCAAAATGCTTATTCCGTCTGCCCTTAATTCCACATGATCGACGAGTTATAAGTTGGATTCAAGTTCAAATCCTTCCGCTGTCCATTTTTAGCTTCCTCAAAATGAATTCCTAATATCTCTGCGTTTAAGACGGATACTAATAAATAGTAGGGTAAAATGAAAATCGTACTTCTCCTATTAATGATCATCTAATTTTTGATCAAATAGTTAATAAATATATTTATATAACAGAACATTGTTTTTTTTTCAATTGTTGGAAGAAGTGTGGTTTTCAAAAAGTATTTTATCCTGAAAAAAAAAACTGGGCATTTATAAAAGTGTTCAGAGACATTTACGTTCCACCGCAAAGACGCCAGGCGACGCAAAACAACAACTTTGTTTAGTTTTTTGGCAAACATTGCTACGCCTCAAATTTTATACAGGGTGTAAAACATTTTAGGAGGTGATAGTACCGCCCTTTTGCTATCGAAATTAGTATATAATACCATGCCCTATATTCAAAGGTTGAAAAGTTATTGAAGATTTAAGATTTTTTTAAAAACAATCCATATTTCAGAGTAAAAAAGTCGAGAGAGAAAAAATTTGGCGATTAAACATTTGTTTTTTGTGGTTTTGAGTTATTATTTCAATAATTAACTATTATAAATTAAAAAAGATTCGAAAACAATACCAAACAACGTATTTATTTTCATTCAAAAATGTTTAACTAAGAAAAACAAATAACGTTTTACAGTAAGTAAGGTGTTTTACAAAAAAATCAGTATACAAAAAAATGTACAAACAATTTAAATAATATCCTTGTTTCATAAGAAATCTAAATTGGTATGATAAGTGCACAAAAACTGTGTGAAACTAAACATAATGTATTGTAATACAACAATAGGGAGTAAATTTACCAATGGCTTGTCTCCTATTTTCACAACTCTCTGATTGATAAGAAGGTGTTTTTGTGAAAATAATGTAACTGTAAGCTATGGGATAGTTATTATTTTAAACTACGGTTAAGTTACACGATTAGATTATTTACACAGTTGTAATTGTACTACAGAATAATAAAAACTGACTAAAAGTTACTACAATTGGTAAGTAAAATACAATAATGAAATGAAGGTAAAATTCATTGCAATAATTGTTGTTCGAACTGACGCCCGCCGTTTCTTATGCAAGCCCGTAGTCTTTTTCTCATGTTGGTACGCGTGATGCGGCCTGTTAGTTGTTCTCTGATAGTGTCAGCAGCAGCAATAATTCTTTCTTTCAACTGTGCAAGAGTTTCTATGGGCTCAGCGTACACCAGTGACTTCATGTGCCCCCATAAATAATAGTCACACGGTGTTAAATCTGGGCTCCTCGCTGGCCACGGTGTCGGTCCACCTCGGCCAATCCAGCGACAAGGATATTTCTCGTCCAGCCACTGTCTAACACCCAGACGGAAATGCGCGGGACAGCCGTCGTGTTGGTTGATCATCTGCATCCTGATATTCAGAGGCAGGTCTTCGAGATACTCCCAGAGTTCGGATCTCAAAAAGTTTTCATAGGATTCGCCATTCAGGTTGTCAGGCAAAAAAACTGGTCCAATTAGATACGTATGAATGATTCCCATCCACTCGTTTGCCGAAAATCTTCTTTGATGGGCTCTTGGCTTTGCCATGTGGGGATTTGCCTCTCGTGCGGCCCAATAATGTAAGTTGTGATAATTTGTTGTCCCCTTTCTGTCAAACTTAGACTCGTCGGTCCACAATATTTTAGTTAAATAGTCGTTTTCTTCTTGATCCCAATGAAGCATATCTCGACAAAAATCAATTCTTCTTGCGGGATCTCCTTCTTCTAATACTTGAACCGGTGTGTAATGGAAAGGGTAAAGTCTCGCCGAATGCAAAACGAACCAAACTTTCCACTGAGTTAAACCAAGCTGCTTTGCTATAACTCGTGTAGACGTCGTCGGGTCTCTGCCGTAGCATTCCAGTATTGCCTCTCGATCTTCGTCGTCAAACAACCGAGGTCTACCAGCATCATGACGTCTCTCATGAACCTGTCCACTTTCCTTGACGCGTTGGTACACAGAAGCAAATACGCGATGACTCGTTATTCGCCGATTCGTTAAACGGTTTTCGTATTCTCGCCTGGCTTCAACGGAATTTCCATTACTTAAACCATAACAAAACAGAATATCAGCGTATTCTTCGTTACGGTAACTCGCCATTAATAAAACTGATCAAAAAAAGTAAAAGTACGTCCTACCGCGTTAAAGGTTGATATTCTACTAACTAACCTAAGCGTTAGTTCCCTTTCCTTGATCCGTCAGCTGTGTCAATTCATAACACACGCATAGCTTGCTTCCGAGGAGCGACGGCAGATTCTTAATACTTAAACCCGAATAACGGCACAGGAAACAAAAAATAACAAAAAGGGTCGAACCATGAAAGGCTCGGTTTACCTGCTCAGTACAATGAAATGCGCTTAGCGGTCCTTTCTAGCAAAGTAATATTGTTTTGTTAAATGGTTAAATTTTAGAAACCTAATGAAACGAGGAAGTTTTTGCAGTTATTTGTACATTTTCTTTATTATGATTTTTTTGAAAAAAAAGACTTAATGTGAAAGATGAAAATAAAAATTTTCATTTAACATTTAAATGAAAATAAATACGTTTTCAGTAGTGTTTTCATATGTTTTTTAATTTATGAGAATTATTTATTTAAATAATAACCTGAAACCACCAAAAAGAGAATGTTTAATCACCATTTTTTTATCTCAACTATTTTACTCTGTAATCTGGGTTGTATTTTAAAAAAAATTAAATCTTCCATAACTTTTTAACCTTTGAATATACGGTATAGTATTATATACTAATTCTGATAGCAAAGGAGGTGTACTATCACCTCCTAAAATGTTTTACACCTATTTACCTGTCACCCTGTATATCTCCATTGGTATCCCTCAATATTTTATTCAAAGCTTCTTTTTTTATAACATTCTAGCAATATAGCAGAGTTAGCAAAATTGACCGATGAGCTGGTAACGCCGCAATCTAGGTGACAAGATCAACTGCCAAAACGTATGTCTATCCCGAGGTAACGACGGAGTCATTTAGTTCGTCAAAGCGGCAGTTTTGCCAATCTTCATTTGCGGTGTGCAACGATATCGAGAAAAAGTTCTAGTAGAGTATATTTCAATAGTTGTCTTGCGTGGCCATGTTATCTTTTCATTTATATTTTACACTCATTTTGTAAAACGAACAATACACAAGTGCATAGAACTTGATGTTTCTGAATCGGGTGCAAAACTGTTGGAATAAAGATTATTATTGTTTCTTGTGTATTTTTTAGCTCCTTCGTGTAGCCAAGCGCAGCAAGAACCCACGGCCCAACAACAACAACAGGCACAAATCGCAGCTGAACTTCAACGTCACCAACAGCAGATTCAACAAACTTTAGAACAATACAAACTAGTCCAAGCTGCCTCTCAAGACGCTGTCAAACAGCACGGCTACAAATTTCCGGTTCCCAGCACGCCTCAGATAAATTTTACCCAGCAAGCTCAACAGTCTTCTCAGCAGCAGGTACAGAACCAGCATGCTCAGATGCAGTTGAGCGCCGGTGGTGGTTGTTATGTCCGGAGTAATTATGGTGCCGGTAGTTCTAGTGCTAGTGTACTGCATGGAGTAGTAAGTTGATGTGCCCTTTCCTTTTCTGCTTTTTTCTTTTTTCTACTTTCGCGCTGTACAATGGCCAATTATAGTACACGAATACTGAGGCAAATCTAGAGATGCATCGAGTACTATTTTTTTTAAGAAGCCTACCTAAATAACGAGTACCGGGCACTAAGGTTCCCACATTTTTTTCAGGTACAAGGATTTTTAAAAAAAAAACTAATTTATCATTGTAAACGATGACCTTTAAGCTATTTTAGTGCTGCAACATTTCCGAGGTACCTGCCATATATATACACTTTTGTTTTCTGAAATCCTACAGGGTGCGCCTTGTCGGTATGTAAACATGAAATAACTTTGAAAACGAAAAACTGATTTCTATATATCGGGTATTTTTATTAAATTTGGTCCTTTACAATTTATTGGGACTAGTCTTTGAACACAACATAATAGGAAATATAAAAACTTGTTTAGATCTTGCAACTGATAAAAAAGTGATTTGCTCGACAAAAAATACACCTTGGTATAACAAGAATGTTAAGGCAGCTCAAAATTTGAGAGACAAACGATACAATAAATTAATGTATATTCACAAAATCAAACGATGATTGGGAGGTATATAAAACTCTTAGGATTAAATGTGTGTATGTAATTAGAGAAGAAAAAAGGAAATTCTACGATAAACAAATCGATAATAACAAGTGCGACAGTGTAAAGATGTGGAAGACTTTAAAAAGACTGATCAATTCGAAGCCGCATGATTGTGTAAATCAAGTTCAATTCGAAAACGGCACCGAAACAAATTCTTTGGTGATTGCAGACAAACTAAATGAATATTTTGTGGAAAGTATTGTTGATATTGTGGGTACTGCCAATGCTGCACGTGACTATATGAAAATCAGTTTCCAGGGGGAAATGTTGCATACACTTTCAAAATTTCATAGCGTATCATTGAATTATCTAAGAAAAAAAGTAAACAGTTTAAAATCAAATAACAACTGTGCCGAAATCACTACTAAAAACGTGCTGAAAAACTGTTTCGAAATTTTGTGATATCCTGTATTAAACTGTATCAATTGTTCACTGAGAAGCAGTTCTTTTCCTGAAAATTTGAAATGCTCTACAATAACACCAGTTCCCAAAATAAAAAATTCTAAAAGATGCAGCGATATGAGACCAGTAAATGTGTTACCAGACATTGAAAAATTATTAGAGTCCGTAGTGCATCACCAATTGATGCAGTTTTTAGAAGAAAACAAAATTTTAGTGGAGGCGCAAGCAGGCTTTCGAAAAAAATATTCCACAGAAACGGCTTTCCAGTTGGTAACTGAGAATTGGAAAAGAGCCATAGACTCAGAAGAAGTTGTCATAGCAGTATTTTTGGATTTAAAGAGGGCATTTGAAACGATTGATAGAGATATTTTGTTAGGTAAATTGAAGGCATATAGTATATCAGGAAGTGTTTTAGATTGGTTTAGAAATTATTTATCTAAAAGGATGCAAGTTACAAAAGTTAATGACACTATTTCATCAAAAATTGAAAATACGTTGGGCAATATCCTGGGACCACTTTGTTTTATTTTATACATAGATGATTTACCTGACATAGTCAAAAAATGCAAAATTCAGATTTTCGCCGATGTCACTATGATTTATATAAGTACTAAAAATATTCAGACTGGTATCTCTTATATAAATGAAGACTTGAAACTTGTCTCAAAATGGTTAGCATCTAACAGAGTAAAATTAAATACAAGTAAAACGAAAGCCTTGTTAAACGGAAAAAAACAATGTACAAATGTTCAACTGAATATTGATGGTGAAGATATTGAATTCGTAGAAAATTTTAAATACCTGGGGGTTTTCGTTGACTCTCGATTAGTTTTTGATATTCATTATGAAAAAGTTATAAATAAGATTAGTAGTAAAGTGGGATATTTATCTAATGTTTCTGGATGTCTGAGTTCGTATAGCAGAAAAATTATCTATAATACCATCATTCTTCCAAATTTCTTGTACTGTTCGACTATTCTATATTTGGCAAATAATTCCATTTTTGAAAGACTGCAAATTTTACAAGATAAGTGCATGGGAATAATACTGAATAAAGATAAATATACTCCAGTTAAATGACTAAACTGAAGTTACACAAAAAAAGGGTGCTAGTCCTGAATGGGCGCTTAGGGCCTAATATCCCAGAAGCCGGAAAATGACGAAACGAAGAAAAGCGAATCAAGCAGAACACGTAACGTTCTAGAAGAAGGTATCTTAAGTGGCCGTGAACGAGGTATGTTTTATAGAAAACCAACTAACGGAGAAAAACTATATTATACAATCAATAAACTATTAAATTTGCCAAAAGAAAATCATTGAAAAGGGTTTGGCCTAGGAATGGACACTCTATTATCAATTAAGAGCATCGACTGTGGAGTCAGGGCAGCTGGGCTTTCTTGAATCCGGTCAAGGGGCATACTGCCATATTAGTCGAATTAGAAAGGGAGGACCCCGTCCTTCTAAGCAGGGGTGATCGTATTACCCCTAAATATCGCTTCAACCGCAAGTTCATTGTGGAGTACCCAACGAGGGAGGAGTGGGACGCCGGTAGCCGAGGACTCTCCGAAGTGAGCGGGCAGGTCTGGTACACGGACGGCTCGGTCACCGAAGAGGGCTCAGGTGCTGGGGTCTCTGGACCTAGAACTAGGCTATCTCTGCCTCTCGGTGAGTACACCACCATTTTCCAGGCGGAAATCTTTGCGATTCTGGCTTGTGTATCTCACATTCTGGAGGAGGGTGGGCCTAGGAGAAGAATAACAATCTTATCCGACAGCCAGGCTGCAATGAAAGCACTAAGTGCATGTAAGATTACTTCGAGTCTTGTATTGCAATGCAGGGAGGCTCTGGATTGCCTCGCAGCGAGGCATCCGGTATCGTTAATATGGGTACCGGGGCACGCTGGGATAAGGGGCAATGAGACGGCGGACACTCTGGCGAAAACAGGATCAGCCAGCAAGCTCGTTGGTCCTGAGCCAGCTCTAGGAGTAACCGCGCATAAAGCTAGGAGGAAAATGGAGACGTGGGTTGCAAGACAACACTCTCAGAAATGGAGAAGTATCTCTAGACATCTCCGCCAGGCACGAGAGCTCATTGAAGGGCCCAGTGCTAAGGATGGACGCTTCTGCCTATCTCTGGGTAGAGCCAACCTAAGGTTGCTGGTGGGACTGTTGTCTGGCCATAACACGTTAAGGCGACACCTGCACGTGATGGGGGTGGCTGAGGATCCCTTGTGCGAACGCTGCGGAGTAGAGGAAGAGACCTCGGCGCACGTTTTGTGTCGCTGTGAAGCTCTGAGCTACTATAGGCAGACTATACTGGGGTCCATTACTTTGGACCCTCAGGACGTAAAGAAGCTTGGACTCAAGGCGATTCTCAACTTCGCTAAAAGGGCGAGGCTTGTGATTTAAGTATTGTAGAGGTGCATAAGGGCCCGCTTAAGCGGCCTATGCACTGGCTCCTTATGGTGGCCGGGATGCCTCTAAAATTCAAGATTCATTCATTCATTCATCAATTAAGAGAAATTCAAATTACGGATAACTGATAGATAGAAAAAAAAAGTTACGCGATTTTGGCACGTTGAAAGCACCTTTTCCTCAAAAAGTTATATCGAAGATTGGAGACATTCACTGGCCTCCTAGGTCACCCGACCTCACGCCATGCGATTATTTTTTGTGGGGTTATATAAAGTCAAAAGTGTGTTCCAATAATCCACGAACACTGGAGGAGCTTAAAGACAACATTCGACGAGAAATAAACATCATTCCGGAACTCTACAAATGTTTGGATGAAATGATATTTAAGAAATAAAACCCGCCGGATATATGTTGATATTTTCTTTTCATTAAGTTTGTATTTATTTCTTAAATCAAAAACTGAACTTTCCCCTAGTACTTTCGCTTGTGTGTGAGGTCTGAGCAAAAGCACTACTTTTGATTTTATTTTTTCCTTGCATTAACACGATTTAACTGCTTGCACCCTTTCGTATTTTTTATATGAGCATGAGTCGAAAATTAAATTAAATAGCTATGTTCGAAATTATTTTTGATTGAAAGACCCAATGTATGACGATTTCTAATTGATTTATCAAAGAAAGAAGATGATTGTTGGAGCGTCAACACTTTTGAAAAAATATGAACGTGTTTGGTATATGCATTTTGGAGCTACATCTATTAAAATCTTTTATATTAGTTTTGTATTTATATTATTCGATTCTTTTGTGCTTACAGACAAAGGAGGAGTTATCGGAATCGAAACGCAGGGGCGCCCCGAGAGGTAGTAGGGGTAGGTCGAGATCTAATACAAGAGAGGGAACCAAGCGGCCGCCCCTACTATCCGCAGCCAGCGATTCGTCTTTGCTCACGCCACAAACAAGTGTTCTTCTAACTCAGTTGCTCACAAATAGTAAGCATTTATTCTTTCATCCACTAAGGTCACATGTGCTCTCAGCGGGCATTATTAAGCTCCTATAGGAATATATGGGGTTGTCCAAAACGGATACAGGAAAGTAAACGCATATTAAAACAAGAAAGATTGATATTCAAATCAAGTTGGGTACTTTATTTTAAAGGTTCATTTATACCATTTATGTATGAAAAATAATATCGCTCAAATGTTCACCAGGACTGGATTTACAGACGTCCACGCGATGGTCGAAATTTTCAATGACATTTTGCAACATGGTCGGTTCTATGGCATTTATCTCGGCAATGATGTTGTTTTTGAGTTCTTGGAGGGTGGCTGGTTTGTTGACGTAGACTTTGCTTTTCAAATATCCCCATAAAAAGAAGTCCAAGGGAGTCAAATCGCACGATCTTGGTGGCCATGGCACATTTCCTCTGCGCGAAATCACGCGATCACCGAAGAAGGACTGCAATCGATGGATATTGACGATGGTTGTGTGGCATATTGCACCGTCTTGTTGGAAATAAACATCGTCCATATCCATTCCTTCAAGTTGCGGCAAAAATAGTACTCTATCATCACGTGATATCGCTCAGAATTGACGGTAACGGCGTCCCCGGCCGCATTTTCGAAAAAGTAAGGTCCGATGATGCCTTTCGACCACAATGCACACCACACAGTCTCTTTTTGAGGATGCATCGACTGGTCTTGATACTCACGGGGATTTTCGTTCGCCCAGATGCGGCAGTTTTGCTTGTTTACCGTCAAATTCAAAGTGAAATGCGCTTCGTCGCTGAACATGATTTTTGATGAAAAATTGGCATCAATTTGGCGGTGTTCAAGGAGCCAATCTGAGAACGTTCGGCGCGAATAATGGTCGGCCCGACGCAGCTCTTGCGTCAGTTGGATCTTGTAGGCGTGTACATTCAAATCCTTGTGGAGAATGCGGAGCAAACTAGTTCTCGAAATGCCCAATTCTTGGGATCGACGCGTTGTTGATTGTTTCGGATCGTCTCTCACACTCTCCTTCACAACAGCAATATTTTCCGGTGTGCGAACGCTCCTTGGCCGGCCAGAGCCTGGCAGATTTGCCACAGAACCTGTTGCCTCGAATTTACGCACCAGACGACCGATGGTTGGTTTCGTTTGGGCGGTTGTTGCGACCGAAATGTTCACGAAGCGCGCGAAACGTGTTATTTATTTTTGCACCATTTTTGTAGTGCTCTTGAATAACTTTAATGCGGTCTTCAATCGAATACGACTCCATAGCGATCGATGGTAAACATTCAACTAACAAAATGACATGTCGGTGACAGAAAACAAAGATGGCGTCTATGTCAAATTGACGTTTACTTTCCTGCGTCCCTATTGGACAAGAGTGTGGTCACGCGGTCCAAATCGTGGTCTCGAGGCCGCCATATTTAAAAATCGCCGCTAATAGGTACAAAAGTTGTTCATCATATTTCGTATCCAGTGGACCGAATTTAATTTTTTTAAGGCTATTTCACTCCACTTTTTTGGTTGCCTTGGAGTTACAAATAACCATTCGTTTATCAATTGTAATGTCACGTATTCCTGTTAAGGGGTGATAGATTAGGTCAAAAGCAACCGATTTTGTCCTATAATGTCCTATCCAGAAGTTAACCGTTTTTGATTTATTTGAATTTTAAGTTTTTTTATTTTTTATTTCGATTTCAGACATTTTTTTTTTTGAAATACAAAAAACTACATGTTTGATTTTGAGTTTTTTGTTATCGTCGCATAGCGGACATTCCAATAGTTCATAATAAGTAATAAAATGTTGGAAACTTACAAAATTTTTAAAATTACGCTTTTGAAATGTATGTTTTTCTTTTTTTTTTTACTAACTTATTCGATAAAAAATGCAATTTTCTGTAAAAAAATCTCATAGTAATGAAATGTGCAAATTATGTAAATAATATCTCCATCTAACAAGCTTTCATTTGAGGTATAAAAGTTACAACTAAGTCAAGTACAAAGACATAAAATTAAAAAAGATGAGTAAAGTTGTACGAACGATAATTACGTAGGATAAATTAAAGGCTTTTATTTTAATTACAGTTTTATTTAATTACATGTCCTTTAGTATTTTACAGATTGTGTTCAAATTGTAATCCCCTGTTACGAATACACGCCCGCATTCTCTTACGTAATTCACTTTTGGTAACTCTAGTTGTTAAGCGGCTTTTAATTTGGTCAGCTGCATTGATTATCTTGTAATTAATTCATCGCGCGTTGATACGGGCGAAACATCGTACACCAGGCTTTTCATATGTCCCCATACATAGTAATCCATCGGTGTGAGATCTGGGCTTCTTGCTGGCCGCCTATGCCAATCCATTGATTTGGAAATTTAGAGTCCAAATACGCCCGTACTAATCTACTGTACTGTGCGGGACAGCCGTCGTGCTGGAACCGCATATTTTGTCTCGTCGCCAATGGGACGTCTTCCATTAATGGAAACAAGTGATTTTTCAAGAACTCTTCATACACTTCTCCATTTAAATTGGCGGGCAGAAAATGAGGTCAAATTAAATATCCATCGATGATGCCCATCCACACATTGACTGAAAACCGGCTCTGAGACCCCGTCGGTTTTATTTTTCGGGGGTTTAAAGCTTCTTTATCAGCCCAGTAATGAGCATTATGATAATTGGTGATCCCGTCCTTAGCAAACTTCGATTCATCGGTCCACAGAATTTTCTTAAAATAGTCTGGATCTTCTGTATCTGCATGTAACATGTACCTGCAGAAATCTAATCGTCTTGCAGGATCGCCCTCTTCAATCACATGCACAGGGTGTAGTGATAATGGTAGCATCTTGCAGAATCCACAGTAAACCACAATTTGTACTGTGATATACCTAACTGCGCAGCCACAATGCGCGTAGACGTAGTAGGGTCTTCCTGAAACACACGAAGGATTTCCTCTTCATCTTCAGGACGATAGACTCGGGGTCGACCAGCATCACTATGTTGCCTTTGAACAAGTCCGGTTTGGCGGATGCGCCGATACACAGAGTCAAACACAGTAACATGAGGTGTTCGGCGATTCGTGAAACGTTGCCGATATTCACGGCGGGCAGCTGCAGAATCGCCGTTACAAAGTCCATAACAGAACGTTATGTCTGCGTATTCTTCATTTGTAAAAGTTTGCCCGTGCTCGCTATGGCGAGGTCCTGGCGGATCTTCTGCGTCTGCCATGATGATAAAGAAACCACTCGAAATGAACTGGAAGACTCGAAAATAATAATCGTGCGTAAAACGTGAGCGCGTACGCAGTAGTTGATATCAACTAAACCTAATTCTCACTCCTCCATTAAGTCAGCTCTTCTCGCTCGCTTCCTCGTCGAGCCGAAGCCATAAAACAATCATGGCATGCGAGTCCTTTGAGGACAGTAACGACTTGTTCAAACAGGTAATACAAATTCCTTAAAAATCCAGCCTCTGTGGGTGTCATTGTTGTTTCTCTGCAGGTACTTCAGATAATTGAACGCTTAATACCTCAAATGAAAGCTTGTTAGATAGAGATATTATTTACATAATTTGCACATTTCATTACTATGAGATTTTTTACAGAAAATTTAGTAAAAAAAAAAAGAAAATGATACATTTAAAAAGCGTAATTTTAATACGTTTGTAGCTTTTCAACATTTTATTACTTATTATGAACTATTGGAATGTCTGCTATGTGACGATAACAAAAAACTCAAAATCAAGCATGCAATTTTGTTGTATTTCAATTTTAACCGTCTGAAATCGGAATAAAAAATAAAAAACTTAAAATTCAAATAACTCAAAAATTGTTAACTTTTGGATAAGACATGATAGGACAAAATCGGTTGTTTTTGACCTAATCTATCACCCCTTAACAGGAATACGTGACATTACAACTATTAAAAAAATTAGTTTTAGATATGCAATTTACATTAAAATCCCATCTCAAATAAAGAAAAGTAGCAGTTTTAAGGAAATTCTGATTTTTTCTGAACATGACGATTTCTGTCAATTTCTCAGTTACCTAAAAGTGCTGTTCCCCCTCCGAGGTCCTAACGGCGATAGTCGAGTTTGAAACACCCGGTATATATTTTTTCTTTAGGCTCGGACAGTAGCGGAACGTACTACAACAACCAGACTCGATCTATAAGCCAGTCTTCCCAAGAGATCCACTCGAACCCGGTGGTTATAAAAGAAGAGTCTTCAGGCTCGATGGCGCAATCTAGCGCCAGCTCGTACGCCGTTTCGTCCCAGCTTAGCGTCAGTCCCGACCATACTTCTTCGGACCCGGTAAGTATTCGACAAAACAGCATTATCAACGACTTCCTTTCCTGTACGATCAATCCGATCCATACCTTTGCTGACGACATCACTCTACATGCAGGCATTCAGTGTTCCAAGCCATTTTCGCTATTAAAATAGCATTTTTTGTTCGTTTGTTGAAGATTTATCTAGCATTAGTGCTGCAATGTCAATTTTCTATTGTTATTTGTTTCCACTTTTTTTTAATCCATTTAATGTAATGTTACATTCTTGTCGTTTAAAATTGCATCGCTATGCAGCTTGGGTATTCAGAAAGTGATTATTTAATTTCACCTTAAACATTTTTAAATTTAAACAGTGTTATTCAATTTATTAAATTCAAATACTCCCTATTGAAGTGGGACAGCCTGACGAAATAAAGAGGGACAACCTGACGAAATAAAGTGGGACACAACCTAACGAAATAAAGTGGGACACAACCTACCGAAATAAAGTGGGACAGCCTGACGAAATAAAGTGGGACAACCTGGCGAAATAAAGTGAGACACAATCTGACGAAATAAAGTGGGACACAATCTGACGAAATAAAGTGGGACACAACCTGACGAAATAAAGTGGGACAGCCTGACGAAGTAAAGAGGGACAACCTGACGAAATAAAGTGGGACAACCTGGCGAAGTAAAGTGGGACACAACCTAACGAAATAAAGTGGGACAGCCTGACGAAATAAAGTGGGACACAACCTGACGAAATAAAGTGGGACAGCCTGACGAAATAAAGAGGGACAACCTGACGAAATAAAGTGGGACAACCTGACGAAGTAAAGAGGGTCAACCTGGCGAAATAAAGTGGGACAACCTGGCGAAGTAAGGAGGGACAACCTGGCGAAATAAAGTGGGACAGTCTGACGAAATAAAGTAGGACAACCTGGCGAAATAAAGTGGGACACAATCTGACGAAATAAAGTGGGACACAATCTGACGAAATAAAGTGGGACACAACCTGACGAAATAAAGTGGGACAGCCTGACGAAGTAAAGAGGGACAACCTGACGAAATAAAGTGGGACAACCTGGCGAAGTAAAGTGGGACACAACCTAACGAAATAAAGTGGGACAGCCTGACGAAATAAAGTGGGACACAACCTGACGAAATAAAGTGGGACAGCCTGACGAAATAAAGAGGGACAACCTGACGAAATAAAGTGGGACAACCTGACGAAGTAAAGAGGGTCAACCTGGCGAAATAAAGTGGGACAACCTGGCGAAGTAAGGAGGGACAACCTGGCGAAATAAAGTGGGACAGTCTGACGAAATAAAGTGGGACAACCTGGCGAAATAAAGTGGGACACAACCTGACGAAATAAAGTGGGACAGTTTGACGAAATAAAGTGGGACACAACCCGACGAAATAAAGTGGGACAGCCAGGCGAAATAAAGAGGGACAATCTGACGAAATAAAGTGGGACAACCTGGCGAAGTAAAGAGGGACAACCTGGCGAGATAAAGTGGGACAACCTGGCGAAGTAAAGAGGGACAACCTGGCGAAATAAAGCGGGACAGTCTGACGAAATAAAGTGTGACAGCCTGACGAAATAAAGTGGGACACAGCCTGACGAAATAAAGAGGGACAACCTGACGAAATAAAGTGGGACAACCTGGCGAATTAAAGAGGGGCACAATCTGACGAAATAAAGTGGGACAGCCTGACGAAATAAAGTGGGACAGTCTGACGAAATAAAGTGGGACAACCTGGCGAAATAAAGTGGGACACAACCTGGCGAAATAAAGTGGGACACAACCTGACGAAATAAAGTGGGACAGCCTGACGAAATAAAGAGGGACATCACTCTCCATGCAGGCATTCAGTGTTCCAAGCCGTGTTCGCTATTAAAATAGTATTTTTTGTTCGTTTGTTGAAGATTAATCTAGCATTAGTGCTGCAATGTCAATTTTCTATTGTTATTTGTTTCCACTTTTTTTAATCCATTTTCTGTTTTTTAAAATTGCATCGCTATGCAGCTTGGGTATTCAGAAAGTGATTATTTAATTTCACCTTAAACATTTTTAAATTTAAACAGTGTTATTCAATTTATTAAATTCAAATACTCCCTTTTGAAATACAGATTTGATAGTTTTGCGACTATTACAATTTTGCAGATGAAAATCTATACTGCCTCTAGTTTCGTAGTTATTATAATGACTATTTAATTTTGTTAAGTTCAAATCTGGTGGTAATAGATATATTTTTTTTTAATGTGAATATGAAAATAACTAAATAATATGAAATGTTTTACATTCAACTGCTGTAGTTCTTCTAACATATTTGTTTTTATTTAAAATGATTCTCACCTTTATTTTGTAGGATTTGTAATTTTGAAAATATGTTTTCACTTGCTGTAAACAAGATGGTTGAAAAATATAAAAAATGAGGAAGAATTGTCGTGTTATACATATTTTTTTGGAATACATACTAAGATTATGGAAAACTCTATAGAAGTAATATTTTTTTTTTTTATAATTTTGAAATAATGTATTCATAATGCTCCTGAAACAGTAGTTTACTTTCTGCATATATACCCAGATATTTAAATGATTCGACTACCTCAATTTTTGTTACAATCCATTCTTTCTCATCTATACTTCTTCTCCAGTCTTCCACCACCATTGCTGCTTCTGTAGAATATTTTTTTCAAAATCCAGCTTGATTTTTTGTCAAAATTTTGTTGGATTTTTGGCACAGGAGTAATGGTGGAACACTTCAATTTTGATGGAAATTCACCAACAATAATAGTTTCTCTCAAATTATATTGAAATAATCATTAGTATCTTTTTTGAGGGATTCTCGCTTGGATTCTTATTAGACTTTATTTCCGAGATAACTTTTCTTAGATTGTTGACGTTTATTGTCCTAAATTGCTTGTAATGAACATCCATCACCAATCGTCTTCACTATTTGATTTATACTGTAAAATAAATGTTCAATCTTTTGAGAAACAATATTCTTTAATGTTTTCCACATCGTTTTAGGATTATTTTTATTGCTATCAATATGATCATAGTATTTATTTTCTAGCTGATGATCAGCACGTTTAGCGAGTCTAACAGCCCAGTGATGGATCCGTTAGCTCAAAGTATCCATTCTCCAACTTCATCGCACAGTTCTATCGGTTCACCGACAACCGATTCTTATCACAGAGATCGGAGAACTGGACACATTCACGCTGAACAGAAAAGGCGGTGTAATATCAAGAGCGGTTTTGACACTATACAACAGCTCATACCTCATTTGCAGCAAAATCCTAACGCTAAGGTAAGCATCGGGATACTAAAGAGTATTTTTGTTCGTTGAAGATTTATTTAGCATTAATGCTACAAGGTCAATTTTATATAATTATTCGTTAACACATATCTGGAGACGATTGCTGAAAGTTTATTGTGAAAAAAAATGTTTTTTTTTTCAGCTGAGTAAAGCTGCAATGCTCCAAAAAGGTGCCGAGTACATAAGGCAGTTGAAAACCGAAAGAAATCAGTTAAAAGAAGAAATGGAATGCTTACGCCAACAGATCGAAACTTTGAATACTTCGATTAGGTATGCTCGGTTTGCAACTAAAACTGTCGACAAATCTAATGCTGGATCGTATTAGGTTTTTGACTGGCTTTTGTTTCAGCAATTGTCAATCGTTGTTACCGGCGACTGGTGCTCCCGTTTCGAGAAGGGCCGACTGCAAAATGCAAGAAATGTTCGATGAGTACGTTCGGACTCGGACCATGGAAAATTGGAAATTTTGGATCGTATCCTTTTCTTAATCATTTAATAGTAGATAGAGTATGTTATCAATAATATTAGCAACAATATCGTGGGGCTCGACCTCTACATCTTCAAGGGTGGTTCGATAAGTACTTAGCCTACAAATGAAAATTTTGAAAAAGTGCGATTTATTTTTCAACAATCTCCTTTTAACACCTTTTTCTTCGTCAATTGGGGCCGATTTGACGGGATTGCAGAAAACCAAACCAACGAAGAAGTGGGACAAACCCAACGAAAAGAATCGGGACAAACCCAACAAAAACAGGGGGGACAAACACAACGAAAATCAGTGGGATAGCCTGGAGAAATAAAGTGGGACACTACTTGATGAAATAAAGAGGGACACGACTTGACCCAATAAAGTGAGACACGACCAGACGAAATGATGTGGGACACTGACGAAAAAAAGTGGGACACGACCTGGCGAAATAAAGTGGGACAACCTGGCAAAGTAAAGAGGGACAACCTGGCGAAATAAAGTGGGACAACCTGGCAAAGTAAAGAGGGACAACCTGGCGAAATAAAGTGAGACAGTCTGACGAAAAAAGTGGGACACAACCTGACGAAATAAAGTGGGATAGTCTGACGAAATAAAGAGGGACAACCTGGCAAAGTAAAGAGGGACAACCTGGCGAAATAAAGTGGGACAACCTGGCAAAGTAAAGAGGGACAACCTGGCGAAATAAAGTGAGACAGTCTGACGAAAAAAGTGGGACACAACCTGACGAAATAAAGTGGGATAGTCTGACGAAATAAAGAGGGACAACCTGACGAAATAAAGTGGGACAACCTGGCGAAATAAAGTGGGACACTACTTGATGAAATAAAGAGGGACACGACTTGACCCAATAAAGTGAGACACGACCAGACGAAATGATGTGGGACACTGACGAAAAAAAGTGGGACACGACCTGGCGAAATAAAGTGGGACAACCTGGCAAAGTAAAGAGGGACAACCTGGCGAAATAAAGTGAGACAGTCTGACGAAAAAAGTGGGACACAACCTGACGAAATAAAGTGGGATAGTCTGACGAAATAAAGAGGGACAACCTGACGAAATAAAGTGGGACAACCTGGCGAAATAAAGTGGGACACTACCTGGCGAAATAAACTGGGACAGTCTGACAAAATAACGTGGGACAACCTGGCGAAATAAAGTGGGACAGTCTGACGAAATAAAGTGGGACAACCTGGCTAAGTAAAGAGGGACAACCTGGCGAAATAAAGTGTGACGACCTGGCGAAATAAAGTGGGACAAGACCTGGCGATATAAATTGAGTCAGTCTGACGAAATAAAGTGGGACAACCTGGCGAAGTAAAGAGGGACAACCTGGCGAAATAAAGTGGGACACTACTTGATGAAATAAAGAGGGACACGACTTGACCCAATAAAGTGAGACACGACCAGACGAAATGATGTGGGACACTGACGAAGAAAAGTGGGACACGACCTGGCGAAATAAAGTGGGACAACCTGGCAAAGTAAAGAGGGACAACCTGGCAAAATAAAGTGGGATACGACCTGACGAAATAAAGTGGGACAGCCTGACGAAATAAAGAGGGACAGTCTGACGAAATAAAGTGGGACAACCTGGCGAAATAAAGTGGGACACTACCTGGCGAAAGAAACTGAGACAGTCTGACAAAATAAAGTGGGACAACCTGACGAAATAAAGAGGGATAACCTGGCGAAATAAAGTGGGACAGCCTGACGAAATAAAGGAAAAACCTGGCGAAATAAAGTGGACAACCTGGCGAAGTAAAGAGGGACAACCTGGTGAAATAAAGTGAGACACCACCTGGCAAAATAAAGTGGGACAGCCTGACGAAATAAAGAGGGACACGACCTGATAAAATAAAGTGGGACAGTCTGACGAAATAAACGACCTGACGAGCCCTGTGACATGTGCCCTTCTCCAGGTAGTCGATGTGAATCCCAGAGAACGGTGGGCATCACCTTTCCAGCGATAGGACTGTTCCTTGGTTTCTGGTGTGCACGAGTGGATCCATATGTTTCGTCGACGGTTACGAAACGACGCAGAAACTCCTTCGGATTACGCTTAAACAGCGTCAAACACTGTTCTGAAGTAGTCTCACGGTTGCGCTCGTTCCATGCAGGATATGACTCTCACGATCTTTTTCGAGATGCCTACTGTCTCAGCTACCTGGCGGTCGGCCCATACGAGATCTGAATTTTTATCAGTTTTCCTCCGTGGCAGCTGTTTTCGGTGCTCATCAAAAACCAACGCGCGACCACGTTGAAACTGGTTAATCCAATTTTTTACGGTCGCCATCCGAGGAGAAGAGTCACCGTACCTGACACCAAAGCGTTCTTTGATTTCGCTGCGCTCCCAAAAACAAGAACAGAATCACCGATCGATATTGCTTTTTCAATCTTTTCTAAAATCCTCCTACACGCCCGCTTCCACACGCGGTCAAGACAAAACTACGAGTACGATAATAAATTTCTGTCCGGATAGTGGCGCCATCTTGAGGTAACATTGACATTTATATGAGTGTAATTACAAATCTCTTAAGACTTGCTATACCAACATGGACTTAAGCGTGCAGCTTTGGTTGGACTTTAGATTCGTACCTAAATGAAATGTATAATTTGACAGGTATCGAGAAAGTATAGTGAGTCAAGAGGTTTTTCATGTTTGTTTGCTTAGAAATCATTTCCTTAATTGAAATCTACAGTTCAGCCTGATTTTCCGGCCTCTTCTGAGCTCGTTCAACAATTTCGTATCATCTTCTAGTCTAGATGATTTGTATTCTTCCACAATGCATTGGATAGAACAGCATTGTAGTCTCGCGGATCTCAGACCAGGTGAGTCATGAAATATCTTTGTATTCCGAATTAAAAAAAATATTTTTGTTGTTTTCCGTGTTCGATAAGTATATTGACATAATGGGTGATTTTTTTGCTAGTATCTTTTCGGCAACACTTTTTTTGACAGATGACGCGTGAATCGTGTCTTGTGTCACTGTCAAACTTGTTCAGTTTGGTCTATAATTTAACTTACGAACGAACAACGCTTGCAAAGTATTGAATTTTACTATCAAAATTCATGCTCGGTTAAGAGAGTGCATCGAGCACTGCTTCCAATTTATGGCCTACTGAGGGAGCTATTCGGGAGCTTGTGACTAAATTTTGAACCCAGTTTATATTATTGGACATTAAACCACCAACACGCAGACGTAGAGTGAGGACTGAAGAAAATATTGCGGCTGTATCCGCCAGTGTTAGTGTTGACCGTGAAATGTCGATTCGCCGCCGTTCGCAGCAATTGGGCCTCTGTTACTCCACTACGTGGAAAATTTTGCGACAGGATTTGGGTGTAAAACCTTATAAGATACAGCCGGTGCAAGAATTGAAGCCACACGACCTCCCACAACGTTTCCAATTTGGTGAATGGGCGCTGGCAAAGTTGGAGGAAGATCCACATTTTTATCGAAAAATTGTGTTCAGCGACGAAGCTCATTTCTGGTTGAATGGGTACGTTAACAAGCAAAATTGCCGCATCTGGAGTGAAGACCAGCCAGAAGCATTGCAAGAGCTACCAATGCATCCCGAAAAAATCACTGTTTGGGGTGGATTATGGGCCGGTGGCATCATCGGGCCGCACTTCTTCAAAGACGACAATGGCCGGAACGTAACTGTGAATGGCGAGCGCTACCGTGCGATGATAACAAACTTTTTTATACGCAAAATGGAAGAGCTGGACTTGACTGATATGTGGTTTCAACAAGACGCTGCCACATGCCACACCGCACACGAAACAATGGCCCTTTTGAGAGGCGAGTTTATCTCACGTTTGGGGCCCGTCAATTGGCCGCCTAGATCGTATGATATAACGCCGTTTGACTATTTCTGGTGGGGCCATGTTAAGGCTAATGTCTACAGGGATAAACCAGCAACGATTGATCCACTGGAAGCCAATATTGAAACATTTATTCGTGAGATACCGGCCGATATGTTGGAGAGAGTGTGCCAAAATTGGACCTTGCGCATGGGCCATCTGAAGCGGAGCCGCGGCCAACATTTACATGAAATAATCTTTAAACATTAAATTATATCGACCGTTCTATCGACTCAAATAAAGATTTAATCGTTTTTTCAAATTTTTTGTGTTTTTTTTTGAAAATCAAATCCTATGCCTCTTAAAAAATCACCGTTTACAAAAAGAACACCAAGTAATAATGAATTTGTTACAACAATTTTTTGTATACATAGTCCAGGCTAAATAAAAAAATGTGGAGAAAAGTTTAGCAGATATCTGGAAGTTTTGAATGGAAATGACAAATACATAAAAAGTATTATGGGTATTTTTTTTTCTATTTCACTGTATACTCTTCAAAATATTGTCGCTCTCCGTCAGTTTCAATCGGTCGTCGGCAAACATTCACTTTGCGCACTTATAGAAAAAAAAATGAAAAATAGCCGATTTTATATTTTCTATTTTTGTTGCAGTTGTTCTCAATTCACTAAGGTACCTGTGCACAAAAACGGAAATCCTATCGGAACCAGACAAGTTACCTGACGAAGCACGAGAAATCGTGCTGGAAACCAAACAGAATAAGAAACATTAGTTAAGAAATAAATGAATTATATTTTTATACTGCTCGGCGACAGTTTCATATGTCAGTTTGCCATTTTTTACGAGAGCGTTAAACGCTGCGAATTTATGAAAGTGCGGACATTTTGAAGAATTTTGGCCCAAGATCAGACCTTAGACTCGGACATATGCTGCCTTTTATTACGTAAATGTAATTTTAGGGGTTTAAATAGAGGGTTAAAATGTGCATTTTTTATATTTGATCTTCGATTTTAAGCTGGCATAAAGAAATTTTGGAAATTATTCCCCTAGGTGGCGAAGTGGTGGTTAAAATTCTTGAAGCTGAAAAACCAAGAATATTTCAAATTAGGCCAGACTAGAAAGGGAAGTGTATTTTAAACGTTAACAAAGAATTTTAGAAATTATAACTTTTCAAATATAGTTTATGGAAAACGATTTGACTTCTGGCCGTCAAATTTAGCAGGGACAGGATATATCAGCTCAGATTTTGCGATAGGGCGAACTAGGGGGAGCCGAAAGTACTCAGAAATCACGAGATCTCGAGAACTATTTGAGATATGTATATAAGGCAGCTAATGGACAGCTTAGAACATATTTCAAGGATCCCCCCCAAGCGTGACTAGAACAATTCAAGCAACAATGTAAAACATTTTTATAAATTCTTCTGTCAGATTCAGTTTTAAATTTGTTACTGTTAACAAACTTTTCGTTTACATGTGAATATGATTTTAGAAATTTTTGTTTTTATGGCAAACTGACTGAAGAAGCTGTCCCCTTTCGCTCAGACGTTTGAAATAAAGGTGATATGGAGTGCAAATTTTATTTTCACAAATTATGATCTTGCCAATCGCAAGTATATTTTTATTACATTTAATTCCAAATCCAGTTATTTGGACGAAAATATATTTATTTTAACAGTTGATTGAAATGATTTTATGTTTGTAAGCACAATACGCTGCAACAACAAAATGAAATATTCCTTAGATTAGAATTTTCAAAATATTTTCCAAACAGTTTAAATGATACTGTGAATATTATATTTTTCTAAGTTCCTTAGAGCTTCTGATTTTTTTTCAAATAAAAATTTTTGAATTTCAGGTTCTGTTCCAAAGTTAAGATAATTTCATGGACTGTCAGATTTTCATAATTTTGATTTTTTTTCATAATTTTTAAAATATTATAACTCTATTTTCATTAATATGTTTTTTTTTTCATCATTTTAAAAATTCTAAAACTTCGTTTCTGCAGTGATTGTATATTTGAAAATATTCATTTTTCTGACTTTATTACTATAAATTGTTCCATCATGAGCCAATTTCAGGGCATTTAAATTTTCATAATTTTGTTTTTTTTTTATGTTTTAAAATTCCAAAACTTTGTTTCTGCAGTGTTTGTACATTTAAAAATTTACAAACTTTCTGAATTTATAGGTAGTTACGACTGTTCCAAAATTTACACAATTTCAAGGCCTTTAAATGTTCATTATTTTGTTTCTTTTTCATAATTATAAAAAAACAAAAGTTCGTTTTTGCAGTGATTGTATATTTGAAAATATTCAATTTTTCTGAATTTATTACTATAAATTGTTCCAAAATGAGTCAGTTTCGATACCTTTAAATTTTCAATTTTGTTTTTTTTTCATAAGTTTTAAAATTCTAAAACTTCGTTTCTGCAATGTTTGTTTATATGAAAATATTCAAATTTTCTGAATTGATAGTAGTTACGACTGTTCCAAAACTGAAACAATTTCAAGTCCTTTAAATTTTTATTTTTACGTGTTTTTTTTACATACAATTTTAAAAATTCTAAAACTTCGTTTCTGCAGTGATTGTGTTTATTGAAAATATTCATTTTTTCAGACTTTATTGCTATAAATTGTTCCAAAGTGAGGCAATTTCAAGGCCTTTAAATTTTCATAATTTTATTTTTCGTACATTTAAAAATTTTCAAATTTTCTTAATTTATAGATGTGACTGTTCCAAAATTGATGCAATTTCAAGACCTTTCATAATTTTATGGTTTTTTCATGATTTTTAAAATTCCGAAACTTTGTTTCTGCAGTGTTTGTACATTTAAAAATTTACAAACTTTCTGAACTTATAGGTAGTTACGACTGTTGCAAAATTGACAAAATTTCAAGGCCTTTAAATGTTCATCATTTTGTTTCTTTTTCATAATTATAAAAATTCCAAAACTTCGTTTTTGCAGTGATTGTATATTTGAAAATATTCAATTTTTCTGAATTTATTACTATAAATTGTTCCAAAATGAGTCAGTTCGATACCTTTAAATTTTCATAATTTTGTTTTTTTTTTCATAAGTTTTAAAATTCTAAAACTTTGTTTCTGCAATGTTTGTTTATAGGAAAAAATTCAAATTTTCTGAATTGATAGTAGTTACGACTGTTCCAAAATTGAAACCATTTCAAGTCCTTTAAATTTTTATTATTTCGTGTCTTTTTCGTAATTTTAAAAATTCTAAAACTTCGTTTCTGCAGTGATTGTGTTTATTGAAAATATTCATTTTTTCAGACTTTATTGATATAAATTGTTCCAAAATGAGGCAATTTCAAGGCCTTTAAATTTTCATAATTTTATTTTTTGTACATTTAAAAATTTACAAATTTTCTTAATTTATAGATATGACTGTTCTAAAATTTATGCAATTTCAAGACCTTTCATAATTTTATGATTTTTTCATGATTTCAAAATTCCGAAACTTTGTTTCTGTAGTGTTTGTATATCTACATAGTAAACAGTTAAATCTTCGTATGATTTCTGTAGTGCCTTAACGTTGATCGTGATAATAATATAATATTGTATAGGAGGTACTTACATATTATACTGTATAGAGTTGTTATGTTTATTATTTTTGTTTATTTTTGTGAAACTATTTTAAATACATTTTATTTGTTTACGAATCATTGTGTTGATTTTTTTACCCATTTGCCTCGTATGTCAGTTTTAGAGTTTTGAGAGAGAATGTCACCGAAAATCTAAAGTAAATTAAAAACATTTTTATAAAAACTGAGCTTTATTAAACAATGTATTACTAATTATAGTGTACGATCAGTCGAACGTTAAATAACAACATATAAAAAAACTTAGGCTATTGCATCACATAAAGAAATATAAAACATATTTACAATATAATTTAAATGAAACAACTAACAAGATGCTAATTCCCTTCTATCGATAGAGGGTCTGGTTTTATCATGTCCGGCATAACACCCTGGAAAGAAGAATAACATGTCAAAAAATATACAGGATGATACGGAAAACAGTGGCAATTTTTAGGGCGTGAAGTAGATGAAATAATAAAATATCGTTCAGTTCAAAAGACAAACGTATAAGGGTTGAAGTTGGGTTGCCTTTTTCCAAGTGATACCCTTCAAATTCCAAAGCGTTCCATGATTCACAGTCACTCAAAATCGAAGCAAAATAGTGACAATGACACCAATTTGATTTTTATTATATATATATATATATATATATATACAGGGTGACTTCGAAGTTGAGTCATTTATTTTAACAGTGAGTAGATCTGATCAAAAGAAATGTTTTTTTCCTTTACCATTTTCCTGGTAAAATTAAAGTAACAAAGTTATAGCCCTTTGGAAGTTTGAGTACCGCCCTGTCTCAATAACAATATTATGTGGTCGTGTTTGGCGACAATGGATATAATCCGCCGTATCGGTTCATCGCATCGGAAACAAAAAAGCGAAAGAATTTGGAACGATGTTTTTACAGGTATCTCATTCATTTGTATACAGTTAGTGTCAGTGAATAGTGGTATGTGTTGCGTGGCTCAAACGAAATAAAAAATGGCACATGTTTATGCGGATCGGTTTCCCAATCGAGTGCAACCAACCCCTCGTGCCTTTGTTAATGTAGTACAACGGGCTTGTGAATCAGGTGACTTAAGACCTCACAGGGGACCTCACGATCAAATACAGGTCCGCACTGAAATACTTGTCGGAAGGATACTTTATAAAACAAGGTAAACATTTTTTTTTATTTTTTTTTTATTTTTACACACATATTTTGGTTTATCTTCCTTCTACAATCATTATCTGAAAATTAATGACTCAACTTCAAAGTCACCCTGTATATATATATATATATATATATCCTTGAATTTCTTTGGGTAGAAGGCCAAGTATTGCAAAAGTACACTCTTATAACTTAAGCTCAAGCTTTCTAAGATCTATGTCTTCATCGTCTGGAGCTGGAAACAATTATTGACAATAGCAACAAATAACAATTATTCGTCGACTGTGTTCCCTTGACTGTTGTTTAAAAACAATGTCAGCAACAATCTCGCCGACTTAGTGAGTAACTATTTTTTTCCTAATTGTTATTTGTTGCTATTGTCAATAATTGTTTCCAGCTCCAAGACGATGAAGACATAGATCTTCGAAAGCTTGAACGTAAGTTATAAGAGTGTACTTCTGCAATACTTGGCCTTCTACCCAAAGAAATTCAAAGATATTTTCTCCTAACAGTTAAGGCAATTAACTATGAATAGTATATATACAGGGTGTTCCATAATTATTGCGACAAAATGATAGGGGTTGTAGAGGGCATAAAAATATGCAATTTTGCCTTATAAACCCCTGTTCGTAAATATGCCGTTTGAGCACTACAGTTAATTTTACCTTAAGAGCTCATAGGAGAAACAAAAAATTCACCAGCTGCAAAATGTTCGTCTAGCACATTTCATGGTCTCGCCGGTTTGTAGAAAAAGCCTGCTGTGTTTACATTTTTGTTATCGTACACCCGTACCACCTTTTAAAAGTCCAAGCCATGGGTCCAGCAGACTATCTGCCGCGTCGACGTTTTTGTCGTTGGTGGCTGCAGCAGGAGTTGAGGCAACCAAACTTTGGTCGCTACGTTTTGTTCACTGACGAGTCCTGTTTTACAAAGGACGGTTATTTTAATAGCCGTAACAGTCACATTTGGGATGAAGAAAACCCTCATGCCATAGCCATCCATAGAGACCAACATCAGTTTTCAATTAACATCTGGTGCGGCATTGTGGACGAGCATATCATCGGGCCATATCTGCTTCCACCACGTTTGGATGGGCATGCTTATGGTCGATCCTTACAGCATGTGCTACCGGAACTATTAGAAAATGTGCCACTGAATATAAGAGCCAACATGTGGTTTCAACACCATGGCGGTCCAGCCCACTTTTCTTTACAAGTGCGGCAGTATTTGGACGACAAATTTCCAAATAGGTGGATAGGCCGAGGTGGCCCTGTGCCTTGGCCTGCGCGGTCACTTGACCTGACTCCACTGGATTATTTTATCTGGAGCTATTTGAAAGCTTTAGTGTACGAAACTCCTGTTCCCAACCAACAAGAGCTACTGGGAAGAGTGATGGCCGCGTCCGCACATGTTCAGGACATACCGGGGGTATGCCACAGAGTTCGCCGATCATTGAACAATCGTGCACAGGTGTGTATTGAGCAAGGTGGAGGACACTTTGAGCAATTACTGTAGGTAAGCTGTTTCAAGAAACTGATCTTTTTTTTTTGCTGCAGCCCAAACGGCATGTTTCCGAACAGGGGTTTATAAGGAAAAATTGTTCATTTTGATGCCCTCTACAACCCCTATCATTTTGTCGCAATAATTATGGAACACCCTGTATATATATAACTTTTATTTTTTATCGAAGGCACAAAAAATGCGGGTAAAAGTAGCAAGTTCAAACGCTGTCAGTAAGGTAGTGCCTAAGTGGATTTTCCTAACGGGACCTTTATAATAACTTTCTTTTATTACCTTGAAATATATTTCCATTGTTTTTTTGAGCACCGTGTAGACTGCATTTCAACCATAACTTTATTGTAGTTGAGTGATACTGAATATGTTGGGACAAAACTTACCTCAATGATGATTTGTCCACCCATATCGATGCTGCCGTACGAAACGCCAATCGTACCCTGGACTTGATGCGTCTGTTGATGTTGGTGATGCTGTTGCTGTTGATCTGTATGTTGCTGTTGTTGTTGCTGTGAGTTGTGTTGGTGCGACGCGTGTTGTCGTCGAGCTATCTCTTCCTCTCTGAAACACGCATACATTTTTGATCAGCCTACCTAAATACGTCAAAATATCTTAAAATAAAGGTTTCAAACAACAGTTGTAGAGTTTCGAATCATTCCAATATTTTTAAAAGGAACCTCTCCTTTTTTAAACCGGAATTGAAAAGGAAATTGTACGATAATGGGGATCCAACTGATGTCCCTTAGATTGACAGAAGTCAAAAAAACAAAATTGGATCTACATTATCAAGCTCAAAAAATATTTCTGTTGGTGTACCACAAGGTACTAAAATAGGTCCACAACTATTGATGTTCATATTCAAGGTCATATTAGGTTTCTGCCTCTTTCCAGTTCGATTTGAAAATATTTACTTTACCTTGAAATGTAGGGTAAAGGTCATTATGTAAATGTCGCATTTAGGTGACCCCACAAACCTCACAACTATACTTTTGATCATTTTTGCTGGAGAAAATTGTTTTAAATGTCTTGATTTGACCTTGAAATGGCTTTGAAGGTGATGTTCAGATTCAAGGTCATATAAGATGTTTACATCTTTACAGTTCCGGTGTAAAAAAGTGGGAGTTCGACTTGAAAATATTGACTCAACCTTCAAATATAGGGTAAAGGTCATGGAGTCAAGGTCGCGTTTGGGTAACCCCACAAACCTCACAACTGTACTTTCGATTATTTTTGCTAGAGCAAAATGTTTTGAATGCCTTGACTTGGCCTTGAAGCTCATGGTTATGTTCATATTCAAGGTCATATTAGATTCCTTCTTCTTTCCAGTTCCGGTGTAAAAAAGTGGGAGTTCGACTTGAAAATATTGACTCAACCTTCAAATATAGGGTAAAGGTCATGGAGTCAAGGTCGCGTTTGGGTAACCCCACAAACCTCACAACTGTACTTTCGATTATTTTTGCTAGAGCAAAATGTTTTGAATGCCTTGACTTGGCCTGGAAGCTCATGGTTATGTTAATATTCAAGGTCATATTAGATTCCTTCTTCTTTCCAGTTCCGGTGTAAAAAAGGGGGAGTTAGTATGAAAATATTTACATCGAAATATTCAAGTAAAGAAGTAAATATGCATTTGGAAAAAAACAAAATTTTCTTACCTTCGTTTTTTGACTGATCCAGAATGAAATCTACCACCCTCTCCTCTTATCCTATTCATTGCGTGGCGGTGTCTAGATTCATGTAGATATTTCTGAAACAAAAATACCACAGCTGTAGAAAAATTGAAGATACTTTTGAATAGCTGTCCGCAAGTCCATTTTTAATTGCGGCGATCGAAACATTAAATCAACTTACGGGTCGTTCCTTGGGTATTTTTCCTTCAGCTTCTAACTTCGCTCTAGCTTGCCGTCGTTTGAGTATCCTCCTATATTGCTTGGCGTTCACGTAAAGTGGTTCCTCCTCTAAAAATTCCGTACCCGGTATTTGTACTCTTTGGAATTGCTGTCCGCCGGTACTGCTTGGCACCATCTACGATAGAAACTATATTGATTGCATTGCAGTTGCTCGCAAAGGACATTACACAAAATCCATTTCATCCACAAAAATGTAGCTTCTATTGTGTATCCAAAAAGAATGAATATATCAAAAAGATATAGAATATGTCAAAGAGAAAATTGTTGTGGAACGGTGCCCTTGACTATGATCTTCAAGGTCATTTGAAAGTCAATACAGTTTCTATAAATGGAAACCCCTATTTTTGATTTGATTTATTACCCTCAAGGTTACTTTAGCACGCCCAAAAGTACAAGATGTCTTGAGAAATATGCTACCTAGAGAAAAATGTTTTACAACTTAAAGTATAACTTCACATAGCAAATTGTCTCTTTTGTCTTAGACAATTGAGAATGTGGCATTCGAATATATTCCTCAAAAATTCGTGGGATATTATGGGGACAAGCTTAGACTGGAAAATAGACCCCTAGGAGGGTCATTCCTTAAATATTTGACTGATTTAAATAATGACACTACTCACCATGACTAGATTTCCATTGGCCATGGCTAACTGATTCGGCGAAGTAGCGGTGATAGTTTGTGGCACAACTTGAGGAGGTGGGGAGGCGACTGTCGTTGATTGCGCCGCCGGTGCAGCTGGTTGAGCCGTACTGGCGATTTGAACTAAGTTACCGTTGATATTTAACACTGGAATAGATGAAACGGCCGAACTATACTTTACCGCATATCGCGAATATTTCATTTCTTATTTTAAAATGAAAGATTAGGATGTAACTTGCACGAAAATATCATGTTATCTTTCTGAAACCCTCTGCTTGCTATTTTATAGAACTTCAAATTTGCATTTTGGGTGTTAATACTGTGGTATAGAACACTGCTTTATAAGCTGTTTTCTTATTGTTTATACAAAATATTTTTCAAAATTATATGAATATAACATACACTGTAAGTTACTGTGATACTGTTCATCCCAATAAAGCAATTTTGCGTTATTTTATTGATGAAAATAGTTCATTGTTAAGTATGTAGTCATTTCTTTTATTTCAGATATTTATTCCCATCACTACACCACCGTTACTGTCATATTCTCGCCATCTAGTTGCGATGTTGCCAAATCATGGATAGTAATATACCTGAATGTGGTTTGTCAAATTCTTGCTTATATACTAGCGCAAAAATGTACAATCGGCACAGGATTGTCATGAAAATGCGATTTGGAGGTGTGGCCGGCAGGTTTTACTGTACTAACAGCGTTAGCTAAAGAGACTTTTTTGAAGAATGCCTTATGCTCTTCACATAAGTACTTCGGTTATTGTTTTTCCTATATTATAGTTATAATATACAGGGTGTCCGCAGAGTTGGGGTTTTCCTTTTCAGAAACAACTACCCTTGAAATAACAAAGGTAATGTGTAGTGAAACGAGGGCGACCAAGTAAAAAAAATAAAGGAAAAAGTACTCACTCTCCAGTTGACGAGAAGGGCTAAGTACGAAACCATACCGCTCCAACAGAAAATCAAATCAGCTGATACGCTACCGAGCAGACGCAGGCAAACAAGGAAGGCAAAATGTTGCGTAAAAAGTCTAGGTATTGCATCCCTTCCAATCGATTTGGGAGAATAAATGGTCCAATGAGCATACCGTTCACCATGCCAGCCCAAACATTCACCGAAAATGTTTGTTGAAAATGTGCCCGAAGGACAGCGTGCGAATTTTCTACTGACCAAACATGAGTGTTGCGAAAGTTATTCATCCCATTACGCGTGAATGTAGATTCGTCTGTCACCAATATGCACTTCAAAAAGTCCGGATTATTGTCATGTTGATGCAACAACCACTCACAAAACCGCACTCTTGCTGGAAAATCGTCAGGTTGAAGGGCTTGTACACGTTGGACGTAAAACGGATACAGCCCCTCTTCACGCAGCGTTTGCCACACTTTAGTTTTTGATACTTGCACTTCTCTAGCCACGTCTCTAGTGCTTGTTGAGGGATTCTCGTCTACGCGATTACCTCTACACGCATGACCGTAACCGTCGGTTGAAGGTTGCATACTGACCTGACACACTGACCCCGACCCAGTTCTGTCGTCGGGTTGAGCTAGTGTCCTAGTACCACTCGGGGATGTCGCGGCTACAGGACGGTATTCAGATATTTTTGATGTTGCAGAGCCCTTTATCTCGGTTCCCTTGAGACATTGGTGTATATGGTACTAAGAAAAATTACTTATGTTTTCAAGATCTACACGTCGTGTAAAGGAAAACCCCAACTTTGCGGACACCCTGTATTTACTTTTTGTATGTATGTACTTGAACAATTATTTAAAGTGAAGCTGATGTTACATAATATACCTAATTAAATGTGATATATATATATATATATAACTTGAAAGCTAGAGAGAATTAAAAAAGTATAAAGAGTCCTCTTTGCTTAAATTTTGTCGAAGTACCCAACAAAAGGCGGAAGCTTTAATTTTTTCACCTATATATATATATATGAGAAATAACTGAAAAAGTAGCTGTTGCAAATCACTAAATAATGAAAAAATAACAAAGAGCATTGCAAGTTTTTTGATGATTTGATGAAATGATCATTGATCTTTATTTAACTATAATATTGGACGATGATATATTGGGTGGTCCAAATCGACGAATCGACGTTGGGTATTTTTATATGCAAAGAGCGCTAGTGCCTCTTGTATTTTTTATGTCACACGAGCCGCTGGTGCATTTTCCTCTGTTCAGACACATACTGTTCCAAATTTCATCTAGTTTTCGGTAAATATTGGGACAACTTTTCATAAAACAAGCCATTTACAACAAATTAACACTTTTATTTTGCAAATAACCTCATTTCTAACTACCTATTTCTCCCAAAAAAAGGTACAACTTGGCAACAGTGGACATCATTTATTTTATCTGTCAAGAAATGAGCCTTATAAAATGGCCATTGAGAATTGTTTGTACTTTCAAATATTTCTTATAAACGCAAACACTTTCAGTCTAGAGTATTACCACCAAAAATGCAACTTCGAAGTTCTATAAAATAGCAAGCAGGGGGTTCCTTAAAGAAAAAATGATATTTTCGTGCAAGTTACATCCTAATCTTTCATTTTAAAGCAAGAAATGAAGTATTTGCGATATGCGCTAAAGTATAGTCTTACTGATGAAACATTAAAACCACATATTAAGTGCATTCGTTTGTTTGTCCGATTTAGTGGACAGCGAAAGTCAGAAATTTTTGAACATAATAAAAATTCCGTCTTACCAGTAGGTGCAGCCTGTTGCATGCCAGCGCCCTCTATCGCGACAGGTTGATACAGAAACGTCTGGCCGTCTGCTGTCTGTACAAGTTGAGCTGTTTGCTGCTGAGGCTGTATCAACACTTGACCCTGTTGGAGGCTGCTGACTGGAACCACTTGGATTTGTTGAAGACCCTGCGTACCACTTGGCGCGGCCACTTGGATTTGACCGCCGGATGGCAACGCATGCACCATTATCTAAAAGAAAATAGTTGAATAAACAGATACTATACAGTGCTCTTGTTTTGCTGTTTCCTCATGATCGTTATTTCGATTTTGCGCCGTAGTGAGGCAAACTTTCGTTATCCCTTATGGAAATCAATCAAATTTTGGTTTATCAGATTCACCTCAAAACCAGAATAAACAAAATTCAAAATGTTCCTAGCAAGAATTTGTTGAGTGGTTGGCAGATCTGAGTATTGACAGATAATCCATCAATTTGTCCATGAACGTAAACACCGCAAAACAATCAGGATGGTCGTGAATAAATCCATCTGAATAAATTCGTGAAGAAATTGTTGAAGTAAAACGGGTACTGTATTTTTCACGAGTATCCATTACGGTAGAGTAACAGCTAGTAACAATCTAGTGATATTTCAAAATTCCCCATATTGACAAATATCACATAATTCTGACGGATCTGTCAAGGCCAAGTGGACAGAGCCGTATTTTGTTTTTTTCTTGTACGTGCTAACAATTCTTTTATTTAGAAAAGTAATTTGCATACAAAAAATTAAAACGCAACAAGCAAGTTTTACTATATTTACACTCGACACATTATTAAAAACGTAACAGACTAATACAAAAATGAAACTTGCTGATCTGGAAATTTTGAGGTTAGCTTCACGTCGAGTTTGAAAATAAAATAACCAACATTTCACTACACGATTCGTTTTATTTTTGCTCCTCACTCTTCTCTTTCTATCACAAGTTTAGATACCTAGTCCAAGTTTATCATAAGAATGTAAAAGTTCCTTACCTGTTGTCCATTGGCACCTTGAAGAACTTGTCCTGCATTCATTTGCATCACTTGCACCTGTTGTGGGGCAACACCCTGTATAGGTTGTATCACTACTTGTCCATCTGCCGTTGTCGTTATCTGTTGCTCCATGGTTGGAGTCTGGACTCACTGGAATGCAGGAAAAATACAATAAAACACCCTATTCAAAAGCACATGTCCTAAAAGATACAAAGATATTGTACAGTTGTACTCTACACTGATGAGGCTGAATAAGGATAAAACATGTATATTGTTATATCGTGAGACAGGATCACTCTCCTAATGCACTAAATACAGTTTCCAATGTCAGACTTCACTAATGCTTTCCAAGTATAACAGGTTGAAATATTCAAACCAATTTCAATCCAAGGAATAGTCAGACAAATATCTTTCATAAGTCATATAATAATGCAATAGATGTTTTGAAAAAGTCAGCGATGGCACAGAAAATACTTAATTTAATTCCCCAATTTTTACGCCACTGGTACAGTTTCAGACACGAAAACTTTTGTTGGATGACACTCCAAAGATTTCTTTCAATTTTGAAATTTTAGCTTCAACACCCTGTATCTTGGTAAGGGTTTCACGACTTCATGTTACTTTTCATCTACATTATGCCATAGAAATATTGACACACTTTTCTGAATCACCCTGTATATGCCAAAAACACGTCGCTAAAATTCCGATAGCAGCAGATTTTTCACGCAACCCTCGTATATGTAAAAAACGAAAATAATATATACATAATATAATCGATCGAATGGTATCTATTTCACAACACAAACAGTAAACATCGTCAAATACAGTTTAGATTTGCAATATTTAAATGATACAACAAAAATGTTTTATAGAATTCCTATATGCAACACTAAACGCGTTATCGGTCTTAAGTTATGTAAACACTGTAATGTTCGTAAAACTTCATAAGTGAATCACTATATTGTTTTTCAAATATCCGTCCAATTTAAATACTTTAAATGCCTAAAAACATCAGTTTCTCCAAACGTCTCTTTTGATATACTTGCCAGAACTACCTATACCGTCCATTCAAAATCAATAAAACCTCTATGAAAGCATTATCAAATATTAGCATTATCATTTTATTTAAATCGTTCAGGTACAATTCAGAAATTACACGATAAACGCAACAAACATTCAACCAAACAAGCATGGTGACGACATTCCTTGTGTCAGAATATTTCAATGTCTTTGTTCTAGGACGTTCGCCATTACAGCGAAAATGTCACATTCAGAAAATCATCAATGCACTCGTTTGATAAAAAAACTAGCTATTTTTCATAGTACCAAACAGTCTCAGCCCCCAAACGTACCATAGAATATGTTTGATAATTTGTGGACTTACATTGGATATTTTAGTGTGCACTTTCCCAATGATTGGTCGGCGAATTGTAGACCAATGGTCGTCTGGCACAACACGGGAACACGGTACGTATTGGTTCTGTAAGCCGCCACTCCCTACGTTGCAAACAACGGTCGATGCTCCGTCAGCTTATCGACGAGCCAGATGTGTTCGTGCGCGGGAAACTAGCGGCCAATTACAAAATTAGAAAAGGAAAAGTGACTTATTATGCCTGAAGAATACCAGCCGACGACTGCCAATCAGTGTATTTGTCAAATTAACCACAACCGATATGCCGAGCCTACCTGTATTGGTTTTTAATCACGTTCTTTCCTAGAATACTACCTGGAAAGGCCCTTTTTCAAATTTTGTACTGATTCTATACAACATCTTACCAGGTAAAATCTATATTTCCATAATACTGCTTGGGTTTAGTTTTTTGCGTTGTTCGCATATCCGATCACTATTGTAGGGTCCACATAAATGAAAAGAATACCCCAAATAATTAATTACTGAAGATTTGACCATAAATTTCTAAAAAAACATATTTTCGGTTCAGATTTTTGGGCGCCATCTATTAACACTTATTATAAGCCTCACTTATCTTAAACGAGCACTGTATGCTGTCAGGATGACCATCTATTATAGTTTAACCGATATGTCAGAGATGGCAGCACATCAAAACCGTAGCAAATAGCTTAATTTCAACGGTTTATTGACGATTGACTGATTATGATCGCGAAAGAAAACTTGAAATAATGTATTAATGCAATATCTACTCTAGAATATCCTGATATTGTACAGATTTTCGAGCGGCATCTATTAGAATCTGTGTTAAGCACACTGCACGAATACCTGCTTAGAGTTTTGATATGATGAGGATGCACGTAGTTCGAAGAGTGCGTAAGAGATGGCGCCGACTTCAGGACAGTGGCGTAGTCAGAATTTTTTTAGAGGCAAATCTAAAAACTAATTTTGGAATTTTACGATTTGAGATAGTTACGAAAAATTTTGGCAAATAACTCAGTGTATCGCGTGTAGTTTAGTGATAATTTGACTAACTTTAAAATATATAAAGTACTTGAAAGAACTCGATGCTCTATTATTATATTCCATAAAGTAGTTTCTCAACTATTTTTTCTTCCTACGCTACTGGCGAGGAAATATTATAATTTTAACCTCCCATTACGTAGAAACCACTTTTTTTTATCTAATTACTGATTTTGCTTTATAGAACACACAAAACCACTCATTCTGAACATGATACCAAATGTGCTTTATTTATTCAAATTTAAGCCCAAAAAAAGTACCTTGAAATGGTTTTTTGTCAGTGAAATAATTTTTAATGTCTCCTTAAAAGTTCAAATTATGTGGCATAAGGCCCATTTCACGAGTACACACTTTTTAACGTCTACCGAGTTGAACAGCTGATCAGCAGGTTATTAGTCTGTATGGGGAATTTTGAAATATTACTAAATAATCAGCTGTTATTTTACCGCAATGGATACTCATTGGGGAAATAAAAAATGCGTTTCAACCTTGAATGTCTTTATTAATGTAAAAGCACAAAGTGGATCGATCTCGGTCGATCTAGACGTACGTCTGCACTAGTAAAGATAATTTCTGACAAAAGGCAACATTAATTCATAGAGAAAAACATACTAAAATATTTAATAAAACCTATGCAAGCTTTTACAGTTATTGAAAATCTATGTTACATGCAGATATTCTATATTACATTAAGTTACAAACGTTATATTCAGGCCAAATCACAATTATCTAGTATATCTAGTATTTCAAACATCAAGTAAATGATTTTTTGTACGAACATGAAAATCTATTTTTATAAATTGGGAATGGGTCGTCATTCAGAGGATCCACTTGTTACTTTTTTATTTTCGTTTATATTATAAAAAATAGCTATTCCCTAATTTTGGGTTTGAGATTCTTTTGGCAATATCTTCCCAAAAATCAAATGTATCAAAAACCCAATCCCAACTTAGGTGTATTTCATCTTGGTCCAACTATAACATATTCGTGTGGCAGGTTACAATGCAGTCAGTATATGTGCAGTCAACATTTAGAACATATCTTTCCGAAGTGCCCTAAATACTTACGAGGCTCTAGGCCCATAACCTCAAAAAATTGTGATAATCTAGAATGTATACTGCATACACCATGTTGATCCATCAGGTTACCACAATTTTTATTCTGAATATGAGCCAATACCTGTATGCAAAAACGAATAAAGACAGAGCATCCAGAATATACGGACGATTCTTAAATAATCACACATTATAGTATTTTGTACCCTGCTAAAAATTACGCGACATCAAAACCTGGAGGGTTCAAAACTTCTAGAACAGCTTGAAAAATACATAATATGTTCTACTTTTACCTAAACTACTCAAAGCTTGTAGGGTTCAAAACAATAGTGACCTTGAACACGACATTCAAGGTCAATCGAATATTTTCAAATGAAACACCCATTTTTTGCACCGGAATTGGAAGTACTGCTTCCAAAACGAAATTCCTTATTTTTATTCTGGGATTGGAAAAAGCAGGAAAAGTTACGTGAGAAATATGACCGTGTCCAGAAACAACTCGAAAGAATAAATTTTCAAATGACCTTGAGCGATGGTCAATTGCGGTGTAAAAAGGGGGATTTCTATTTGAAAATATTCCCTTGACCTTGAAGATCGCATCCAAGGTCGCCATCATTTTATATCCCATAAAACCCTTTTTTTTTTCAAAAAATGCGTTGTTTTCGAAATAGTTGTGTAGGAAAATGATCTTTGATATGGCAAAAGCAGACAAAAATTTGGAAATGCAAGTTTATAAGTGAAACACGTGGATGAAAATATGTAATATGTATACAGGAAAGAAGTATATTATTGTGTAAAAAGACAGTTTTTTCTACAAGTTCAGAGATCACTCCAGGTTATTGTCATGCCATATACGAATTGTACAGAAAAATCACTGAAATTCTAATGCAATGTGTTTTTGCTGAATGAATGATGGGATATGATATTAATTTCATGGTCCCTAAACAATATAGCTTGAGTAATACATTATAAATCTATTTCATTAGCTGTAATACGTACAAGGATTAAGGACCGATGAATCTAAACTTCTAATTTCAACATTGAATATAACTGAAAAATGTTGCTCATTTAATGTCAATAGACGTATTGTGTAAATATCATTATGGCTTTATACATTATTGGATTTAGCTGAAACGAAGTTGAGTTACTGTTAAGTATTCACTTGATTCTAAAAAGATTGTCAAATATATATACGAGGGAATAATTTTAATTCATCATGTGCAAACACCTGAAAAGTTTGAAATATTTATTTTGAAAGAGCTATGACTGACATACAATTATATATTTCCATATATATTATGCTTACATGTGTAAATATAGCAACAATATTGAAAAAGTATATTTTATTATTTTGTACTCAAAGAAATATAGGATTAAATCACCCTCTATAAAACAAGCCTGTAATGGATTTTTTTGCTACTATTATCACGCAAGAAAAACGTTTCAATTTTATTTACAAAGATCACAAAACTCGCTCAATTTTCTATGACATTTTAGAAGTGCTGATTATTATCAAATATTCAGTTGTAATAATGTTACAACCAGATGTGATAATGCAGAAAACTTTCTCATGATTTCAACAATACAATAAAAAAATTATAACATTTATATTTAAGCTACCAGCAAGCCAAAAAATACTGTTTAAAATGTATTTGAACTTTTTGACAGGCTCAATTTTAATCTTGGTTATTGCATGTTGCCTATAGATCAAATATAAATGTCAGCAAAATTGAAGGAAAAAAATAACACTGGCGCACAACCTTTATTGAAACTGAAGATCAAAGTAGGTTACATAACTGTTTACTTCTGTTTAGGAATCAATACAATAAAGAATCTGATAGATTTTATAAGGTACTATTAAGGCCTCTAAAATACCTACAAAAGATGTTAAATTCTATTCAGAAACTAACATTTTATTCAAACTTCATGCTCGCCCAAATTAACGCTCTTTCAAATTCGATAATTCCCTCGAAAAATGTTAGTTTATAGAACTGGTCAACAGAATATTATTTAAAACAAACAATCTATACAGTAAAACTATATACAATTAATAAATATCGTATTTACACTTTCAACAAATCTTTGTACTATCACTTTTTCACGCAAAAAAATCCATTATTGTTAGTTTAATTTTTCCTTTCAAATAAAATACCAGAAATAAGTGCCGGTTATCAGATTTTAGTTGCAATATACAAATAGTACTTATTAGCCTATCACCATTTAGTATCATCTAAAATATTGACATGATTCTACACCAGTCTTGTGTAACACTAATAGTTCTAGTAATAACATCATCCTTCAACATCAAACCAACCAAATCCAACGAAAAATCTCAAACAATTATAGATTCAGATTCCATAAAACTTCATATCTCTGTCAATCACAGTCATGATTACAGCAGCCGATGCTAAAAAAATCTGTCATCAGGAGACTTTTGCGAAAATATGGCTTATCGGGTGAGCAATTTGAGAACAATTGAAATACTTTGAAAAGGTGCCCTATTCAAACTGCTTAGGAGCTCTGAAATATTTTTCAGCCACAAGTACTCGTATTTTTATAGCGTTTAAATTTAATTTGGCTTTCTGTTTCAATATAGACTGAAAATAAAATTAATAATTCTGAGCTATATACAAATATGCGGTCGATTAATGACTTGCCAGATGTCGAGAAGCTGAACAAAATTTGAATACTCAAAATGCATAGTGATGTAATTTTAATGGACAAGAATGTAAAATTACAGAAAATGAATTCAAAAAAATGTGTAAACAAGAAAATTGACACTGTAGCACTAATGCTGAATAAATCTTCAACAAACAAACAAATATTTGAATCACATGCAATAGGGATATTGTTGAATTCAACTTTATCCTTTGTCAAGAAAATAAAAACATTCAAATGGCCAGTTTTTTTTAAAAATACGTATCTTTTTGAAAATCCGGAAACGGAATAGAAGTTTTGATATCCCTATTTCAAATGCAGTCAAAGACTTTTAAAATTTCCAAGTGCTACTTTAGAGCACAATTACTCTAATTCTGACTTCGTATCCCCTCCAATTTCCGAATAAAGTTATTCCTAATTTTACACATTAAAACTGACGTTACAAGAATCAGAACCAACGGCAACCCACATTTTTTATCAAACATTCAGCTTCAGCAGAAAGTTGTGTTAAAAGCTGAAGATCGGCTTTTACCAAAAAATTTACCATTTTTTCGAACCCTATCGAAATTATGCCGAAAAAACATACAACGCGTCCTGAAAGTTGGGACTTTACAGAGCCTAAAGGTCCCACTCTCTCTGGTCAAATCTGCGAAATCTGTTTTCCTTTGGTGCTTTTTTTACGTAAAATACTCAATAGCCCAATAACTAATAATCAAAACCCAAA